AATCATCCCATTCAACAATAAACACTTCAGTTAGGAAATACCATCTTAACTGATAAGTATTAATTAATAAAGATGCAGGATTAATTGGTATCACACTTGTTACATTACCATTCATTGTATATGATGTAAACGTAAGATATAGTGAATCAAAGGTGATTCACATGTAAAGTACAAACAACGTAATCCATGTTTATCACCTGTCAGCTCCACTACTGATCAGTTACATGACCATTGGAGGTGTATAGGTGACCACCTTTGATGTAGGGAGATCACAGTAAGGTCAAGTTTACCAGAGCTCTCAAAATTCAATGTAGACCATCGAAAGTTCACAACATATATTGACATAAATGTTGTAAAAATGTTATATATTCTTAGTTACAGAGTAGTTGAGATCATTGATTTAAATATTCTCAATGATTTATCAAAACTCTATTATCTCAACTTGTAAAATACCTATAATTCTGATTTGTCAATGTAATATCCACAAAACGTAATAGAATGATATGAAGTGCAAAACAGGATATATTGTGCTCTCGATATTCTGTATTTGCACTCGACTTCTTTTCGTGCCAACACAGAATTTCTCGAGCACAATATATCCTGTATTACACTTCAAATCATTCAATAACTTATGTATCCTTGGCCACTGAATACTCATTAACCAGTTTGATTTTCATAACTTCCTAATCCAAGATAGGCCAAACTTATCAAACAACATTGATCATAGGCCAATACAATATCCAATTTATGATTTACAATGTCTCCTTGACATCAATTACAGTAGTGTATGATCGGTCAATGAAATATAAAGTGGCCTCTTTGACCAATTTACATGCAGTAATTCATTTGATAATTCATCGCAATGGCCAATACATGACATCCTTCATGCCTATTAAAATGCACATATGCATAATTACACACTTCAAATGATTAACATTTTTATCTATTTTTGATAAAAATGAACACATAAATCTACATATATCTATTTTCCCTGAATGGGGATTTTAAGTTATAATATTAAATAAGGAATAATTAAGAGTCTAAAAGGCAAAAAGAGGCAATATCAGTTAATGTAGACAATTTTGGAATCCTGGGAGATGTAAAAATATTGAAGAAAAAAGTATCTTTTAAGATTTTTTTGAAAATGTTTCTCCCAATGGTAAACATTCTTCTCTTAAACTCATGCTTTGCAGAATAACATTAAACAAAAATGCATGTATATGTCACATTAGTTACAAGTAGTTAAATATCCGAAATGAGACTAGGAAGAATGTACCTAAAACTTCTTCACCTAAAACTTAGCTGATAGCTGAAGCACAAGAATGAACAGGTCTATATGTCTAGAATATGTAATCAACACATACTGGGAGCATAGCTTTGAATGTGTCTCTACGGGCAATAAAAACAAAAAATATTTCAATGTGAATAGATGATTCTTTGTTTTTTATTGATTTATACGTATATGCTCTATTGATTTTTGCTTCAAATAAAATTGCAGACATTGATGGTTCAAAATAGATAACTTGTTTTGAGAGTTTTAGCTCCTAAAACCAGTAATACAACGTGACCCCAAAATATGCAACCCTCAATTCGTTTTTGGAATAACTTTGTCAATGATATACCCTTGCTAATATGTCATGATTTGCCTGAGTAAGCAAGTCTAGATTGTGTTCATACACATTGTCCTTGAATTGCTTTCATATAAATTATCTTTGAAGTACTTTCATACATATAATCCTTGAAGTGCTTTCAAACACATTTTCTCTGAAATGCTTTCAAACATATTATCCTTGAAATGCTTTAATACATATAATCTTTGAAGTGCTTTCATACACATTATCCTTAAAGTGCTTTTATACATACTATCCTTGAAGTGCTTTCATACACATTATCCTTAAAGTGCTTTTATACATACTATCCTTGAAGTGCTTTCATACACATTATCCTTATAGGCTTTCATATATATTATCTTTGTAATGCATACAAACACATTATCCTTGAAGTGCTATCAAACAAATACCTTTGTAGTGCTTCCACATTATCCTTAAAGTACTTTCATATACATCATCTTTCACACACAAGTGACATTATCCTTGAAGTACTTTCTTACACATTTTCCTTAAGTGCATTCATACACATTATCTTTTAGTTCTTTCACACATATTTTCCTTGAGGTACATTCATACACATTATCTTTGAAGTATCTAATGATAATGATATTGCAAATACAATGCGGAATATTTCATATTCATAGGCTGCATTTTGTGGACCACCCTGTACAAATGATACATGTATACATAGTGTATACAGAGGTCATTTCGATCAAGAGGTCGCTGTCTGAAGTTGTATTTATAACATTTAACTGTAGACATATTTCATGTTACTATTTAAAGAGTTCGATAAAGATGTCTCAGTATCAGAATGTTCTTAGTGGTAAACAAATAAAAAACATTACAGGACATTTTTCTATACAGAATTAAAAAGCAAAGTGTCTACTATATTTTATTAACTCGTTGTAACTTCATATTATTAGACGCAGCTCAGACAAGGAGGGTCAATGCCCTCTACAAGATGTGAACAAAATGGGGCAGAAATCTTCAGCATTTCTTAAATGGAACCATAACTTCAATCTTAAAGACAGACAATCTTTTAATTTTGCAGATTTACATTTCCACATTTTGAAATTTGTGGTATAAGTTTATTGAAAATTGATGGTTCAAGCTAATACTGCTGTAGATTATTCTAAAATATGCATTCAAATTCAATCCAATATTAACATTTAATAAATATGATTATACCTGCTCAAGTTACCCGCTCAAGGAGGTCCATAACCTTCAGTCTGCTGAGCGATATGTACAATAGAAATAGTGGTCGCCAGTCATTATTACTGGCTTCCATAATAGGTATTGGTGACGTTTTCCTCAAATGTAGACAAAAAGCAGTTTTTTTATTTAGCTATATTGGCTACTGGAGCCATGTTGGACTTTGGAGACAACCACATACATTTTTATTCTATAAAACAAATGGAGTTTGTGTTGATACTATTGTCCCCAAGCTATCACTGTTGTTGTCAATGAATTTCTAAATTGTGGAATGATGAATATATTCACCAAAACAGAGATAAATTGGAAAACTGTTAATGAGTTAGGATTCATTTACTGAAGAGGTGGAGGATATAATCAGTAGTAGAGATGCATGATTGAAGTTATTCCAAAAAATTCTTGCCATATTAATTAAAGATCTAGTCAGTGTATGTTTATAAATCTAGCTAGTCAGTGTGTAAATAGTACAAAAAGCTCATCCTATAAAGAATAATATTCCCTTCAGGTAGGATGCCTCTCTTCTTCCTCTTCCTTAACAGTGATTGAAAAACATTCTGGTGAATCACAAAGAAAACATTCTATTTTTATTTTGGAAAGTATGTACTCATTCTCCTCACTGTCCTAACTCAATTTCATTACTTCTAATAAGATCTCCCCAGCATTGAAGTGAGTGGGCACAGCACCCACTTGAAATTTTAAAAAATAAGCTTGCAACCACCTGAAAACCCATTTGCATCCACTTCAAAGTTGGAAAAATTCATAAAAAACTGGCATATTTTGATCATTTTTTGGGCAAAACTGAAAAAATAATAATATTGCACCTATTGAGAAAAAATCCTGGTGAAAACACTGCATAGGTAATATTATATAGGTAAGCATCATATAAATATACAATTGTATGACACCATATTTTATCTAATAGCCTGCTATATGAAAGTAAACTGATGACTACAGTATATGTACAATGCATCCATCCCATCCATCAAACAGGATTAGAGTATATCTCCTAATCTAACCAAAATTGGTTTTTGAGGAAATACCAGAAAAGTTATCGTTCATGTAGGTTTATGAAACATTTCCTGCATACTTGTGTAAGAGACACAGAGTTATCAGCAAGACTATGTACACAACTCACAAAGCTGCAAACCTAATCCACACTGTCTCCTGATAAAAGGCCTAAAATTGTTCATTTAAACTATAAGATAATATTTTAGTATGTAAATGTAAATTCCAACTACTTTTGCCATCATTCATCAAGATGCTTCTGTGCATACTTTGTGTTATTTTTAACATTAATAACAAAAGTTTGCTTATGAACAGAAATAGATTGTTCTTGAAAATGAGATGTAATCTTAATGCAACAGATTGATTTATTTTTTATATTTTGGAACTTAAATTGGAAAAAGAAAGCTCTTCATATATGAATCATTAGCACTTTTGTCTAACATAAAATAATTTTTGCAAGAGCAGAACAGTGGTATTTATTACTGTAGGCCAGATGTGGTGGTAGTCTTACTAGTAATTAGCTTCACTGAAACTATGAACTAGCCAATGAACCTATTGCATTACCTATACTGCTGACTGACTATGTAATATACTATACAGATTTTATGATAGTTCTTATTATTGGAGGGGTTAGTGGAAACAGTTTTAGAAGAGAAATGGTTATTTGAAATAGATATTAACAGAGGCTTTCTCATGCTAATCTCTGAAAACAATGCATCAATGACACCGTTTAGCAGCCCCACCCCCAAGACTGGTACCTGAGACAGCCCAGGTCACAAATCATTTCAAACCTACCACGCTGAGCTTTTCAATCAGCAACTGGGAGGAACACATGCTAAATGCTTACTCATTAACTATGCAATGACGAGGAAATATTCATATATGGAAAGTCATCCATATTTCGACAACAAACTCTGGTTGGCAAGGTGAGTTCAGAGATTTATTGTCAACTGAAAGGGTGAAGATGAAACTCTCTTTTGAAAGCGTAGCGAAAAAATGCAAAGGGCAGTCTTGCAGGGACAGAACATTGTCAAATTGTTTTGTCAAATGACTCCCAAGCAAACAGTTCATAACAAAACAATGTATGGCAAAATGTTTGGTAAAATGCCGAAAGAGACAACTGCATAAAATAACTCAAATACAAAAAAGTTCAATAAAGAGTTGAATACTCACAAGATTGTTGTTTCTGGGGGAACTTTGGGGATTCTGGCCAGTTGCAGAAACATGCATCTCACGGTAGTCCTGAAGCAGAGGCATCTACTTGGACAGAACCCAACTGTGCCCTGTATAGTAAGCAACAGCAATAGGCAGATCAGTTTCATTCTGAATGAATTAATCCATAGAATCCTGACAAATAATCCAGAAGACTGATCCGTGTAACTTTTCTGAAAACTTTTGAGATCGTATGAACCGAACGACACACTTTACATTAGTGCGCTAAGAAGTTAATCCCATTTTTGATGAACATTTTTAATTTTTTTCACTCCTTTAATAAGTAAAATTACAAAAGTCATTCAAATTTTAGCCTCCAGATGTATTTGGAAATTTGGTTTGATGCTGTTTAAATACATTATTTACCTATTTATAGTTTTTTAAATTGTGCTATGGCGGATGAATATGTCAGGGCTTTTTAACTATTTCGTCCAGTGCGCCTTTTCCCGGGAATAAAAAATATTTAAAAGATACAACTTGTTTGATGTTTTCCAAATGACATAATTGGTAGGAGTGAGTTTAGAAACGATCACTTTATAAGTTAAATTGAATCCATCAGATTGAATCCATCAGAAATGAACACAAAGAACGAATGTTTTAGGTGGTCCACCTGAGACTGTATTTCTAAAATGATAAATATACAGGCAGGCCCATAGCCAGGGGGGTGGAGACTTGAGTGGAGGCAGTTTTTCACAATTCCGAGCACTTTTCGTACGATTTTTTGCCAAAACTGTCAAAAAGCTCCCCCCCCCCCCCTTGGCAAAGACTACCGCCTTGGTAAACCCCCCCCCCCAGTGCATTAACAAGTCAGCATTGCTTTTAAAAAAAGTTAAACAGCATTTAAAAAATAAACCTGGTAGTAATTTCCAGTTGCGCTGTTATTAAAAGAAAATGAAGTTTATATCTATAATATCAACAACTATGATGCAGTATTTTTAAGAACATTCAAAATATATCAATTATATCAAAAATCTGATCATAAAAATGCCCACATCAACCCAGTAAGCTCATATGGAGAAGGACATTCACGATACATATCATTAATTTTAAGAAAGACCATGAAATACTGCTGAATGTTTGTTTTTCAAGTAGAATAATGATATAAACACTATTGTTTTTATTTTTGATAGAATGGAATTGTATTATTGCCTGTAAACTGCATTATCAAACAGAAATGTAATATTTTTATGTAGTAAAATATAATTGTTTATTATATAATTTCTTCCGTATTGTATAAATTAACAGCAATCACAACAAAGTATAAATGTATATAGATCTGCTTATTGAATACCCTTTATAATGATATTCAAAGCACACCAATCAGAGCACACTGCCCAACTAAAGTTAAACAACATTCCTTCTAATATAAATAAACCATTATACAATATTGAACAAACACACAAAAACAATTTGTACCTGTATACCTGCTAGTGTTGTCGCGATGTGCCATAATCGTACATCGATGCATCAGCAATTTTCAGTAGTAAACATCGATGCACATCGCGATGTACATCGAGAAAAAGTTCGAGAAAAGTGCACTGAAATACCGAACGCTAATGCACTAAAATATCGAACAGAACAAAGTAATAAGAGTATGCTGGTACATCCGGGAACAAAGTAACGGTGAAATGAAAGTAAAGTAATTTTTTTAGATTAATGGTTCATTTCGACTAGCTAAAACAGTTTTAAAGCGAAAGAATATCAGAAAACATTTGAAAATGAAATAAGACATGAAAAAAGGTAAGCAATTTGCGTCAAAATAAGATAAGAAAGGGCGATTTTTAGCAAATTAAAATTATTTAAAAACATCGTTGTTTTGTTTCAGACATCGATGCATCGCCAGAACCAGCTTTGGCGATGTATATCGCGATGTATCGATTAATCGCGACAACACTAATACCTGCTTCCGATTATTTACATGTTTATCACCAACTCCCATTGCAGTGTTTGGCAAGTAAAAAAATCAGAATGTGACAAAATGACAAAAATTGGAGAATAATGGATATTATTATGGAAATAACTCTAAATAGCCCATGGGCTATATGAACAGGTAATCAAAACAAACAAAGTATAATGTATTTCAATATTGTGAGTCATGCGAATATATTTTGATTTTTGTGTCTTAGTTAAAGGTAGTATCAGATCGAGTGAGTGACCTTAACAAAACTTGTTTCAATTTTAGAATATTTTGGCTCAAATAATTCCTTGCTGTATGCTTAGTTTCTCAAAACATACCCTGAAAGCATACTTTAATGCAGGAAAGCAAAAGATTTTTACAATTATGTACTTTGAATCTTAAATAACTTCAAATTACAACATGTCATGGACCTTTTGGGAGATCATAAGGAACACATTGCTAGATCAATTTGACATGTTGCTTGCATTTTTTGTCACCCCTACAAATCCGATTCTGCCTTTAATAATTGATTCTCAGATTCTCAAATACTTTGGGCTGTTTTTTAAAACAATGTTTCAGTAGAGATTATTTAGAATATTTCTGGATATAATGATAGGCCTCCCAATATCTAGTGACCAGGCCTAAATTTTCATCAAGGTATACTGGTACATTGTTAGTAACATGGGTTCATAGCTACCAAAGTGGCACAAACTGTGTATTTCTAACTAAAATTTCAATATCTTAAGGTATTCAATTCTAAATATAACATCCAGTACTATATATAAATACAATTTAAAATTTAAATAAACATACTCTATTTTATATACACATTTCTACACTTTCTGGTACAACTATTTTCCATCAAATTAATTTATGTAAGAGCACCTTAAAGTGGAGTTCACATTGTACAGGTTTGATTTACATACATTTCATTGTTACTATTACAGCATTCACTCTCTCTTTAATAAATACTTCATATTATCACATCATAAATGATATGTTTATTGCACATTACAAAATCACATTCATTCACAGTAAAATTATGCTTTGCAAACAGGCACATACAATATCGAGTTATTCATCATTTCTACTTGAAAATCATAAAAACCTAAATAGTCAGGTTTGAAGAGGAGATAAGTTCACAGAATATTTCAAAAATATATAGAAGCAATCTTTAGGTGGATTTCAAAACTTCATACCATCCTTTTGAGAACCTGAAGTGGCACCAAGCAATCCATTGACTGTTTCACAAAAAATCCAAGATGGCTGCCACAATGTATTGACAAATCACTAAAATTGACTAATATCATCATTTAATTTGTCAAAATAGTTAAATACTGATCAAACATGACTAATAATAGTACCTATTAGATGGTCATATGCATTTAAAGTCACTAGATTTTTTTTGTGTGAAAACAGGAGTCCCACAAGGCTCAACTTTATGTCCCCTACTTTTTTAGTCCAATGACTTTCATTGACCATGGCATTTGTACATTGCAATGTATAGAAATCAATTTTTGTAACATGTGCACCTAGGACCACATTTCACCTTGTACCCACACTTGACCAATGCTTGGCATGCCTTAGCTGCTTGAGGAAGGGCTGTACATGGTGGCATCAGGAGGGACATGTCATTCTGCCAGCCACATGTTGTGAACTCTATAATCATTTTGGTTATGGCACCAAACTATACTGCCTTGGTTAGCAAGTTAAGATTTTTTGTGCAATTTTCAATGACTTTATGACCGTTACAGAACATTAGCCTTCGTGCTGCATTGATATCTGTCTGGTTGCTGGTTCAATCATATAATAAAACAGTAAAATGTTCCAGGGACTGAATGGCTTGAACTGACAAAGGCAGGTTTGTTGTAACCATTTGTGCCACTTGTAGAAAAGCTGGAGTAACTTACTTGAACACATTCCATAGATTGAAGGGCAGATTTTTAGCTATGGCCAAAGAATGGTGCAGTTAAATAATATATATTAATACCTGTAATTTTTGAGAGGTCCGAAGGCAATCCAGATTGACACCTATTGTGCCCTAATGCTGCAGCCATGGCAAGAAAAAGGACATCAGTATCTCCACTTCTGATTATGAAGTATTTTTTACCCTCTGAGGTCATCTGTTTTATATGAACAAAGAGCCTAGTGTCAGCTTTTTCATGAGTAAAAGGTTCAATCATTGCTGTATCTGGCAATTGAGGAAAGCACTGAAGAGATTCCCAAATGGTAGTTATCATTTGCTTTTCATTAACATCAACCTCAGACATAAAGTTGCCCAGGAATGCAAACAGCCTAGTCTGGTTCCATTGGATGTTAGAAAGGCTGGTCAATACTGTGGCATTTGTGCATCTCTGCATAGATCATCCTTCTAGCACCAGTGCCATGATAAATCCTTGTTAGAGACTTCTCACTGTTTTGTAGGTAAACATTTCAGACAAAATCTAATCTTGGAACACCTTCCATAAGCTGCCTAATTGACTTGGCATGAAACACCAGAAAGGAGCAGTCTATTAAAACTGCATCTGCAGGTGGCTTTTCCAATACTCTGGGTTCATCTGGCTTAGTTTCTAGGCATTTAGGTAGGTCATTTAGTTGTAGGTCTCATGGCTCCATGCTTAGCTAGGGATGGCGGGAACTCGTGGTTTTCATGTTTGAAAAACCCAGACATGTTATGTCTTGATTGTCAAAGGCAAGCAATATAGAGCATAGCAAAAAGGTAATTTTCTTCTCTCAGTTTCTTGACCTCAGGAATCACTGCAGATGATTCTTTCTTTCTCCCTAGACCACACCAACTATGCAAGCAAGTGAATCCTGAAGTCAAGGAACTCAGAAATGATTGTGACCTTTTTGCTATTACTCTACATTGCATGCCAATCAAGACACAATGACATGTCTGAGTTTTTAAAATATGAAAACCATGAGTTCCCGCCATCCATACCTAAGCATGGAGCCATGAAACCTACAACAAAAGCAGACTTTATTTAATGTCAAGAAGCTAAGCCAGATGAATCTGAAGTATTGGAAAAGCCACCTGCATCCTGGTGTGGCTACCAACTTCCAAGAATATGGTACCAATGTCTCATCCCAAGTTAAGGCAGCCTATGGAAGGTGTTTCAAGATAAGATATTATCTGGGATATCTACCTATAAAACAGTAGGAAGTCCCTGACAAGGATTCATTGTGGCAATGGATGGTTTATGCAGAGAATGTGATGTTCCAGAATTGGTTAGGCTTTCTAAGAAACAACCAGAACAAGACTGAGCTGTTAGCATTCCTGGCCAACTCTATTTTTGAGGTTGATGTTTATGACTATTGTGGAATCTGTTAAGTGCTTTCCTCAGTTGCTAGTGACAGTAATGATTGAACCTTCTACTCATGAAGAAGCTGATACTACACTAGACTCTTTGTTCAGGTAAAACAGATGACCTCAGAGGGTAAAAAAGACTTCATAAACAGAATCAGTGGAGATACTGGTGTAGTTGTTCTTGCCATGACTGCAGCATTAGGGTGCAATAAGTGCCAAGCTGGATTGCCTTCTGACCTCTCAAAAAATACAGGTATTAAATTATATTATATAACTGCACCATCCTTTGGCCAATAGCAAAGAATCTGCCCTTCAAGCTATGGAATGTGTTCAAGGAAGTTACTCCAGCTTTTCTACAAGTAGCACAAATGGTTACAACAAACCTGACTTTGTCAGTTCATGCCATTCAGTCCCAAAAACGTTTTACTGCACTAGTATATGATCGAACCAGCAACCAGATAGATATCGATGCAGCACAAATGCAAATGTTCTGTGATGGCCATATAGTCATTGATAGAATGCCACCAACAAAAGGAGCCCTTGCACAGAAAATTTTAAGAACTTGCCCTACCAAGGTGGTATTGTTTGGGGCCAGCTGTACAATCTCAATCCAACATGGGTATCGGAGTTCACAACATGGGGCTGGCAGTATGACATGTCCCTCCTGGTGCCACTATATACAGCCCTTCCTCAAGCAGCATGCGAAGCATTGGTCAAGTGTGGGTGTAAGGTGAAATGTAATCCAAGGTGCACATGTTACAAAAATGGACTTCTATGCATTGCTATGTGCAAATGCCATGGTCAATACAAAAAAAGTAGCGGACATAAAGCTGAGCCTTGTGGGACTCCAGTTTTCACACAAAAATGATCCAATGACTTTAAATGGATATGAACTTCTGATAGGTACTATTATTAGTCATGTTTGATCAGTATACAACTATTTTGACTTATTAAATCATAACTTTAGTCATTTTTTATGATTTTTTGATACATCGTGGCGGCCATCTTGGATTTTCGGTGAAAAAGTCAATGGATTGCTTGGTGCCACTTCAGGTTTTCAAAAGAATGGTAGGAAGTTTTGAAATCCACCTTAAAATTGCTTCTATATATTTTTGAAATATTTTCACCTAAATCTTCTTGACTAAAATGAGTGACTGAACGCATCACAAATCAAGGTTTGAAAGAGAGCAAACCTCAAATAAGGTGCTTTTTAAGGCCATATTTGATGATATACGATAGCTTGACTGAGACAAATCAAAATCTATGTTAAGAAAATCAAAATCATGGCAACATTTCATTGTAAATCTTAAGTATGCATAGGTTCCATTCAGAGTCCAATGTGTATGGTCCAATGGTCCATTCAGTGTCCAACATGTATGGCTCATTCAATGTCCAATGTGTATGGCTCATTAAGTGTTCTATATGTATGGCTCATTTAGTGTTCTATATGTATGGTCCATTCAGAGTCCAATGTGTATGGTCCATTCAGAGTCCAATGTCTATGGTCCATTCAGTGTCCAATGTGTATGGTCCATTCAGAGTCCAATGTGTATGGTCCATTCAGAGTCCAATGTCTATGGTCCATTCAGTGTCCAATGTGTATGGTCCATTCAGTGTCCAATGTGTATGGTCCATTCAGACTCCAATGTCTATGGTCCATTCAGTGTCCAATGTGTATGGTCCATTCAGAGTCCAATATGTATGGCTCATTTAGTGTCAAATGTGTATGGCTCATTAAGTGTCCAATATGTATGGTCCATTCAGTGTCCAATGTGTATGGTCCATTCAGACTCCAATGTCTATGGTCCATTCAGTGTCCAATCTGTATGGTCCATTCAGAGTCCAATGTCTATGGTCCATTCAGTGTCCAATATGTATGGTCCAATCATATCTTTACTGTTATCTGCCAACTCTAGATCTCCTATGTGATCCATATCCTGATATAAGTAATCTCCATCCCTGAAGGTCCTCAAAGTTTATTATAGGACAGCTATAATACTTTCAGTATATAATACTGAGCATCTAACATATTGAGTATCATTTTCGTATTGTAATGTTTTCATAGTACATGTTGTTCAAAAGTGTATATAGGGGTTGAGCTTTTTATAATGCTTTTGTCTTGTTTGCCATATATCACGTGGGTTATAAACTGGTGTGGTTGTGGTATGGGATACTTCAGGTGATGTCATGTTACTACGTTGTTTTTATTCCCAGTTTGTATTTTAACCTTTTGTTAGTAGTTCTGAAAAGATAAGACACAATATTCATGTGTTATTGTGATGTACACAAGCATTATTATACATATTCTGGTATGAATAAATTGAAAGTATACTGTGCTGATATTTGAACTATTGTACAACAAGTCTATGTATTTCATTGGCATGAAATAGCTGGCAATGTTAAGGCACAATCTAATAAGTCTTCTTCGAACTTAGCAGAATTTCTCAAATTGGGGACCTTATTTCTCGGTTATGTCAATTTTGAAGAACTAAAAAATAATAATGAAAATTGGTGGCAGCCATCTGTCTCATATTGTCTCCTCGTATTATTTAAGTTTTATTCATTTTGTAAGGAATACCCTGTATTCAGGATATAAAGCCTTAAAAGGTATTTCATTACACATACCTCGATGTGTTACTAAAGACAAGTGAGTATGTTCCTGTCTGTCTCGCAGTAAGTTCACCCTGCACTGGCTCCTTGTGGGAGTTCACCTTACATGCAGGGATCAATGTACTCAAAGAGGCACCCTCCTTACAGTCTTCAAATGTGACACTGAATGAGACGCTCTGAAAATGTTGGACAAGTTTCATATGAAGGCCTACACTTTACTAGGTTTTCAGAACATTGCATTGCAGGTTTTATCTTTATTTTTTATTTTCATCTTTAATCTTACCTATAATGAACTATTTATCTTTTAGAGGAAGCCATAGTTCCAGGTGGTAGAATTGAGTTCCTGATACATATATGAAATTTTTTATTACCTTTGGCTCAGTGGTAAAGTGCCAACTAAGTGCCATTCCAGCTTTGATCTCCACAGAGACTGTGAAACTGTCCCCAGGTGGCACATCACTATTTCTCTCAGTATTATTGCGCCTCTCCAGGTCAGAGTGACTCAATTGCAAATGGGACGGATTATAACTGAAATCAAATCAGACATAATTAATGTGTTTTGTGGACATTATGGTGTAGCATGAATGTTAAATCATTGTGAAAGGGATGCATCTTTTGTTTCCTTTGTAAAAGTCTTGTCTATACAATGTTCATTCAATTTGATATTTTTATTTGCATGAAGCATGTTGCAACCTTGTGCAGTGAAGGTTTCTTAGATGAAATAACTTACGTCGAATCAGAAGACCTGATAAATTCAGATTCAGACAATGAGCGGGATATTTCTTCCTCGGTGATGCATTCAAATGTGTCATCATGGGAACTTCCTCCTCCTTCATTAATGGGGATGTTACTGGAAAATGCAAGCACAGATGTGATATGCACCTTATGTGCACAAAGTAAAAGGTTGAAGTGTGACACACCAGATTCTTGAGTTTGACCAGATTAGGTCAATCTGGCTTTATTCACAAGACAATTATTTAGGCCCTAGATCAAAATTTTTAATGTAACATATTTTCCAAAGGTTCTGACTAAGTGAATACCTTGAAGTCACATATAGTTGTATGAAATAAATTACTTCTTCTGTGGCAAATTGATTTGATAACACTTTTCTATTACATCCCATCCCAAACTTTTTTATTGACATGTACTTTTTAATGTACAGTCTAAGCTGTTCCCAAAATGATTCATCTTTATCTCCATGTGGACTTACACAGAATTCTCTGGAGCTGGTGTTTCAGTGTCAATAATTGAGGCATCCTCTCCTACACTGGCTTCAAGCTCCTCTGTGCTTGTGGTGCTTTCAGCTGTAATAAAGAAGGGTACATATGCTCATATGCATTAGACTAAACTGCAGGTACGTAGCCACCTTTCAGTCGGGAGGGGGGTGCGATCTACTAGTGCGATTGTGTCATAAGCAAGCCAATATTTTGAATTTTACAAAAACTGATGCAACTTCCTTCAAAATTGAGCTAGAAGCTTCAAATAAAAGCATTTCAAGGCTATTTTCTTGTTCTATCTCATGGTTTTATTTTCAACACAATCGCTATCTACACAATGACTGACTTTTTAGAATAACTTGGTTGTAGAAGTATAAGGAAATGGAAAATCATTTATCACATCATTTTCCAATTGAGGGTCCAATTCTGCTTTTACAATGTATGAATAACAACAATAAACAAGGCATTAACATGACAAAATGTCACCACCTAAAACAATTTGGTCAATTTAAAGCAAGTTGGAAAATACCTTTTGATCTTAAGAAGGTTTGATTTGAACTTCTTAGAACATGTAGATGATTTTTAAAAAAAATTTGTCAATTTGAAGCAAGTTGAAAAAAAACCTCTTTGACTTTTTTTGACATTGAGAAGGTCATTGAAGGTCAAATGTAAAGTCAGATTTGAACTTCTGAGAACATGTAGATGATTTTGAAAAAAAAATTAAGTAAATTTGAAGCAAGTTAAAAAAGACCTTTTTGACCTTGAAAAGGTCATTGAAAGTCAAATGTCAAATCTAAAGTCAGATTTGAACTTCTGAGAACATGTAGATGATTTTGAAAAAAAATTAGTCAATTTGAAGCAAGTTGAAAAAAAGACCTTTTTGACCTTGAGAAGGTCATTGAAGGTCAAAGGTCAAATCTAAAGTCAGATTTGAACTTCTGAGAACTTGTAAAGTCAAATTTGAACTTCTGAAAAGATGTAGACGATTTTGAAAAAAAAATTTGGTCAATTTGAAGCAAGTTGAAAACAGACCTTTTTGACCTTTTTTGACCTTGAGAAGGTCATTAAAGGTCAAATGTCAAATCTAAAGTCAGATTTGAATTTCTGAGAACATGTAGATGATTTTGAAAAAAAAATTAGTCAATTTGAAGCAAGTTGAAAAAAGACCTTTTTGACCTTTTTTGACCTTGAGAAGGTCATTGAAGGTCAAATGTAAAATCTCAAGTCAAATCTTAAGTCATATTTGAATTTCTGAGAACATGTAGATGATTTTGAAAAAAAAAATTAGTCAATTTGAAGCAAGATGAAAAAATACCTTTTTGACCTTTTTTGACATTGAGAAGGTCATTGAAGGTCAAATGTCAAATCTAAAGTCAGATTTGAATTTCTGAGAACATGTAGATGATTTTGAAAAAAAAATTTAGTCAATTTGAAGCAAGTTGAAAAAAGACCTTTTGACCTTTTTTGACCTTGAGAAGGTCATTGAAGGTCAAATGTCAAATCTTAAGTCAAATCCTAAGTCAGATTTGAATTTCTGAGAACACGTAGATGATTTTGAAAAAAAAATTTAGTCAATTTGAAGCAAGTTGAAAACAGACCTTTTTGACCTTTTTTGACCTTGAGAAGGTCATTGAAGGTCAAATGTCAAATCTAAAGTCAGATTTGAAGGTCAAATGTCAAATCTAAAGTCAGATTCGAATTTCTGAGAACATGTAGATGATTTTGAAAAAAAATTTAGTCAATGTGAAGCAAGTTGAAAAAAGACCTTTTTGACCTTGAGAAGGTCATTGAAGGTCAAATGTCAAATCTAAAGTCAGATTTGAACCTCTGAGAACATGTAGATGATTTAGAAAAAAATTGAAGTCAGTCTAAACAGTATTTGTTAAGTTATAGGAAGTTGTAAGAAATTGTTACAGACGCTGGACGCCAACCGCCGGACGCCAACCGCCGGACACCAACCGCCGTCGCAAAAAAAACGGAGACCATAACAATATGTCACCACTTTTGGTGGTGACATAAAAACCTTTTACCATAAATTGAAAATTTGTGTTGCAATTTAATAATCTAAAATTGTAACTTGCAACAAAAGTATTACATTATACTACAGAATATGGAATTCACTAATCCACTTAATTACCAGTGAGTGAGGATGAATGGTCAGATTGACCATCAGGTGCTTTCCAACTTGGACTACGTTTGTGTGGTAATTGGATGGATTGTTCAAATTCACCCTCTGCCTCCTCACCCTCTTCCCCATCTTTGGGAGCCTTCTCTTCCCTCAGCTCACTGTGGCTCATAAAGCAATCATTGCACACTCGGATCTTCTTGCTGAGAAAGAAACCACCAAATTATACAAGGCATTAACACGCAAAATGTCATCACATGTCGTTTGTTACAGATGTCAAACACCAACCACCAAATCCCATGCATAAAAAAGTTGGGAGACTATAAGATTATGTCACCACTTGTGGTGGTGATGTAAAAAGTTTTAAACAAATACAGTATAAAACTATTTGGGAGAAATCATTGAAAACAACAGTAACAATACAATAATAGAATTAATAGCAGTATATTGGCAAATTCCAAAGCATCATTATGGAGAATTATTGAGAACAGATGAATTACAAGAATCTTTCATTTTGCTACTTTCTCTATATGGTATAAGTGAAGCAAACCTGCTCTGTGGAGTGAGGGTCCAGTTGTTTGAACAGTTGTAACAGAATATACGGCCACACATTCTGCAATGATGCTGCAATGAAGTAATGAATATTAAATATGCAACACTCAGAACATCCAAGTAAATTGAAAGCATATCTTCATTATATTATTTGGGTGAAACTATGTAGTGCTATTCAAACAATTACATGTACATATTCCTACAATAAGATATTCAACAACAAAATCAAAACTGAGTTTGAATAATGGACATGTTCTTCTGAGTAGCCACATAACCTTCTAATAATATATACATTGGAGTAATTCTTACCCTTCTTAGCATGAGAGAGAAATCTGAGTTGCAGTTCATGCAACTTGGAACTTCTTTGTCATCCATCCATTTATCACTGGCCTTTACCTTCTGCATGTACTCCAACTTGTCAGTCTTTTGCCAAAGATTGTCTTTCTCCCTATATAACATACAATTACATTTTATCAATGCTGTATTTCTAATCATGCATAATACAATTTTACTCTGTAACAAACACTGTAGGTGTACAGTTAAACCTGACTCATCAGAACAACACTGGGACCAGCCAAATGTGTTCAGATTAACAGGTGTTCAAATATTAAGTTTCTTTATATAACCATTGATGATAGAATAAAAATTGGACCAAAATGTTCACACAGAGAGGTATAAGGAATAAAGAGGTGACCGGATACACATGTTTTACTTTGATTGTGCTTTATTTCCACATCAATATTCTCCATTGTAAAGCCTCAGGGTAAGTCTACATTATGTTGTAGGGCTTTGAGTTGATTTTACCTCAGTAACTTGACCAATTTTTTCTGCATTTCTACCATGTCGGATCTCATGGTTGTCTTCTCTGCCTCATTCTCTTTCATGGCACTAGTTAGTTCATTCTGAAATAAAAGCAATACCTTTCTGTATAAGAACCAGTGTCAGACCTTTCATGGCTACAGCAAATCGTTTACTAAAAACAACTCACATAGGAAAATCATGGGATACTCTATTATATTTTTTTCCTTTTGATGGTAATTGGTGGTTTTCAGCAATACTGTTTATGTTAAATTCGAATGTAGCCAAACACCAAAAAAGTTTCAAAACATTTATGCTGTTTGTTCTCCTTGTGGAATTTCTTATACAAAAGGCATGAAAATTTTACTAAACATTTACCTACCTTGTATTTCAATACCAAGTTTCTCTCCTCATCTAATATTGTGTTAATCTAAAACAAGAACACAAATGTGTACAAAATGTCCCCACCAATGGGTGATCCCATCAAATGGTTATCCTGAAAATGAGTAGACAAGACTTTACCAACACAATTTGAGGACGGAAAATCCAAAATGGCCACCTTAAAATTTACCCAGAATGCCAAAAATTTAGTCAGTTCTAGATTTTCAAACTAAGAACCACCCCTGAAAATTTTTAATTGATCCGTCACACAGTTAACTAGAAAACATGTAAACAAGACTTTACAGACAAGATTTTAGGATGGAAAATCCAAAATGGCTGCCTTGACATTTACCCAGAATGTCAAAAAACTAATCTGTTCCTAGATTTTCATTATAAGAATCATCCCTGAAAATATGACATCGATCTACCAAATGGTTCACCTGAAAACGCGTAGACAAGACTTTACAGACAAGATTTTAGGACAGAAAATCCAAAATGGCTGCCTTGACATTTACCCAGAATGTCAAAAAACTAATCTGTTCCTAGATTTTCATTATAAGAATCATCCCTGAAAATATGACATCGATCTACCAAATGGTTCACCTGAAAACGCGTAGACATGACTTTACAGACAAGATTTTAGGACAGAAAATCCAAAATGGCTGCCATGACATTTACACAGAATGCCAAAAAACTAATCAGATGTAGATTTTCACACTAAGAATCATCCCTGAAAATTTGAAATTGATCTACCAAACGGTTCACCTAAAAACGCGTAGACAAGACTTTACAGGCAAGATTTTAAGACGGAAAATCCAAAATGGCTGCCTTGACATTTATCCAGAATGCCAAAAAACTAATCAGATCTAGATTTTCATACTAAGAATCATCCCTAAAAATTTGAAATTGATCTACAGAACGGTTCACCTGGAAATGCATAGACAAGACTTTACAGACAAGATTTTAGGACAGAAAATCCAAAATGGCTGCCTTGACATTTGCCATGATTGCCAAAAAACTAATCAGTTCTACATTTTCATACTAAGAATCATCTCTGAAAATTTGAAATTGATCTACCAAACGGTTCACCTGAAAACGCGTAGACAAGACTTTACAGACAAGATTTTAGGACGGAAAATCCAAAATGGCTGCCTTGACATTTACCCAGAATGCCAAAAAACAAATCAGATCTAGATTTTTATACTAAGAATCATCCCTGAAAATTTGAAATTGATCCACCAAACGGTTCACCTGAAAACACGTAGACAAGACTTTACTGACAAGATTTTAGGACGGAAAAATCCAAAATGGCCGACAATAAAAAAGTGATTATGTGTTTTTGCTGATTTCTTCTTACAAAATTATCAAATATAACTACTGTTAACAATAACATAGGCTTTTACAACAAAGTACATGTGAAATTATTTATAAAGCTACTAAATAGTTAAAGTATGAAAAGTCAAAAACACCATTCAATATGATACAAAGTATTATCGTGCGCTAACTTTTCTTAAGACATTCAAAATGGCTGACATGACTGAGCTAACAGGTCCAAAACCTAATCAGATCTAGAATGAAGTGAGCTGAACAAGATGTTAAAGTTTTAAAAGCAACTGTGAAGCCATTTTTCTTAAAGTTTGCAGACAAGGATTTTAGCATTTGACTTCAAAATGGCCGACAGGAAGTAGGTATCGAGTTAAAATTTTTTCATCCACATCTATATGCACTCATAAGTTATCCCTGAAAATTTGAAGGTGATATCTGTAGCGGTTTTGGAGAAAACTCCCGGACGTACGGACAGACGGACGGACAGACGGACGGACAGACGGACGCGCCTAGGCCGACAATATGGCCCCACACTATGTGGTGGGGACATAACAAAATGAATTTAGCTTGCAGTACATGTCAATTCATATTTTCTTACGAAATAATTATATCATTCTAATAGACACTTTAAGTCACATTTCTACTCAGAGTTAGTTTATTTCAAAAATGCTTCTCCAATTGGCCAGTTTGTTGTCAGTGACATGGCCAATTTGTGGTATATGTACATGTACAGTATAAGCATTAAAGAAAGTATAATATTTACCCTTCTTAGCTCTTCGTTCAGCATCCTGCATTCCTCATCTCTTGAGGAGACAAGACTCCTAAGATCTTCCAGCTATAAACAAAATAAGTGTGTCATTCAAGCTATCTATGATAGTACTATAGTTACATACATACTCAATATACCTTGTATTCACAGGCTTACATGTGTACTCACATAAGACATATATGGAGTCCAACATTCCATAATTCTGTGTGGCAAGTAGGAATTGCTAGTGATTTAAAAGCATGGGCAAAGCAGAGACATAAAATTTGTAGTCCCTGATATAAGTTGGAAGCAATATATGTGCTGGATAGGTGCTCAGAACAGGTTTTTCCATTTCATTATTTAAATCAATTTTAATCAATAGCCTAATGTGAAATTTCTTAACAGATGGATCAGATTGGAGGTGTTGGTGAGCTGCTGACAACCTGAAACACCCTTATGTACAAATAAGGTATAAGATATTATTTGTGTTTGGTTACCTCTCTCCACTGTCTATCTTGTTCCAGAGACCTTTCAGTCCTGATCTCTTCCAACTCCATTTCAAGAGTCTCAATGATTTGCTCTTGGTCTGTCATCTTCTCATTCATACTACTGATATCCACATTCTGCTCCAGGTAACCCTGTAGTGGGAGGTAAAGCAAGTGATGGGGTCAGCATATCAACACAAAGTCCAAAGGGTAACATAAGAAAGCACAAGATAACCTTTACAAAAGAGTCCTTTATGATATACACTTTCCAAATGATATACTCATTTTAGTCATTCCATGTTTCACATTATTTCAATCATTGATTAATTACTCTATTGATGTTTTTATGATTGAAATCGTACTATTATAATCACAAAGATATAAGGCTTGTTTGTGTAAGGGTTAGCAAATAATAATCAAATGTACACTTGGGTGAGAGGACAACTAAATTTGTGAAGCAGGAAAGCATGCAGTCATTGCAGTGTACTAAGGAAACATATACAAAACATAAACTGAACCTAACAAAAATGCAAAATACAATACATAAAAATAAAAAATACAATTATAGTATACAAGATAAACAAATGAACAGATATAACAAAAATTAAATAAACCTTCAAATAAATGGTGAGAAAACAAACAATTTAACAAGGCATTAACATGCAAAATGTCACCACCTATCAATAGTTACAGAAGCCAACTGCTGTTGCAGACACCGAATGCTGTTACAGATGCCAAACACCAACTGCCAAACACCATCCATAATAAAGTTAGAGACTATAACAATATGTCACCACTTCTGGTGGTGACATAGAAGTGGTGACATAATAAATGGTGAGACATTCAAATGCATTATTATGTTCTATGTTATCAGCAAATATATGCTAATGCAGCAGACAAGTCATTCAGAAGCTGAAACAAATCAAATCAAACTATCAATCTGAGAGAATGATCCATGAAAACAGCACTCTTTTCCCTCCAAATTCACACAATTTGAGTGCACCAGTTCTTATTCTTGTAATAGAGGCCCAATTTTTTGTTTTAACTCTCTCATGACTGAAAATTTGGGGGAAAATGGGCAGAAATGAAAAACTTAAATGTAAATGAATCTAGAAGCAAGAAAAGGAAGCAACACCCAAGAAGTTATATGTCATTTTGAAGGGCTATACCCATACTTTATGTTTTTTGAAAAAAATGTGAATATGCAAATGAGATAGTGTCATTGTGACGTCATAATTCAAGATGGCGCATTTGGATTTTTTTCAAAATGGAATTATGTTAGCATTTTATTTTTTATTGAGACTTTAATTTACAAATCTGAAAACGCAGAATTATAGATCTTTTTATGTTGATTCCAGTGGGATTTGTACCATGACGTAACTCCTACAAATAAATTTTTTAGAGCTTCGAGACTGCAAATTCTCGGAAAATCCCTATGGCGATTTAACATGGGATTTTATTGTTTTCGATGTTTTTTCGCGACGTGTCAGATTCAAGTGCCTCTAACTTTGCACAGAGTCATCAGATTCAAACAATCTTTTTTTTAAAATGTTCCTAATGGTCCATACTTTTAGAAAATGCATTATTCTTGCAATTTTATTGAAATGAGGCCCCTGGAGACCCCTTAGAATAGCAATAAACAAAATCGATCATATATGATCGATTTTGTTCTAAGGGGTCTCCAAGGGACCCCTGATGATAAAAATGCATGATTTATCAATTTATTTAATCTTGAAGTCTGTACAAACATTTTAAAAAAAAGTTCATGACTTTTCGTTTAGTATTTCCAAAGTTACAGTGATCCGAAGCTGGTGAGCGCGCGAAAAATTGCGAAAACGATAAAATCCCATGTTAAATCGCCATAGGGATTTTCCGAGAATTTGCAGTCTCGAAGCTCTAAAAAATTTATTTGTAGGAGTTATGTCATGGTACAAATACCACTGGAATCAGCATAAAAAGATCTATAATTCTGCGTTTTCAGATTTTTGAATTGAAGTCTCAATAAAAGATTAATTGATTAAATAATTCCATTTTGAAAAAAATCCAACTGCACCATCTTGAATTATGATGTCACAATGACACTATCTCATTTGCATATACACATATTTTTTCAAAAAACATAAAGCATGGGTCCAGCCCTTCAAAATGATATATAACTTATTGGGTGTTGCTTCTTTTAATGCTTTTAGATTCATTTTCATTTCAGCTTTTCATTTTTCTCCATTTTTCCCTAAATTTATCAGTCATGAAGGAGTTCTGTTTCTTGTACTGTAAGTATACATATCCATAATGCAGATAATATGTAGTTTCCTATACAATATATTTTGTTTATTGCAATTTAAATTGTTAAATAAATGACAGGGCCAATGAAAAAGCATCATTTTCCCCAAATTTTGAAAGTATAAGAAATGGAACCCTAGAAATCAATTTGTGCCTATTATTATTGTTATCCATGAAATGATAAAGCAATGCAATTTTTATCAGAACTGCACAATGATCTACCATTTCTGAGTGGGCCCCCTTCATAGCAAGGAGGTCTATTCTAAAATCTTTGATTGATTTATCCTGGCGGTGAAGCCTCTCTAGTATTGATGCAGCATGAGACTTGGTACGAACAAGATCCTGAAATAAAGCACTCCAACAAGTTACAATATTGAGTAGCTGTCCACTCTAAAATAGACAAAACGGGAAGCAAATGTATGCATTCCTATAAAAGCCCAATACCTCACACAATTAAAGGAGCAATGCTGTATAATGCAAAAAATTACATTTTCATTTCTGTCTAAAGATAACATAATGGCTTGTTACTAACCTTCAAGGCTGTTTCATATTGCATCTTCTCAGAGCTCAGCTGGAACTTCAGTCCTTTAATTTCTTGTTCTGTTAGATTCTTTGCTGATTTCAATTCTTCTCTTACATTCTGTAGGTCATTCGCCTGTGATGACATCTCTGTTTGCTGGTCCAAAATTTTCTGCTCGAGAGTTTTTACGGACTCTAGCAGAGAACACTTTTCACCCTCAAGACTTACAATTAATTTACTTTTCTCCTCTAATCCCATTTCAGATTCAGTGATTTTTTCAGACAATTGTTTGATTTCATTTTGGAGATCATTTTGCTGTTTCTCAAATGATATTTCTTTCTCAGATAACTCGATACTGCAGTTTTGTTGAGTAGCATTCATTTCTGAAATTTCTAGTTTCAATTTATTACAATTGTCTTTGGCAGTTAAAAGTTCCTCATTGAGCTCGGATATTTCACCACATTTATCATTGAGATCAGATTTCAGTTTGTCATTTTCATCATTGCTGTCTTTTATGAGAGTATTCAAGTTAGTTACATTATTTTCAAGCTCAGAGTTTGCATTTCTGAGATCTTCAATATCCTGATCTAAGGCTTCTCTGTTTGAAATAAGTTCTTTGTTTTCATTTTCAATTTCTAATATTCTAGATTGCATTGTGTTTTTAGTTTCTCCCATGGTATCAACATTGTCTTGAAGGTTTATAATTTTATTTTCAAGTTCAGTTTTGATTGTTTCCATCCCCGAGAGTTTTGACTTCATTGCCTCTGATTCTTTTTGTAACTCATTAATTGTTGTTTGGTTGTGGCTTTCACTTTTCTGTCTCTCAGATTCAATAAGGTTTGCCTTGGCACATGTTTCCTGTAACTGCTGAGATACATCAGTATACTTTGAAGAGAGTTCTGTGTTTTCTTCATTTTGTTTTTTTATTGTCTCATTTAGACTCTCTGTTTCAAGTTTCAGTTTATTGCACATTTCATTAATATTGCCAGACTCATTCGATAAATTCCCAATTTCCTTCTGCAGTTCAGTAAAAGCTTCACTCTTCTCATTCAACTCGATTTCAAGTCCACTAATCATTTTCACTTTATCACTGACTTGTTTCTCAAGAGTTTGGATAGAAGTTTTTAAAATCTCATTTTCAGTGTTATTTTTCTTTTCCAGCTCTTCAAACTTGCACTGTTTTTCTGCTAGGACTTCTTGGTGCTGCTTTTGTATTTGTTTCACAGTTGTATTGTGCTCTTCTATTGTAGCAGCCATTTTGCCTTGTAGGTCCTGGTTGGAGGTGGTGGCCTCTGATAGCATTGTCTGTGTTAACTCATTCTCCTCAATCAAACGCTTCTTTGAATCACCCAGAGAGTCAATGGTCTTCTTGGACTCTGTAAATTCAACAAACATAATGAATCCATAAGAAGTGTGTCAACCAGGTGCAAAATGCATGTTCAACATATGATAATGATATGTGCAAGGTTCCTATTTAAAATGTGATTTTGTGTTATATGAGCAGATTGTTCATACTGTAATATCACTTCTCTCAAGTCCAAAGGAAAGTACTCATCAATAGTTTCCCAAATAATTTGTACATTACATCAAGTGATTTTAAGATTAAGACAGGCAAAGATGAATGAGTGATCTCAATCATTCACTTTAACAGGTAGGTTTGAATTGACTTCACATGCAAATAGATTCAAGTTTTGTCCACCTAAACAAAACCTTTTAAAACTAACCCTCCAGTTGTGTCCTATATTGCTCCAGCTCATTTTGATACTGCACTTTCTGGCTCTCACATTGGACAAGGCTCTCATCTTTAGACTCGATCAGTGACTCCATCTCTGTGAGCTTCACATTTAGTTTGCTCTCAGAGGACTGCATAGTTTCTACCACTCCTTTTAATTTGGTATACTCCTTCAACATCTCATTAGATTCATCTACCATTGAAGTTATCTAAGTTGAAATTAAATGTAAAGTTAAAATTGGAAAGTATAGGCAGGAAAAATACAGAGTACATGTAGTGATTTAGGAAAATTTAAGCCATATAATATTGAGTGATTTTTTCATATGAAATAAAGACTAAATTAAGTATTCTTCAAATAAAGTCCTTAAGTACACTAGTATGTGAATTCTTTTTAAATATTCAGAAGGAAAATGGGTCTTTTACTTAAACATTTCCAATAAAATGCCTTTTGGTTTGAATAATCTTGTATATTTGACTTTCACCTGACAAATATTCATAAAAATGTTGCTAATTCTAAAAATACATTGTCGCACCACACCATTCAATACAAAAGGCAAGTTCATTTTAAACCTTACCTTTTTCTCCAATTGTTGAATTTGTAGTGAGAGAGTTGAATTCTGGGTCTCCATTGCTGTAAGTTGACCACGTAACAACTTCCTATCAGCCACAATATGTTTCAACCGATCACCCATATTACCATTTGTTTCTACTCCATTAAGCTGGAATGTAAGTTCAATAAGAATATCACTGTTTCATGAAATCATTATAGAATAATTCATGTTTCACATTCAAGCTATATGGCGTTATGTGAAAAAATAAAATTGGAAAATATTTTCAACAATTATGGGACCTATTGACTGACTCATTTTAGGTCAATTCACTAGTTGGATTAAGTCTATGATACCAGGACGTTGGAATCACATATATTCAGCAGAAACATAAGCTCATTAACTTACAATAATGCTGGATACAATTGTATTGTGAGATCAAAACTATACCAATAATGCAAAGAAAATGTCTGTAGACTTTATAACAAGATAATGCAATGTTTATTCAAACAATATAAGAGGTTATCTAGAGAAGCTTAAAATGAATGCATGTAATGAAGTTCCGAGTCCTCGAGTTCTAGAACATAAAACTGACTAGCTCAATATAGTAATGGAGTTGTGGTGGCCACTGGCCATTTTGGATAGAATGTTGATCTGCGTCTGTAGAGACTCCAGAGGATTTAAGCTTAAAAAGACTAAAGACACTAATTTTGGAAACCTTAATTATTCTAACATGAGAAGCCTAAAGAATTGTATGCAGATTGCAGAATTATGTTATCTTTTAGAAAAGTGGATTTAAAGCCCAATATTTGAGCACCCATGGGCACACTTCAAATTTACAACTGCAAATTATCAAATTAAAAATAACATACACTATTTTTGCAAACATATCATTATATGCATCTTTTTAAAGGTAAATTAAGGAAATTATAGATCAATTCTTATGAAATTCTACTGAGTATATAAATTTTTGCTTGTTTGATTCATTTTTTACATAAGTAGTTTTTTTAAGATTTTGGAATTAAGCATCCATGGTAACAAACCACTGCCAAGTGCCAATGCAATTAAGAAGGCCTAAAATAAGAAACAAACTGGGAATTCATTACATCACATACACTTACCTCTCCTGAGTCAATATCATCAGCTCCACTCTCCATACTTTCTAATGTACCCTTGAGTCCACTCAGTTGCTGTTCTAACATACCAATTGTCACTTCCTTGCTAGCCAGGGATTCCTCAAGAGTACAGATCTTATGTAAACTTTCCTGATTGGCAAGAACACTTTCCTGATGTTCACCCATCAATTTATCTTTTTCTGATATCAATATTTCATTTTCTTTAGTCCTTTTAGCAATTGTTTCATCGAGACTGGATAATTTGGCCTCCATGGTGCTAATCTGGTCACTATATTCACCTTTGTCACGTTCAACTGACTTTTCACGCTCATTCAACTCGTGTGTTAATTGTTCAATCTTCTGTTTGATTTCTTGGTTGATTTGTTCAGATTCATGAAGTTCATTTGTCACAGTATCCTTAACTTCATGCATTTGACTATATTCTTGTTGAAGATCAGCTAAATCATTAGATAGCTTTGCAGATACACTTTCAAATTCTGCCTTTTCACTGTGTAATACTTCAATTTTCTGTTCCATTGTAACTTTCATTGATTCATAGTTTGTTATTGTATTTGTTAATTCACCAATGTGTCTCAAATTGTCCTTATTAACATCTTCAAGATCCGAAACTGAAGCTTCAAGTTTATGCTGGGCTGTCTCTAAAGTAGTAATTTTTTCATTTGAAGATTTACTCAGTTTGTCATATTTTTCATTAGAAACATTCAATTTTCTTATATGATCCTCATTTTGACCACGTAAGTCTATGTTCAACTGTTCTGTTTCTGTTAGTTTCTGCAACAACTCATGTGCCCTGTTGGCTGAATCAAGGTGATTAGATGCTTCCGATCCTTTTTCCTTTACCATAATCTCAATTTTGCCCATCAATTCTGAATTTTTCTTCTCTAATGTGACTAATTTTTGCTCTAATGAATTGATCACTTCACCTTTTTTATCACTGAGTGTTACTTGGTGTTCCATTTTCTGTGAGTAACTTTTCATTTTTAACAGTAATTCTGAGTTGAGTCTCTCTGTATGTTCAATTTTAGTTTTTGTCTCACTCTCCTTATTCTGGAGTGCTTCAGTTTGTTCCTTGAGGAGTGTATTTGTCTCATCTAGTTGAGCCTTGATATTCTCAATCTGCTGAGATTTCTCAGAGAGTTTGGTGGACATATTATCTTCTCTTTCTTTCCACGATTCTTCCTTCAGTTTTAGCTCATTGTTTAGTTTATCACACCTACAAAACACAACACAGATTGAATATCAGGCACCCTACATATACATTATAGTTTATGGAAATTTCTTATAAAACTGAAATAATTGTAATATTGGTCATCCATCATAATCAATCAAGTATATCATACTAGCCCGCTGTTTTTGAGACATTTTAAAAAGAAACAAGAGTTTTATCTCAGTACAGTGAACTCGCCAAGACTGGATATTATTATTTATAATTCAGACTGGACCTCTAGGTTATAAGAATTGCGATATTTTAATCTATAAATAATTGCTTACATGACTTCATATTCGTTGCACTTCTGCCTTGTTGTGTTGAGCTGCTGTTCAGTCTGTGACATGAGCCTACCAGACATCTCATTGTCTTTCTCTGCTTCTGATACCTTCAATGAACATGTATGCAATGATATGAGCAGTTTAACATGAAACTGTGGGGTTGAGCCTGCAACTAGCAAAGCCAGAGTTACTGATGATTTAATAATACAATTTCTGGGCAAAGAGAGGATTTATGTTTTATTTATGTAAAAGATTGGAAATTCAACTGTTATTTTGGATCCAAACAAAATATTTTTTGGATGAGATGAGAGGCATTTACCTCTAAAAGTACAAATATCATACATTTTCAAAAAGGTATCAACAAAATCAAATAAGAGGTGAGAGAAGACTCAGTAAACGGCCTAAATAAAGACTAACATGCAAAACCGCTTACCTTTAATTTCATCTCGTTAATTAGTGCCTCAGACTGAGTAAGCTCTCTCCTTAGCCTCTGAAGCTCAGTCTCAGCTATACTCTCTGCCTTCATTGGTGACTGGTCCACACTCTGTAGACTACTGATACTACTTGTCCTACTTCTGCTCACGGGCCAGTTGGGGGTAGGGGAACCAAAGGTTTTCCTGAAAATGTGAAACATTTTATTAACAGTTTGGTACAATACACAATGATCGATTCCACCAACTTGTCAAATGCTGCATTAATTGTGCCAATTATCATAACTACAAATACAAATGCACTAATTGATTTCAAAGTTAACGCAAACTGTTGTAGACTTCCCATTTACAAGGTTGCAAAAGAATACTTATGTATTTCAACAGTGACATATTAGTATGAAAGAAATAATTTTCTCAAATCAAATAATGAACATGTACAGTAAAAACTTGTATAAAACTTGTAAAACTGAACACCTCTAGGTGACAGTTTTCAGAAGAACCAGGTCCCATGGACTTGTTAATGAACCCTCTCTGTATGGAATATCTTTGGTCAGTACTAAGGGTGTTCTATATACACAGGTTTTATTGTATTGTGATTATTTACCTTGCAAATGTAGGCCAAGCCGCATCAAGGTCATAACCCTGGGATGAAAGGTCAAACTGAATATCATTGAGGTCATAGAGAGCGTTAATGATGGATGAAGAGACAGCGTGGTTCAGCCATACAGATTTTGGGTGGAACCATTCACTGAAAATATAACAGATAAGTGTCAACAGATTCAAGGATTTTGCGAATGTGAGAGACAAATACAGATGCTGTATAACATGGTTATTGAAACAACATGAAATTACGATATTGGTAGAAATTGAGCTTCATCTTGGAATAAAATAATGTAATTCTCCGAATATTAGTATGAACTTCTTAAATGGCAAGCCATAGGGAAATATGAGCCAAAGTATATCCTCTTTATGTATGCCTATCCCCTTATCGTGTTACCTTGTTACTCTTCCATTCATAATACACTGCTGTAAGGTGTCGGCTAGCCTCTGGTGCACCAGGGCAAATCTAATCAGGCCTCTCCCTCGACCTAGTGATGTCTTCAACTAAAATATAAAATGAATAGCAATGTCAATTTTAAATATCATAGAAACCTAAACATATCAAATAAGTATGTTACCTTCTAGCTCTACAGGTCTGTAATTTTTTGAGACATGATTAAATTTTATGTGTTTTGATATAACAGTACATGTGAATTTATATTGTACATGTATTTACCTCTCCATTTGACTTGACAAACTTGATGCCTTCACGCTGTCCTTTAGTTGCTGATAGACACTCCACAATATAGTCCCAGTAATCTTTTTTACCTCCCAGTAAGCCAGTGCGCACTAAAATAGATTAATAAAAAATTACAATACATGTACACTGTATAAGGTTTCAAGGTTTAGGGGTCGAGTCAAATGTTTATTCCTTTAAAATAATTACCCGGGATTAGACCCCCCTATTTATTAAAGATTATGGACACTGAAACTTAATATCAATTTTTACCTCAACAAAGATAGGCTTTACTCCATTTTAAGAAATTAGTTTCACAAAAATACAAGAACATGAAATGCACAATGTCCTGCCCTAGCTATAAATAGACAATCTGACAAATAGGCCAAAAAATATTTATACATTTATCATGAGCAATCTGATAATAGGTCCTCATAAGAAAAAATCTTCAAGATTGCACCAACCTTTCTGTCCAGCCTGTAATAGGTATTCCAGTTTTGCAGTGAAGCGATGAAGCATCTGGTTGTCATCATTGATTGGGACCTGTGACTCGACAAATTCTCTCTTCATCTCTTGAATACATCCTGGATATACAAGTTACTGTTAGTTGATTAAAGTTGGCAACATTATGATATTAAAGGATCACCAATCTATTTCATGCAATAACAACTATGCATACACAGCACCAGCAAATTAGCTTTTCATATTTTGGCTCACAGATGAAATAAAAACAAAATCCTTGGGAAGGCTGGATCACTCATTCAAGCCTAAAACTACGCATGAATTTATGAGTGTTCGAAAGAAACATGAATTTCATCAAAAAATACTCTGAATGAAATAGCAAATCTGTATACATCTTTTGTTTTTCTCTAATTCCAGACAGTATGGGCTAAAGAAAAGATTTATATTTCATAAGGAGGCAGAAATGGTACATGATCTTCCTTTAAAGTCTATATCACGCCCGGTGATCATACAAAATGGATGGAGGGGGGATTAGGCGATTTCTGTAAGAAAACTCAACAAATTTGGAAGATTTATTTTTTCAAGAGAAAATTTATAACTGAATTGCCAAATGAATAGGCGCAGTGCATGGCAAAATATTTGAGGCCATCTAGTATTTTTTTTGAACTGATACCCTTCTAAGATATGAGATCTTTTAAAAAAAAGGTGCATCATCACCAACGTGCAAGAGTCAATGTTTTTGCTATAAATCGGGCAACAATGGTCTACACGACCTGTAATAAATAGGTATAAGGGACATTATTATAACAATACTAATGACATTGCTTACTTTTTAAAGTTAGTTTCCATGCATTATACAAAAAATAATCGAAATAAATTAATATTGGATGGAGGGGGATAGGATATAGGGGGGATAACGTGTATATAAAACATGATAAGACATGCTACTTGAATTTTTTCATTCTCCAGAGATATAATATCCAGTTTCTTACTGGGGTACTGAGTTTAGTTTTTTCAAATACACGAGTTCTTATGAATTTGTTCCATCGTAAAGACATATAAATCTATTTTTTTTTAAAGTTCTTGCCATCAGCATTATGCTCAGAATCAGGGCTATTTTCCCTGGTCTTTTAACTTGGGTTAGACCTATGGGTATAAAGACAATTTGGTGTAGTGGGCTGTATGTTACTTGTACATACCTTGTAAGTCTGACACCATTTTGGTAAACTGAGGCTGTCCTCCAGCCAGCAGAGGGTTCTCCATGACTGGCTCAGCCATCTAACCAGTAACTTTCCACAAACTATAAGTACAGCAGATTGAAAATACATGATAAGTCAATACACATCTTTATCCTAGGTAGTATATCACCCCATGTAGACAGATCGCCTAAAATTACATTTGTATGATGTTAGACTCGACATTCACTTGGAAAGTAGAAACATTTTGTCACCAATGATGCAAATGGAATATAACTGCATATATTATCATGATAATTAAAAACATATGTATATTTTTAATTATCTTTAATTATGATTATTTTATAATCGTTAATCGACTTTGTGCTCGACCAAGAATAACTGAAAAATAAATGTTATGTAATATCTATTGCACTGTCCAAGATAAGATAGACTCATAGCCACGTGGAAATAACTATTTTAATTTCACAATTTCAAAAAGGCTACATTTTCAATTGTTATCATCAGTCTCTGAGACTATAGTGTGGACTTGTTGTCTAATCAATTATGATTTGATGAGCACCACACACTTGCCAAAGGACATATTTTCCGGGGAATTTGAGCTATGATGTCATGATAGTTGAATAATGAATATCACAGGATATTCAATGATTAATACATCATTTTGGCGTATGGATGAAATACCACTTTTGATTTTTAATCACATGACATGTGATTGACCAATGAGAAGACAAGTACTACAGCATGAAAACAATGAATGCAAGTATTGATGATTGGTACTTTATTCTGACTCTATCAGATATATGGGTTTGTAGAAAAAACCAGGTACCGGGTACTGGGTAGTAAATCCTCCATGCTGGGTTCAAACTTGGTACCCGGTCATAAAAACCGGGTACTAAAAAAAGAAAAATATGAAAATATAACGTAATTAGATCATTAGAAAATGTGTAAGATTTGTTTTGGATTTACAAAAATGTATGTAACTTCCTTAAAAATTGAGCAATTGAGCTAGAAGCTTCAAATAAAAAGCATTTAAAAGGCTCATCATGGTCATATAGAGTAGAGGTGTGCACCGATGGCACATTACTTAATCGATCAACGAAACATATTAATCGATTAATCATCGGTTAATCGACCCCAATCTGATATCTGACCCTTCTCAAATTCTAATTCCATACGACGAGTTATTGTTTTGCGCTTCGGCACATTGTACCCTGGGCGTAAATGTCCCATTAGTTCTATTAAAGCCTCGCCCTTCTACAAGCGATATCGGACGAAGGTCGACCACAATCATATTGACAAATTTATAAGTGATATCTTCAGCGGCAAGTTTAGAAACGGGTCCCGACTTTCTGACTAGAAATGAAGTTATTGGCGACGTCGGAGTATTTATTTTCGGAGTTTCCCCGTGTGCATTTGACAAGTGGTAGCTTAGAGTAGATGTACTGTTTGAATATTCGTATTTATTATTGCAGAGCAAACATTTGACGCGATCATCGTCTTCTTTGTTGAAATATTTCCATACATAACTTCTTTTTCCTGGTGTTGTCGCCATTTTTCGACTGCTTCTGGACTGAATAAAATTGGGACGGTTGCATTCAAATTATACACCACTATTCACCTTGAATTTGATCGCATACTTCTACTGAATAAACCAATGGGATGTATTGGATTGGTATTAAACTCAAAAAACAACAAAGGTCACAGGTAAGTGTCAGTCTTCGGGTAATTAGTTTGTTTGGTAGTTTGAGCTTGGCGTGGCAACCTGACATTCACTGCTCAATCAGTCAGTGACGTCACGTAAGCTTACTCGCGGCGGGATATTGAAGATTAACTTTTTGAGAATCAGTTAATTGAGTGATAAGAATCTTATTCGATTAAATGTGTGTCGATCAATTAATCGATGATCGATTAAAAATTCACACCTCTAATATAGAGTAAGATTGATTTGTCATGTTTTTCAAATCGTCTTACAATGTCATAGTCTTAGCCAGGAGGGGGTTTGATGGTGCGATAAAATATGACCATGATGATAAAGGAAGAAAAGGGCCTTAAAATGCTTTTTATTTGAAGCTTCTAGCTCAATTTTGAAGGCAGTTACATACACTTTTGTAAATTCAAAACAAATCTTATACGTTTTCTAATGATCTAATTATGTTATATTTTTGTATTTTTCGTTTTTAGGTACCTGGTTTTTTCGACCGGGTACTGGGTACCAAGTTTGAACCCGGCATGGAGGATTTACTACCCGGTACCCGGTTTTTCTACAAACCCTATATATATAGTTTTCTGATTCAGGTGTTATACTGACATACTACTTACTGAACTCAGATGAACATCTTCAAGATGAGATAGCTGAGAAGAGTAAACATTTAAAAAAAAGAATGAACAAAAACAACAAGAACTTATATCGCCAAACTATAGTTTCTCCCTAGAAAAGTTCACTGTCCTGGGGTCCAATGTTCTTCAAGAATCCAATTTGGCCACTAGATGTAGGTGTTGATACAAAGTTCCTGTGCCAAAAACATGAGGTCATAAGCTATACTATAGTTTTCTTAGTTCTAGAGAATTCAATAGAATGCCTAGATTTATATCAATAGCTGCAGGTCGGCTTTGTATAAAAAACCTCCTACCTCATACCCACCTACCCACCTACGTGGAACATGATACAGTCATTGAAGGGTTCAATTTGAAAGATTATTAAATCTCAAAATAGCTCAAACTATTAACAATTCTACAATTCCGGTTTTATTTTATGACTAGACAGATGACAGATCCATAAATAAAGGCATATGGATGCATTTTAATGTGTAATGACCCGAGGGCGCCCCAGGGGAATAAATAACTTACGACTACGAGCATAGATCCAACAAGCCAGATAAAGAAATTGATAGAAAGTGTTCTAAATTTGATGCCCCTTGTGGGAATCGAACCCAGCTGGGATGTAGTAGCAACTTGCTATCAAGGGTCATTACAAATGCATCTATAGTTCATCATAAACTAAGATTTAATAAACTAAGATCTTTAAAATCGAACCCTTCAAAGACTGTATCATGTCCCACGTACGTGGGAAGGTGGGTATGAGGTAGGAGGTTTTTTATACAAAGCCCTGCAGGTCAAGAAGACCTATAAGTATGACCTGAAACAGCATATTTGTGGAGGTAAACTTGTGAAGTGAGGTCTATATAAATGGGAGGCACTTTTCCGCAGTCAACTGAATATTTTCTAGAAAATACCGAAGTGCCCATGCCATCAGGTCAATTCATCAACAGTACACACTACACATACTGTAGACATCTTAATTTATGCGGGGGTAAATTTTCACATGTTTTATAAATTCATTAACTTCGCGTGTTTATATTTTCGCGCGGATTGCAGATTGCAGTTATCAAGTAAACATTCGAAAAATCACCATGTTCGCAAAGCATTTTGGTAGTTTGGCTCGGCCTTCGGCCTCGCGATCATAGGCCAAGGGAAAAGTAATAGTAAGCTGTATATAGAAGAGACAGGTCCACAAGTAAGATTGAAAATTTTTCAAATTTTTTTAGTCTTGGCACTAGTTCTCCTTACTGGTATCAAATTGTATTCCCAAATCTCTCGAAAATCTTCTTCAAAGTGTTTTTCAAACTTATATCATTGTTTTTTTCAAATCTTTATCTAAAAACTGCATATAATACTGCATATAAAACAACAACTATGGATACCTGCAATTGCCTGGCAAGCTGAAACTGATTGTCACTGGTGGAGGTCAGGGAGGTCAGCAGTGACCAATCAGATCACTTGTTTTGTTTACTAATGAACTTGCCAAGCAATTGTAGGTTTTCAGAAATTCTCTCTTTTAGACAGCATTATTCACTCTATATCATCTGACTGAGTTTCAATCTTAGGTAAGAGCTACAAACTATCAATTTTCTATCAACTCCCCATGGCTTTTTGAAAATAATACACTAAATATTGTTGAAATCTCCATCTTAATAAGTCCTATAAGTCAGAGTTGTTCACCTGTCTCTTCTATATACGGCTTATCCCGTTCCCGGACTATGGTCCTGTGAACATCTCAATCTTTTGCCTGTGCGATTACAACATGGGAGAATTTTTTACTGATCTTACACTTCAGATACCTACTTCAATAGATTCCTTGGTAATTTAGCATTCTTTTCGTGTAGTTGAATCCACAATTGTCTGGGTTTATCGGCAGAACGAAGACATTTTCGTTTTTGATCGCAATATTTGCGTGTAACATTTAACTTATTTCAACCGTCAAATTCCTCCATATTGGTACTTCCGGGCTACATCCGGGACAGCCAAACGGGGGATTCCCCTTTTAAATCCAACCGCCATTTTGAAAAGTGATGGAATCTCTCTCGATGAAAAAGAGAAAATGTTCCCGTTCTGCCGATATACCCAGACAATCGGCGGTTCCAATATATTAGAAGTTACATCTTGAGTTCTATAATGCATTGAGGTAGGTATCTTAAGTGTAAGGGGCGTAGATAATTCTCCCAAGTTGTAATCGTACAGGCAAATGAATGCGATCAGTGCAGGACTATAGTCCGGGAACGGGATAATATACGGCTTACTATTTCTTTACCCTTGGCCTATGCTCGCGATTCACCCTCGCGCACTACGGCCACTAATCCTGGCTACACCCCTGGCATGGGCTTTGTTACTAAACTGTAATATAATACTAGGCAGAGGGTAGTAATAACTAGACTCTAAGGGTATTAATGAACTACACCCATCTGTAAATAGATCAGGCCCCTAAATAGCAGAGAGACTTACTTTGGCTAAAAAAAAGTCAAAGTCAAACGCAATAAGTTTTTTTGCAATCTGTTTTTAGGTGTTAGATTCGAACACACAACTTTGTTTCACAAATACGGTGACGCTTACATATTCATATTCAATAAAACAGGTATTCTTACCTCAACAGGCCTCTCATTTAATTGCAAATTGGTTACTTTTGTCAGAAAAACTTTCTTTTTCCTCCCACTGAAGATTTTATAGGCTACTACACGGTTTCATTTCATAATCTGATCCTAAATAGTTTTAAAGTGAGTCAATAGTGTAGACTACAATCACGCAGCCAGCTTACACTACAATCTCTTGTTTGATTGGATAAAGGTTCAAAATGTTACTACACAGTTGCCATCTTTAAAAGATTATCTAAACTATAAATCCCAAATAGCTATTTCTTGCTTGGCTTTCTAGTCCCAAATAGCCTACTTTTCTTCATATAATAAGTTTTATTTGAAAATTAAGGTATGTCATGATGTTAAAAATTTTAATGGCTTCATAATTGGATTACTTTCTTATTTTAAAGTACACATACTTCTTTCAGCTTTTGCACAATCGAATGGGGACATGGTGTAACAATTACAGTAGTGCAGAAGATAATTCATCAAGACTTTCATCTATTTTTATTATCTAAAAAGAAACCCCCTAGATGAACATTATTTCAGCTGATATTCCTCTTGAAAAATGGTGGATCTTAAAAATATAAAAGTGGATTTCCCCCTTTTGAAGCTTTGAACTGAATTTACACTTCTTTATGCTGAAATTGATAGTTTATCCATACATTTTAAGAAAATAGGTATGTCAAAGACACGATGTTAAGCCAAATGTTGCCTTGATAGCTCAGAAAAAGTTAAAATTTTCTTATTCCTTCTCTACAGGCCTTGTTGCCCCTTTTTAATATACAGATTGGGGTTAATGGGGGTTTAGGCCCAGGAACATGTATAAAAAAGATTGAGTCAATTCCACCAAAGAAAGTCTTTACTTGGTGGATTCCACATGATCTTTTTCTACATGTTCCCAAGCCTATGGTTAAGAGGAGGTACCCCAGAATTTAAACCCGTCTCCAAGTTAACCTCTAGATTCACCTTGTATAGATGTTCTAGATTTCTCTAAATATCCTAGAATTTTCTTAATTTTCATACATTTGAGAAAACTATCAACCTCAAGTTTTAATTTGTCAAAAAATTGATGAATGAAAGAAAGGAGACAGTTGATTGGTCAGTTCTGTTCTATAGTGAGCCAAACAGTGTAAAATTTCAATATGAAAAGTTGTGCATTCAGATTTTTGACTTATAAGGTCATTTAGGAGCTGTACAGGGTGTTCCAAAAGTAACAGGACTGGTGCTGGCATTTTGTCAATTTTGCACTGAGTGTCTTCAAATTTTTACAAATTGTACTTTGAAGTATTGCAACTAAAATTGTATAATTTCAGAAAAAATGATAAAATGCGGGTGGAGTTGTGGTTACTATAGTAACATGACATCACAATACCCGGGGCAACATTTTCCTGAAAATGTGATATCTTACATATTTGTATTACTGAAGAAAGTATCTAATTCACCTATTATAATACAACATTTCTTGTTTATTTTATTAGTTGCTTTGTTGTAAAGGTGTTGCAATACAACTCAGATATAAGTATAATTTCATAATAATAATAATATTTATTCAATTTCCTGGAATATCACCATGAATTATGGTCTGAACAATTCATGGTTGAGTTTTTGAAAATACCCAATTTAAAGCCAGTCATCCACCTTGATAACGCGCCTTCCCGCAGGTCACCATTAAAGACCACGCAGCTATAGAGGATCTAGGTCTTGAGTTCTAAAACCATGCTCCATACTCTTCTGATCATGCAACATCCAATTTTTACTTACATGGAGAATGGAATGCTTAACAGTGCTGTAAGATCTTTAAAGATGTGAATGACCTTCTCCAAGTTATTCAATGGACCATGTCATGCGTGACATGTCCTCAAATGGGTTGACTCATGTGTTTGAGTCATGGATGCAGAGTGCTACTCTTCTACTGACCAAATAGGAGCCTATTTTTCAAAGTAGAGGATACATAGGAATATCAAATTATGTAAAACAAATGTAATTCCCACCAGTTGTTGCATTTCAACTTTGATATGGGATGTACAAAATGCTTAATGTCTCTTTCTGTCTTAATGTAACTTTCTGCGTGGAATGTTGCCCCGGGTATTACGATGTCATGTTACCATAGCAACCTTAACTCTACCTGTGTTTCATATTTTTTGTCAAAACTTTGCAGTTTTAGTAACGATACATGAGAGTACATTATGTAAAATTTTGAAGATGATTGGTGCATATTTAACAAAATGCCAGCACCAGTCCTATTACTTTTGGAACACCCTGTATGTATTGGCCAGTACAATTACCAGGGTTTCCAGAATGTGCTTGATCCAAAGGAATTGAGGCAGTTAAGTATCAATAACAATCCAGAATTTGTTTATCAACAGTAATGCAATTCTTTATTTGAATGTATTGTTACAATGTGCTATTCAAGTTGACTTACATGACTATGAAATAATGGACACTGTAGATTGTTAAAAATCTGTAAAGAGAAATTCTACATCTTGTGCTGACTTAATGTATGGTTCAAAGTAAAAACTTGTTTTGATCCAACTGATTAATATAAATATCACCATCAGTGTTTGAAGTGCCAATAGTCATTGAATCCTTCATGTTGTCTTTAAAGTTAGAATGTTTTCATTGTAATACCATTTACCTACTAAGGTCTTTAGGACCCAAAGCAGACTTGGTGATACATATGATAGCACTTGCTGTAGTACATGATTCATAAGATATGCTTAACAGTAAAATCAACATACATCATCTTTTTCATCAACATATCAGTTACCAATGCTACAACTATGAGTACTTATTGACATTTTAGAACCTATGAGTTCTATATAAGAGGTCTTAGGTTATAGACAAGCTGGTATTCTGTGGATTTTCCAAACATATTAAACATGTCATAGTTGACTGTTAACATAGAAAAATAAGAATGTTTATTAAATCACATTCTATTCCATCTCCCTAAATAGCACCTTAGTCATCTTCAGATTCAGACATCTCCATTGATAGAGAGGAGGATGAACATCCATGAACTGGGACCTCTCATACTCATGTCATAATACATACTAGTATTACATGCAGCAGCAACTTTTCTCAGTGTGAGACTTGTTGGTTAGGTTCTCTATTTTCACCTCATTGCTGTCATTGCACTGTCACCACCTCATTCAACACAAATTCAGATGGCTGTCATTTTTCCCTGGCCTCAATTTTATAAGAAATGTCCTTTTGTAATGGTCTCTGTAGGGGATGGGCTAGAAATTGGGCCATACAGTCATAGAGTTTAGTTGGATTTTTTGAAACCTCAAACACATAGGAATGTCCCTTGTCATCCAAGTCACAGATGTAATCATATATGGCCTGCAATAACAAAAAAATGTAGTTTTACAAATTACAATATACTTGTACTTCTATCAATGACAAGTCAAATACAAATTTACTTTAAACAGAGGTGTATATTTATAACAATGTAATAGGCCTAATCCTAGAATCAAGGATTAGTTTTAGAAGTTTGCATAATTTTTCTTTGATGACTCACAGGCTGTATGTTGTCTGTTCAATGAACGTTCTGAAATCTAAACAACTTTCTTAAAAGGAGGCTTTCCGTACTTTACAGTGATCATTGGCTAAATAATCTTGACATTAAGTTAAAAAATATATATCAAATATAAAATATATAAAATATATATTATAAAATTATATAAAATTGATATTTCATTTCAAGTTTACGCTAATCATCTTTGTTTGGCACTAGTATCATAGGCAATTTCAATGGGTACTATTCGTTTTCTTGAATGCTTCCCCCCCACTTTGGGCATCTATTATTGTTATTGGTGTTTTAAAACAAGATTAATTTACTTTTTACCTCTCTTTCAAATAAATGCCCATGGGCTTATTAGAGAAACTCCAGTATGTATAAATTAGTGCTGCAAGAACTTTAGTCTCTCATCAAGTCATATTCCCCTATTCCCCTTCCCAACTATCTATTGAAAGAATAGGGTGAGGAACACAGAGGCATGATACAAGACTTGAAGGAGCTTCAGCTCAACTAACCTCACAATCATTGTCATCTCCCGGTGTCTCATGGATATAGAATGCATCAAAGAAGAAATATGGAGATGACTGTAACATTCGTCTGGTCTGAAACAGATAATATAACTGAAGTATGACTTTATTATTATGCTCACAAGAAGGCCTTTCATAGTAGTGCAGTAAAATCAAATGAAAAGTACAGGATTTGATCTAGATGTTCTATAGAAATTCAGGCCATTTTAACATTATTTTATTGGTCTTTGTGAATTTGTTCAAAAACACAGGGGCATCAGAGCAACTCGTTCTTACTATTTGATCAATTTGACCATTACTTTTGAAGTTAACCATAATAGGTAGCGATCTGAGGCACTTCGATCAGGGTGTTGTCGGGACAATTTCTCTTGTGACTTAGGTTATGTATTTAGGTCTATCTCAACAGATTTTACTGGTCTTATGCGCCGCAAATGGTGCGAAAGATGTTAAAATTGCATTTTCGACCCTAAAATTCAGATTTCTTGGGGGTACATTATTATTTAGCTATAAAACAAAAACTAAACAACCAATGCTTCTTTCTTTTGATGTTTCTGTTAAGAGTAATCATACTTAAAATGCATATGTAAAAAAATTGAAGAATTTTAACTTTATTTAAAAACAGCAACATTTTTTCACCCTAAAATCATAGAATTTAGGGGGGTTGAGAGACATTGATTGGAATTGATTTTTTAATTTCTCAATCAATCGCAGTTTAATATTAATGGAACTTTCCTAAAAGTAGCACCAACATGTCCCCAACACATTACCATAAAGAAAAAACTCAAACTCTAACATGTTTTTTGCCTATATGGGTCAATTTACCTCTCCCCTCTTTCCCTTATAAAAGGGGTGTGGCCATTCATACATGTGGATTTAAACAGTAGCATGATGTCACATTAAATGAATACATGTACATATCATGTATTTTATCAAATATATTACCATAAAATATTTTCACTTAGGTGTAAACATATAGTACATACCTGTGAATTATTTATAATACAATTTTTTTTTTCTATGTAGGCTCGAGATATAAGAATATTAAAAATCTGAAGTTGAATATTGAACAAATATTTCACTCTATTGAGGTGAATACCTGTACATCTTTCACAAGTGATATTCCACGAAGCCCGAAGGGCAAGTGGAATATCACCTTGTGAAAGTGCTACAGGTATTCACCGAAAATAGAGTGAAATATTTGTTTTATTATATCACTGTCTAGCTAAACATCCCTAATATTATTAAGTCATAGGTTAACATTGAAATACATTGAATCTACTCGGTTCGTCTGCCATTTTGACTTACACTGAACTAAATTATTTACACTGAACGAAAACAAATTCTTTGAAAATTCCCGGGAGCGTGGGATATCGCTAGATATCTCACGGTTGTTTTTTCTGATTAGCATTGCCATTGAATATCGCCAGATATCCCACGACATGTGACCCGGTTTCGACCAATCATACTGTCGCTAGCTAGATAGTGATATAATAATATCTAATACACAGTTCACGACTCAGTCATAATATTAATTTTACTCATTGTATGAATTTCTGTCATCACAAATGTAGTTTTTATTCACCAGAATATATTTGATCCATAAAGCTTCGTATTTCATAAACTTCCTCTTCATTTTGATCTTCTAAAGTATCATCTAATACGATAACATCTACCAGGTCCTGGGGTAGAATTTTATCTGGATTTGACACCCATTGAAATCCAAATGGCCATCTTTCATCCTCCATCCATGTGACACAGGGGAGGGAATTGATGGGGAGGGGATGTTGGCAAGTTTCCATATGTGTGCTTGATAACTGGCCCTTGCCAGATGCTGCTGTAATGAATCTGTACATGGGGGTAGGAGGCTTATTGTTAGTGCCTTCATAGCTTGTTATCACACTTGGAGCAGATTTTGGTTGAAATTTGTTCTTGAATAAGGTATATCTCAGCTCATTTATATTTGAACACTTTTTGTTTCCATACATCTGGCAAGTAAACTTCTCAGCACATTTAGCAGTTTGATCACTAATGACCCCTCCAATGGTGCCAAAACCTTTTTGAAATTCTCATAAGTAATTTAGGGGGAGACACTTTCTCCCTTCTCACAAAGGCACTGAAGGAATCACATCCAGTGAATGAATGGAAGGCTGGTAAAGCATTACAAATTTACAAATGTCTGAACTGAGCGCATTTCCTACTTCCTTTACATTAAAGGGGCAACAAGGGACTGTAGAGAGAAAATTCAATTTTTTCTGAGCTATCAGGTCAATATTTGGCTTAACATCTTCTTTGACATATCTATTTTCTTAAAATGTATGGATAAACTCTTAATTTAGAAGTGTAAATTCAGTTCAAAGCTTCTATAAAGGGAGTCCCACTTATAGATTTTTAAGATTCACCACGTTTCAAGAGGAATATCAGCTGAAATAATGTTCATCAAGGGGGTTTCTTTGTAGATAATAAAAATATATGTTACTCTTGATGAAATATCCAAACTTAAATATATTTTGACACTGGTCAATGATCGTTGAAATACCCCCCTGCACTAAATGTTGCACCTTTAATAAGTCATATATGGTCTGCACTACCAGTGTCAAAAATTAATGGAGTTTGAATAAGATTGGAAAGTGCACAAGAAGTACAAAAACATCGCTATCTGGGGATCTCACAACTATAGTTTTTTCTGTATTTTCAAGTTATTTCATGTTAATTGCATGGAGTATAATTTTTGTATCTGCCTCTTTGTGGGAAGATTTCAGGCTTGATTCAACTCTATGTGTAACAGTAGTTCTATCACTGGTTACCACTGTACAGATCTCACCACATGAATCTGTCTTTCTTTGAGTTTAGGAGCATTTTTATCTTTTTCCATTCTTCAAGGGTCAACTGACTCAGCTGCATTTCATTCTCATCATTTGAAAGCAATTCCTTCCAATTGTTAGGAATTGTGGTATTAGGTCCTTTTATTATTAGCTTTTTGGAGACACGCCTGCGTATTCTTTCTGGTTCTTTAATTGAATCTTTCTTATAGGAAGCATCTGAAGGATCCTCTCTGCCAATAATCCAAATGTTTTGGGTCGCTCAGGAAGTATATGGAACAATGCATTGCCATCATAGACTATAATTGTTTTTTCTGGTTTGGGTCCATGTAATATTATATGTTTCCAGCTCATGTAATAATTTTGACTTTTCTGTTTTAACCAAGAGCCCATCAGGTGTTCCAAGAGCCCAGGGTATTGGACTCAGGGGATATTCCAATATTCGCTTTAGACTGATACTATGCTGCTCTGATAACATGACTAACTGGCCAAATGTATTGCGCTCAGCTCTAATCTCAATCAGTTTGTTTCCAGAGCTTTTCACCTTTTTGACTCCAGCATTGAATTCAGATGTTTTCAGTTTCATTCTTTTATGGGGTCATGAAAACTTTTTCCCTTCTGCACAAATTGGTCTTGAATAAATTGCTTAAAGGCTTGTGTGCCCTTGGATGCTGCATTTAAGAGATCATCTGCTAAATTAGAGGGTGTTGGCATTCCATATGATATGCAGTATAAATGATCATTGTCCTCAATTTGGAATGGATTGAGAAAGCCATCAATTGAATCAATCAAATTAGTTAATAATAGAACATCAGACAGTAATAAGCCTTTAATAGCTTACTATTCTCCCTTATTGTTTTGCTACATGTTCCCTGCAAATAATAGATAGCAATTTATTATTGCAATTAGATAATCAGTTTATTAATTAAAGTTAAATATAAAGGTGTTTTGTATAAAGTAAAACCTGTGTAAAGTGAACATCTATAGAGCCACAAAAAAGATTTCAATACAGAAAGACAATTTGTATTGGAATCAAGGTATGTGCTGAAAACAGGGTGTTCATTTTACACAGGTGTTCACTAGAGAAAGGTGTTCACTAACCCAGGTCCCACTGTATTAGGCTTATGTCATTTCAAAGACATTCACTAGCTACACGTAAAACAAGGCATTAACATGACAAAATGTCACCACCTAGTTGAAACAAGATAAAAAATACCTTTTTGACCTTGAGGAGGTCACTAAAGGTCAAATCTATTTTGACCTTTAGAATGTCATTTAATGATCAAATCTATATTCTTAAATCTTAAGAAGGTCATTGAAGGTCAAATCTCAAACCTTAAGTCAGATTTGAACTTCTGATAACTTATAGATGATTTTGAAAAAATGGTTAATTTGAAGCAAGTTGAAAAAAGACTTTTTCTGACCTTGAAAAGGTCATTGAAGGTCAAATCTTAAATATAAAGTCAGATTTGAATATCTGAAAACACATAGATGATTTTGAAAACAATTGAAGTCAGTCTATACAGAATTTGTTAATTATTTGAAATTGTAAGAATTTGTTACAGACACCAATTGCCAAGCTCCAACCACAAACCGCCGACCACTGACCACTGTCAAAAAAGAACAGAGACTATAACAATATGTCACCACTTTTTGTTGGTGACATAAAAATGATAACATGATATGAACCATCCTCCTAAGCAGGTGTCCAGAATCTGTACCTCCTTCTTCCCCCTGCGATAACCAATTTGGACGCGCCTGATTTAACTGAATCACGTGATCTAATTATGCACAATGACTTATACATGATTTCTGTCGCAGTGTTGCGACAGCCAATCAGATTGCGAGTTCTTAATCGGGGAAATTGTAACTGTTTATTGCTGGGGGTAAAAAGAAAGAATATGTTCTGGATTTTGAAGCCCTGTGATCGGAGGATGGATATGAACATGAAGTATTTATTTTTAGATGAACATGCCAATATGGCCACGCCCTTCTAAAAAGGGAAAGAGGGGAGAGTTAAATTGACCCATATAGGCAAAAAACATGTTAGAGTTTGAGTTTTTTCTTTATGGTAATGTGTTGGGGACATGTTGGTGCTACTTTTAGGAAAGTTCCATTAATATTAAACTGAGATTGATTGAGAAATTAAAAAATCAATTCCAATCAATGTCTCTCAACCCCCCTAAATTCTATGATTTTAGGGTGAAAAAATGTTGCTGTTTTTAAATAAAGTTAAAATTCTTCAATCTTTTTACATATGCATTTCAAGTATGATTACTCTTAACAGAAACACCAAAAGAAAGAAGCATTGGTTGTTTAGTTTTTGTTTTATAGCTAAATAATAATGTACCCCCAAGAAATCTGAATTTTAGGGTCGAAAATGCAATTTTAACATCTTTCGCACCATTTGCGGCGCATAAGACCAGTAAAATCTGTTGAGATAGACCTAAATACATAACCTAAGTCACAAGAGAAATTGTCCTGACAACACCCTGATCGATGTGCCTCAGATCGCTACCTATAACCATCTATCACAAATTTTGGTACCATGGTATTAACAGACATTGCCTAAAGTCTGAGCATTATTATATATAGCATATGTTACGAGTTTGAAGTCCTACCTGCTGATCTGTGAAATGAGGTTTTGTGTGTGATCTTCCATATATGAATATTGTACGTATAATATAAGGTGGTGGAGTCAAGGCTACATTGTCTATCTTAGGCAAATCAAGCCTATCACATCTACAACAAAAAATTAAATTAAATTAATAAATCAATCATGCATTAGTTCAATGGAGAACAATTGGTCCAACTACATGTATGTACATGTACAATGGAATACAATTGGTCTGACTACATGTACAATGGAATACAATTGGTCTGAATACATGTACTTGCATGCACAATGGAATACAATTGGTCTAACTACATGTATAATGGAAAACAATTGGTCTGACTACATGTACTTACATGTGCTGTTGTTTAACTTTATGGTATCAAAAGTGCAAAAAACTATTCAAACTTACACTGAATTGAAAAGTGAAGTCATGTCAAATGAGTCTGCTTCATAAGTAGTATTCAGTCCCTCAAGCAGTTCCAGAAATCTTTGTGGGTCTGTTGTCAGGTTGCCCATCTGCAAGAAATAATTGAATTATAAATTGCCAGACATTCGTCTTGTTGATTCTGAGAACTGACGTTCATTTATTTTGTGATACATTGCTAAACATCTTTGAAATTGATTTATAAGCATCATTAATGGCAGTTTTTATTACTTGAAACACTGTGTTCAAAAGAAATTCCATTTCTAAGATTCACTGTTTTAAAGTTGAACTGCGAGAGTAGAAATTTTCACAGTAATTCCAATCTGAGTGAACAAACATCATTCCTTAATTAATATACATTTTAAAAATAAAGACAGGGCTACCTCATGCACTTCACTGTATCTGCTCTGAGTTTCACTTGTTCCCTATTCCCCAGTGTTACCTAGCATTGTAAACAACTGAATTTGTATTGAGAAATGAGAAGTAAATAGAAGATTTACCAAGAGGGCCTGGTCCCTGAGGAAGACCAATGCAAACTGATGTCTACTGTCAATTCTGGACTTCAAGTTGACATATATACCTAGGGCTCTTTTTATAAGTTTCAGGGGAGAAAATGCTGTTCTGCAATACGAGACAATAAGAAATATTTATGTATTAGAAGTTGACTGGAAATGATATCATACAAATATAACTTCTTTTATTTATGTAATACCTCAAATAAAAAAAGTATTTTATAGATAAATTGTACTGATGAAATAATTACAAAAATAAAGAAGGCATTAACATGCAAAATGTCACCACTTGTCATTTGTTACAGATGTTGAACGCTGACCACTGAATGCCAAACACTGTAGGGGGGGGTGTATAGAGATATTGTATATCGTATAAGAGGCTGAAAATTTCTTGTATATTGTATAAGAGGGGGGAAAATTTATCGTATATGGTATAAGAGGTGTAAAAAATATGGTATATTATAATAGAGAATATATGGTATCTAGAATTAAAAAAGGCTAATTATGAAGAAAGTGCACCCTAAAGTTCCCCATTGTGCCAACTCTCTTACTGTAACCGTGTTGGAAAAACATGGAAAAGTAGTCTCTCTAATTGGTTCCACATTCCAGGTCAATCAATACTGTAAGTTAAGAAAAAATCCTTCTCAAACTAAGAGTTTTGTGCCCTTTTCATTCAAATTTTCACAGGAGGTGTTAAATATAGTCTCAAATAAGAATCACGCCGGATGATCAGAAGAAATGAACGGAGGGGGGTAGATCTAGCTGGTTTTTGGTAGAAAATTCAACAAATCTTGAAGATTTATTTTTTCAAGAGAAAGTTTACAATTGAATGGCTAAAGGAATAGACGCAGTGGACGGGGGAATATGTTAGGTCTTCTTGGATTTTTTTGAACTGTGGAGTTCTAAAATAAAAGATCTATTAAAAAAGTGCAGCGTCGACAACGTGCAAATGCCAATTTTTTGCTATAAATCAACCAACAGGGGCCTACACGACCTGTAATAAATACTTGTAAGTGAAGTAATTATCACAAAACTATTGTCATCATTGGTTTTGTAAAACACGTTACCATACGTTATATAAAAAGTAATCGAACGTTATTAAAATTGAACGGAGGGGGAGTAATGTGTCTATAAGACATATGAAAACTTCCATTAACTCCATATGTCCCCATTTTTCACTTTTCAGAGTTGTAACATCAAGTTACTGAGTAAGTGAGTTCATTTTTCAAGTACACAAACTTGTGGAAATTTCTTCCACCTTAAAGACATATTACTCCACCCCCCCTCCGTTCACTCACCCCCCCCCCCCCCCTCCGTTCAATTATTCGATTATTTTTTATCTATCATTTGCAAAGAATTTTGTGATAAAAACGTTGCTTATATATTTATTACAGGTCGTACAGACCATTGTTGCTTGATTTATAGCAAAAACATTGGCATTTGCACGTTGGCGATGTTGACTCATCTTAACTTTGATGAAAAGTATGGTCACTATGGCTACTCGTGTTTCGGGGTATGTGGGATAAATCATTAAAATATTTGAGTATAAAGTGTTCATACAGCGCATGTTTTAATACAAGCATCACAATGCTAATATAGCATAATATAGCAAAAGGTTTTTATTTGGTCTTCAAACTGTCATATGTTGGATTTCGGCTATTCATTGGGGATTTGAACAGGTGCATATGTTAGGCCAATGCATTACCTCCAGATCAAGCACTCATCGAGGTAATAAAATAATTTGGACTTTGAGACAGGGAAGGTTTTTCTGAAATGTTGTCCTGATTTTTAGGCCTTTCCACATATGTTTTTTCAATGTTTGATGCACCAATATGTTGCACTTTGAGACACAGTTTTGAGACACAGTTAACCTCTAAAATATGATTTATTTGGGATAAAGTGGAAAACAGTACATGTATTTCCCATGTTATTTTCCCATAGGGAAAACTCATGTGATCCATTGTTTTCAGCTAAATTTTGGTCATTCAAAATCGATATCTTTAAAACCCCTGCATGAATCATATTTTCATTTAAAACGCAACAGAGTGATCGATGCAACAAACATTGAAAAACAGGTGTGGAAAGGGCTGGAAATCAGGACAACATTACAGAAAAAACATGTTGATGGGGTGCAAATTTGCACCTTCCCTGACTTAAAGTCCAAATTATTTTATAATCTCTATGATTGCTTGTCCTGGAGTTAATGCATTGGCCTAACATATGCACCTGTTCAAATCCTCAGAAAATAGCCAAAATCCAATATATGACTGAAATCTGTTGCGATACCGTCTGAAGTCCTTTAAAAGAAAGTTATTTCTAGTTGCATAGAGTAGTTTTCATTCTCATCAATACATCTTTGCCTTGAAATCATTCGTGAAACATGTGGTTTGAACTTTATGGAAATTTGCTTTATTTTGACACACCTTTGTTTAACTTATACTGTCTTTAAGGCTGCCTTATCTGAAACCCCGAAGTGTCTCTTGTTTCAAATGTTTAAACAATCAAGTCTCGTCTTGCCTTTATTTCAAACTATAATTATCAGACTCGAGTCCAATCAAAAATGAATTATCTACATGGAAGTTTGTGAAGTCCTTTATTTCTGAAACTGTTTTCAATACTTAATATTTTCAGGTAACTGCTTTACAAAATTATTGTGCCTTGTGAATCTTCATTACCTATCTGATACATATTTTCCTCAGCAAACTTTATTTTCATAGAACACATGATGAATCTTTTATTCCACATTCTCAATTTTGCATCAATTATGTTTCAAGGATTTTTTTCACTGGCTCACTATGAAGGATTCCATTGACATTAAAATATGTCATGGGAAAGTAGGTCATAAGAAAGAGGAACACTGAGTTCCACCCATTCCATTGATGCAGGTTTTGTGCTAATTTTGAATATCTTTATGGTACTTTTACAGGTAATGGGCTAATGGCTTTAGCAAATTGCAGAAATGTTAAAGTTAGTTTTTTGGTCAAAGTAGGTTGTGAAATCACTAAAGATAAGTCATGAATCTTATATCATAAATGTGTTTTAAATCAACTTGTTTACCTGAAAATAAAATGTGGTCACAGCTTTTCTGAACATGCGGATGTACCCGAATGGTGTCTTATTCTTAATGTAATAAATGAAATTGTTGTGGTATGTATGTAGAGTCTATTTCCCTTATAATAATACATTTACTTTAGTACATGGATTCTCTCCTAATATTATTTCCTTATAAATATCCAAACTTTAATCAAAAGCAGTTTCAAAATTATCGTATATTGTATTTCACCTAAAATATCGTATATGGTATAAGAGCTGTGAAAAATATTGTATATGGTGTAAAAGGGGTGAAAAAATATTGTATATGGTATAAGAGAGCTGAAAAATATTGTATATGCATTTCCAAAACCCTCTATACACCCCCCCCACTGTACATAAAAAAAGTTGGAGACAATGTCACCAAGATCATCATTACTTACAATTTTAAACATAGCACTTTGATGCATTAAAAATATTCTTTCATGTCTATAAGACAGTTAAATACATGTTGTTTTGGTAAAATAATCTCTAATTAACCTACCCTGACTTGGTTCTAAAGGTCATGTTGTCCATCTCAGTTGAGAGATCTAAGCATATAACCTAAAAGTAAATTGTACATAAAGTAGTTATGAGATAGTTTTTAGTTCAACATTTGCTAAGACTACAAGGTCACTTTGGGGGAATTCATCAATTCAATGAGTTACAACATGACTGATCTGTTTCAGTTTTGATTCTTTCTGATTTGACAAGATCCCATATACACACAAAGACAGATGTCAATGAAGGAGGTTTCTTGCAATGGCTTATGATATGCCAACAAATGTAAATAAAAAAGATTATGACACAGACTTGCCAACCTACTGCTTTTGTACAAAAGTAGTGTAATATCTTTATCTTTCCATAAAAACTGCAGACTACCATACAGCTCATACCTTCTGATATTCGACTGACATTCTGTCATTACACTTCAATCTGTTGGATGTATACTTTTTGTTTTTACACTTTACAAAAATAAACCTAATAATTATTAGATATTATTTTTAAGTGACATAAGTGACGTCTAGTCTATCTCAAAATATGAGTACTTTATTGATTGCCCATGCAAAATAATCAAATAATCTGATTGGTTTAAACTTTGCTGCACATGCGCACAATGTGTGCCATGGATTTTTCTAATGATTTCGTTTCGTTTAATGGAGTTTGCGTTTCAGTGTAACTTCCGCCAACATGGCTGACCAAGTACAGAATTAACATGTAAAATCATTTCGAATTTTTAAGTGACATAAGTGACGTCTAGTCTATCTCAAAATATGAGTACTTTATTGATTGCCCATGCACTTTAAAGGGGCAATAAGGCTTGTAGAGAAAATAGGAAAATTTTAACTTTTTCTGCGCTATCAAGGCAACAGTTGGCTTAACATCTTCTTCGACATACCTATTTTCTTAAAATGTATGGATAAACTATCAATTTCGGCATTAAAAAGTGTAAATTCAGTTTAAAGCTTCAAAAAGGGGACGTCCACTTTTATATTTTTAAGATCCACCATGTTTCAAGAGGAATATAAGCTGAAATAATGATTATCTAGGGGTTATCCCGTTCCAGGACTTATGGTCCTGTACTGAACGCATACATTTGCCTGTACGATTACAACTTGGGAGAATTATCTACGCCCCTTCCACTTAAGAAACCTACCTCAATGCATTCTCAAAATGTAACTTCTAATATATTGGAACCGCCGATTGTCTGGGTTAGTTGGCACAACGAGGTCTTTTTGTTTCTTATGGCTCTTTTGGTCGAAGTTCGATTAAAGTGTGCGCCCGACCTGGCTACGTATATAACAGAGTTTATACTGGCGGATTAGACTAGTTCATTTTTTATATGTGTGTGAAAGCCTTCTCTTATTTGTGTTTTTTTTCGTTTAGTACGGTTTTGTTATAATTGCCGAGGTCATATAACCGGGATAAAACAATGATTATCGTTGACTGCGCACACACAAAACATTTACGTCGAGTGAACAGTGTTATCAAAAACAACAAGCTTTAGAATACAAAGCGTGATAATAAGCTGTACACTACCACTGCTGCATGTACATATTAGGGCTCATAAAGAGTGGATAGGGAGGTTGTGTTTGTCACTTTTAAATTTTACATTTCAAAAATGCCATTTTACATGTCACAATTTCTTGGTTTCATTCGTTTAGCCGATCAAAACATTGTAAAACGATAAATCGTCTGTTACGTATAATCAATCTTGTTCAGTTTTGATTAGTTGTCAGAATGAAGTTACGTTCATCTGAATCCATGTTTCAAAACAAAAATCATATTTTCTTCACTTCAAAATACTTCAGTGAGATGAATGCTCGGAATTGTCGTTTGCAATAACTTATTGTCGTATTCGTTCTTTTATCTACTCGATAGAAGCATTTAGTCGTACATTTGATGCCAGGTCACCTTCTCACGTACCTCTTGGGGAGCCCCACATTTGTGTCTGTACTCATGGAAGTAAATTCCCCGGTGTAGCCGAGAGACACAAACTTTCAACAGGTTCGAAATGGCCAAGTTCTTTCATATATACTCATATTTTATTAATTAATTATCACCTACAAAGTATGCTAATAACTATATGTAATTTCAATAAGGAAACTTATCTGGCTACATGTAAATTCAATATCAACACTAGATGTTCGCTCAACACGTCCTGGCTTACCTTGTGATGACAAACCCTGGGTTTTCGCTATTTATAGTTTATCAACACCTGGACGCATGCGCATTTTATAGTTTATCAGGCACTTTAAGATAGCGGTTATAACGGAATTTCCCGAAGTTTTCCGTAATAGCACGAACTTGGTATTTCGTTACGTCACTTCCGTGTTTAAATGGATTTGTTTCCGGTAAGAAACATTGTTTAACCATTCAGTATACAGTTAAGAGCATAGGATGTCGACATGGCAGTAAATATTGAAAATATTGTCCGAAATTTTCGAAATTCCCTCTTACCGGAAACAAATCCATTTTACACGGAAGTGACGTAACGAAATACCAAGTTCGTGCTATTACGGAAAACTTCGGGAAATTCCGTTATAACCGCCATCTTAATCGAACTTCGACCAAAAGAGCCATAAGAAACAAAAAGACCTTGTTGTGCCAACTAACCCAGACAATCGGCGGTTCCAATATATTAGAAGTTACATTTTGAGTCCTAGAATGCATTGAGGTAGGTTTCTTAAGTGGAAGGGGCGTAGATAATTCTCCCAAGTTGTAATCGTACAGGCAAATGTATGCGCTCAGTACAGGACCATAAGTCCTGGAACGGGATAAATCTAGGGGGTTTGTTTGTAGAAAATAAAAATAGATGTTAGTCTTGATGAAATATCCAAACTTAAATATATTTTGACACTGGTCCATGATCGTTGAATGGCCCCTCTGCACTACTTGTTGCACCTAATTTGAACCAATCAATGAATCAAATTGCTGGATGTATATGCAAAGCAAAGCAATGGAACCTCGCATCCGGACATATTGGCCATCTATAGAATTCTGTCTTCGACTGCATATCTACCTACTATTTTCTCAGGACAATTGATTCTTGGACATAGCATTTCAGCAATCACTTCCTCATCAGCAGATGAGGCAGAATCATCATCATTTTTTGGCACAGGCGGAAGTGGTTTTTCATAGTCATTTGTATCCCTAACTTTGCTACTTGAGGCTGTGTTGGCTTGTTTCATGTTTGAATTAGAGGTCGAACTTATGTTTGCATGCTCTTTTTGAGCATCATTACTGGCGTGAGTCTCTGTTTTAGGCAATCTTTGTGTTAATTCTTTCAGAACTGCTTTTTTCTGATCGTCCGCCATCTTTGTTTACAATCGTGATCTCGCTTTTTCGAGATATTTATTTTACATAAAAAACGTCATTTTCATGCATTGGAACTATTTACTACTCTATTTCGATTACCTATATTTTATCAATAATTATGTTATTGGTTTGGAGAACATTATATCAATGATATGCACCGCAAGTGCAAAATTAATCTTGATCTCGTTTTGTCGAGATTTAAAAATGGTTGGAAATAATGACGTCCAGAAGTAAACGAAATTGACAAAAACATCTATATTAGTTCATAACTAGTTCAAATTAGTGAGTAATTTTAAGTTTTTTGTATTAGCGATACATGTATCCTTCGTTTCAAGTTATTAATTGGCTTATAAATAGCTTAAATTGATTAAAAACAGCTTGATAATAGTGGCATATTTTGATTTTTTCATCAAAATTATTTATTTTCAATAATAATTAGATCTAAGCTCACACTTCCCTAATACTCTCACTGTCGGATATCTCAATCAAGATCTTGATAACTTGTCCACAGCAGGATGAAGCAAATTGGAGTATCTCATCTGATATGTTGGTGAAAATATCTATGTCTATGTCAATAATCTGCAAAAGGCTAATCACAGGGGCTTGTCTGAAGGGTCGGGCAAGCCCTCCGAAGAGTGTGTACTTCTTATTAGTGTTGTGGCGATTAATCGATACATCGCGATATACATCGCCAAAGCTGGTTCTGGCGATGCATCGATGTCTGAAACAAAACATTGATGTTTTTAAAAAATTTTAATTTGCTAAAAATCGCCCTTTCTTATCTTATTTTGACACAAATTGCTTACCTTTTTTCATGTCTTATTTCATTTTCAAATGTTTTCTGATATTCTTTCGCTTAAAACTGTTTTAGCTAGTCGAAATGAACCATAAGTCTAAAAAAATTACTTAAAGTGGGAGTATCGATTGCCGAGTCGTATCCAATGTTCCTGGGCCTATCGTAAAATGAAAGCTTTGAATATGTTGTTGCCTTTAAAAATGTATCTATTTTCCATGTATGCTACTAGAATTTATGCACATACCTTATAACGATCGATAATGGCAAAGGAAAATCCTCTAATTCTTCGTCAAAATTTCTCCTTCGACGTCCGCCATTTTTTATTAAACCGGAAGTTTTTCTCTGACGTCCGCGCAATGTTTTTTCACTTTTATTTCAGATTACGCTTCGGATTCAACATTTAATGCTTTCTAATATTAATTAAGTGTTTTCTATCAGAAAGATTTCATAAAAAGACTCACACTATCAGAGATTTTATCGATTCGAGCAGCCAGAAAAATTAGTTTCAATTTCACCCACTAGGTGTTTCGACGTCGACTTGGGAAGAATTTGAAAAATCTATGAGTGGGACTCCTTGTATGGAATTGTAGATTCTAAACTATTTGCCAGTTCTACTGGTTGATGAATATTGCCATATGCATACATTTTTATAAAATAGGAATAAGGAAGAAGATGTTGGACCAAACTTCACCCCGATAGCTCAGAAAAGGTAAAATTTCTCCATTTTTCTCTCCACAGACCTTAGAGCCGCTTTAACTTTCATTTCACCGTTACTATGTTCCCGGATGTACCAGCGTACTCTTATTAATTTGTTCTGTTCGATATTTTAGTGCATTAGCATTCGGTATTTCAGTGCACTTTTCGCGATGTGCATCGATGTTTACTACTGAAAATTGCCGATGCATCGATGTACGATTATGGCACATCGCGACAACACTACTTCTTATTAAGAGTAAAAGGGGGGTCGTTTTTGATGCTTCCTGAAATTTGTAGAAAATGATTGTTAGATATATCCAGTAAAATCATAAGGAATCCTTTCAATAATCAACATGCTGATTCAAACAACACTACAGAGCAAAGTTACCCAAAATCGTAGCAATCCATCCACTAGTTGCTGAGAAATCTGAAGAATATGTAAAGAAGTGATTAAAATGCAAGAACCGGCAATTTTCGCATCCAAATTATTACCTCCAGAGTCGATTTCTTCCTCAAGACACGTCCACTGTTAAAAATTGGTAGTTCCTAGAGTTCTTTGTTTCCTTAGGTTCATTCCCGTATATTATTTTTAACGAAGGACAGCCTATAACGACTGCTATACGCAAAAAGATGCATGAAATTAGAAGTTTCGAAACTGAAAGTTGAAAAATGGCGACATCCCGTGCTCTATGCACTTTAGTGCAAAAACAAAAAAATTATGAGTGAACATAATTTGAAATTTTCAGAGGTGAGCAGCCATGCCAGATGCTGTGCCAGGACAGGCACCACCTGGTGAACCAAACAACAATAACAACAACAATGGCCCAGGTGCACGGAATCAGAACCAGAGAAACAATGCTCTACTGAATGTCAGGGATCGTCTCTTCCATGCCTTGTTCTACAGGATTGCAATCACATATGCCAGGGCATTTCCTCCAAAAGTCAGAAGAATGATAGAATTTCTTCTTCTTATCAAGGTATTAAACATTTTCATCTTTAGTGTTTGATAAATGAAAGACATTCATCAAAATCACCTTATTGCTACAATGTGATATTGTTATATGCTTGACAACAGATATAAAATGCAAGCATTTAAGAATGCTATATCAGTGACAGGGAAAAATAAGCCATTTGACCAAAGAGTATTGGTAACATGTAACTTGTATCTATGTATGAATCAATTTTGACATTTTTCAGGCACTGGTAGCTCTGGTCGTCCTTGTGTATATCCATGTTGTCTTTGCGAGAGCTCCCATCAACTGCCTGGATCACGTCAAGGATGTATGGCCAAAGACAGGCATTCTAAGAGTAGAGGTTGTACGCAATGCTTCCCCAGACTATAACATTGCAAAGTCATATGAGAAAGAATACAGCACATATGATCTGGAAACTTTGTTCCATTTTGATGATGGTGACACAACAGACGATGCAGAGGTTGGAGACACTGGTGATCTGTATGAGGCTGGCCCAGATGATGAAAATCCAGATGTAGACAAAATGGAGGATGTTCTGGTTGCTAGTAATAATACAACAACCATCACATTAGACCACCAAGCTCTATTGAGCCCAATAAAAGATGAACCAGAAGGTTTGTTGATCACCTCTTTAATCCTTATCGACTTGTATAATTGATTAACTTTTCATTGAGATTTTACATGCATTCAACTTTCTTGTTTTTGCATTCAACTTTTTAATTGTCTTTACTTATCGCCAGTACAACTCTGTTTCAAGAGGTTAAATGCTCTAGATATAAGTCTGTGCTCACTGCTTAACCTAAAATTAATAAGTTTATAAACATGTTTTAAAATCAGGTTTCTTAAAATTTGATACGAGCTCTTTTAATTTAAATTTGATTATAACTCTCTTCTCAAAAATATAATTATTTTTTCAGAAGTGACAGATACATCTAAGACTATTGGAAACACCCTTGAAGATACAGAAAGTCTGGAGACTGACACTGTTGATGTAGAAGTTGATACAGATGATAGTAATGAGACCTCTCAGTATTGGGTAGCAGATGAAGCTGTTCCAGAGAAGAACATGCAGCCATTCAGGGAAACACTTTCTGAGCTTGAGATGTTTGCTAAAGCAGGTAATTTAATTGTTTTAAGGTAGTTCCCCATTTTCAGAAAAAAATTGAAAAAATTGCGGGGTGTCCTTTCAAATTAAACATAATCTTAACAAATATTTCGATTTTAAACAATATACATGTATACTGACTTTAATGTTATTCGACATAAAATTATGAAAAATATTCCCTATTTCATGAATTTATCAAATTAAGGTACATTTGTAATTGTAATCTAAAAATACATGAAAATTCTTATCATGCGCATCTTTATTTAAAACCACTTATACATGTATGAGATAATTTATATTTTATTAGCTCAGTTGATTGAAGAGAATGTTTTCCTCTTTTCAGTTTGGCCAGAGGAAAAGTATATAGTAGAATATGCACTGGAGTATGGTTTCCTGCGATTGTCCCCTAAAACAAGGGAAAAATTAAACATTAGTGTCATGCTAGTCACATTAGGTGAGTTAAAAAGTTGTTTATTTTATTTTGGTGAATTTCATCTAATTTATTTAATTCATAAGAAATTGTGTATGGCCATTTTCGCAACATTTGCCTGTTTGATTTGACAGAAAATAACACAAAACCCTGGCATTTGAGATAATCAATATCATAAAAGTATAAATGACATAAATAACACATATTTAAGACCAATTGCTAAAACTTTCAGGAAATCTGCGCTATAATTGTAATACATATTTTTCTTGATGACTGTATATTTTCAGAAATATGAACTACGATTTTCTCATTCCTATGATTTATGCGTGATATGATTTTTATCTACGAATGGAAATGATATCTGCATGAGCGAGCATAGCGAGAGAGTGCAGATATCAATATCCATGAGTGGCAAAAATCCATAATTCATAGCATACGGCGCCGTATGTCTTGGCTTAAACACTGTATGCTATGGTTAAGTGAAGATTTGTCAAAAATATCATATTTTACCACTGATTACAAAAATACCATTTTTATTTTGACATGTTATCCTATGAATATCATGCTAACTATGGAATAAAAAGACATATGTGTAGCATATAAAAGGCTGACAACATGGGGTTCTAATTCCTTAGATAGACAAATTTTATTCATATTGTATAATCTCATGCTTTGTAGATCCCTTAACTGATGAGTGTTTTGGAGACTCATTCAGCAGGTTCTTGCTTGATGAGTTCCTGGGCTATGATGACCTGTTGATGTCTAGTATCAAACAACTAGCAGAGAACGAGGACAACAAAGGTAACTTGCGCATTGCTTTTACTGCCATGAAAGAAAACAGAAGAAATGGAACATGGTCCCTTCCATATAATGAGTTGAGGTTCTGATATAGTGGAACAACAATGGAGATGGTGGAACAATATAGAACTCTTAAAAATAGTGACCACATTAATACCAGATGTTAACTCTGTTATTCCTAGTTATTCAAATCGCATTATGAATAGCAACAGATTTGATAATTAAACTCCCAATCCTTCTTCGAAAACACAATGTTGCTTCTGGTTGCTTCAGATTGACGTCAGTTGTGTATATATTTATGTTTACAGGTTTTCTGAGAAATGTTGTAACAGGAGAGCATTATAGATTTGTCAGTATGTGGATGGCTAGAAGTTCCTACCTTGCTGCTGCCTTCATTATGGTCATCTTTGTAAGTTACCTTCTAAACCAAATAACATTGTCATCTAAATATAAGTTATATTGTAAACCAGTTAATCATGGTCATGTTTATAAGTTATATTGTAAACCAATATATCATGCTCATCTTTGTAAGTTACATTATAGACCAATTTATCATGGCCAACTTTGTAAGTTACTTTCTATACCAGTTTATCATTGTCTTCTCTGTATTCACCTGAAATCTAAGAATTAGAGCATTGATATGTGTTCTTAAAGACTTGTATAGTTTATAATGTGTTTTGTTTGTTTGTTTTAGACTCTGTCAATCTCCATGTTACTGAGATATTCCCATCACCAGATCTTCGTATTCATTGGTGAGTACTGAGTAGTGTCCATCCTCCTGGATATTATATGTAATATAATGATTATATTTAGTAATATTTGGAAATATAGACATCCACCTGAAACAGGAAGTGTATTATAGATACATAGATGTTATTTAATGGGAGGTTTTTGATACAGGGTTTATCTGAGGGAAATACAATATATCTACGTTGATATGTTGAATTTACTGATGGATATACCCTGTATCAAAAATTGAGCATTTAATAACTGATTTATCCTATACTTAGAAGATTATGAGGATTAATAGATTATTAAGTTTACATTCAGTATTATGGAACCCTCCAGTAATAATTACAAATGATAATCGCAATCAAAACATGAATATTTTATCTCGATTTATAGTTCTTTTAAACGTATTGTTTTAAAACTCCACAGCTTTTAACATTTAACAGTATATGAAATAAATATCTATCCAAAAGCACCAACCAATTCTGATGAAAGAGAATTGAGATATCTGAATTCATAATGATTATATTTAGTAATATTTGGAAATATAGACATCCACTTGAAACAGGAAGTGTATTATAGATACATAGATGTTATTTAATGGGAGGTTTTTGATACAGGGTTTATCTGAGGGAAATACAATATATCTACGTTGATATGTTGAATTTACTGATGGATATACCCTGTATCAAAAATTGAGCATTTAATAACTGATTTATCCTATACTTAGAAGATTATGAGGATTAATAGATTATTAAGTTTACATTCAGTATTATGGAACCCTCCTGTAATAATTACAAATGATAATCGCAATCAAAACATGAATATTTTATCTCGATTTATAGTTCTTTTAAACGTATTGTTTTAAAACTCCACAGCTTTTAACATTTAACAGTATATGAAATAAATATCTATCCAAAAGCACCAACCAATTCTGATGAAAGAGAATTGAGATATCTGAATTCATTAGAATTTTTTCTAGATGACTATAAAACCAAAGGATCATCCTAAAATACAAAAAAGTTGGATTTTTTAGAAAATAGGAATTTTTGAATGATAAGAGTTTATCAGCACAATTGCTCATTTTACTTAGTCCTCTTTAAATGTATACACAAAATAATATTCAACAATTTACAAATACATTCTTTCAGTTGAGCTTCTTCAGATGTTAGAGATGAATACCACCATAGCATTCCCTGCTGCCCCATTACTGACTGTGGTACTTGCCTTGGTGGGAATGGAGGCCATAATGTCTGAGTTCTTTAATGACACCACCACTGCCTTTTATATTATCCTCCTTGTGTGGATTGCAGACCAGTATGATGCCATCTGCTGTCACACAAATATCAGTAAACGTCATTGGTTGAGGTTAGAGTTTTATATAGAGTTGTCTTTTGAGAATAACAATATCTTGAATCTAGAGGATCTGGTAATGACTTATTTAAGATATTTACAAGTAAATCCAGAACAGTTTCTTTGTAAAACAGTGTATCCTATGTTATACTATATGTGTTAAGAATTTAGTTAAGCATTTATAACAATAAATCTTAAAAAATATGTTTGTTTTTTCAGATTCTTCTACTTGTACCACTTTGCTTTTTATGCATACCACTATCGCTTCAATGGTCAGTACAGTGGACTTGCCTTGGTTGTATCCTGGCTATTTATTCAGGTAAATATTCACTTGAATGTTGAAGTATTCAAAATGAATTTAGAATATTGTTTTCTTGAAATGTGCTTCTATAGTCATTAAATTGTACATTAGTTTCCCATATAAGAAAAATTTACTGTAGATACTGCATTATTTTTGTAATGAAGCAAAATGGAAAGATAAGATATCAAAACTAAATGAGATTTCAATTTGCTTTTTCAGCATTCTATGATCTATTTCTTCCACCACTATGAACTTCCATCGATGTTACAACAAGCTCGTATCCGCCAACTTCTCGCCCATTCTCACCGTCAGGTAGCAACAGCTAATAATGTAAATCAAGCTCAAGCCCAAAATGCAGATATGAATGCCAACAACCAAGCTACGAACAACCCTGTTGGTAATGTGAATAATGGTGTACCTGCAGAAGGTGATGTAAGACCTAATGTACCACCACCTGGAGAAGTTCCTAATGGGGAACACCCTGTGCCTAATGGGGATTTAGCTGCTCCATCTACTCCTGTAGATACAGGAGATGGTATGGAACAAGATAATGCAGCTACAGGGGACTCTGAAGCAAGCTCCAGCGAGCCTTCAACTAATACCCCACCAGCTAACCAATCACGTAGTCAGTACATTAAGGACATGGTGCTTCGACTAAGAAATAATGTTGCTCAAAGGATAGGAGCTGTTCCCCCTGAGAGTAGGGGTAATAATACTGTGGACTCCAACCTTCAGCAAAACAATTCTAATACTGCAAATATGGAGCATGAGCATTTGCCAGAAGATTTAGATATGGAAAATATAGAAATTGACCCAATACCTAATGACGTTTTGGAAACTTTAGACCTGAATTTGGACGGAAGAGATTCAATAAGACTTGATAGTGCAACAGACACAAATGTTTCTGAATCAGTAGAAAATAGTTCAAATAATATAGTCAGTGGTCTCAGTGCTACAGTGGACAGTGGTATATTGCAGGAAGATGGACCTGATCAGAGTCATAGTAATCAGACTGATATTAATTCCCAATCTGTGGAATCTGAACATAGGAACAGTTCTGCTAGTACACCTGTTTAGGTTTAGTCCAAACAGATCTGCTAGGGTTCATAGGAGCCCATCATGATAGAATAACATGGGTGAACTTCTTCAGGAAAATTTGTATTTAGATAAAAGTTGAAAATAAGGGGGTTGGAATTTTTGATATCTCCAAACAGAAGTAAATCCATGCTGTTACATGGTGGGTGTCTAAGTAGATGTTTGAAATAAGTTCATTAACAAATGCAGTAAACATGGTACAGTTTTTATATCCCTGAACACTTTACTATATGATTTACAAAGAACAATATTGTTAAATCATTCAGTATTTCAAATGGAAATTGATGAAAAAGGGACATGGACTACTTGTTAAAGTCCTGTACATTACGCAGAATGACTACTTCAGGCAGCACTATATATTTATGTACATATATGTATAGCTCCTAGGTTCCAAAACAAACATAAATAAAACGGCAATTGGCGAGACTTTTGTATGGATCTTGATGTAAAAGTATATTTTGAGTTTCTGAGAAACTGTATATATATTTTTGGTCTTTGGGCATTCAAAAATTTGTTTCAAGTTAAAAGGAGGAGGGAAAGTATCGCAACAGGTTTCGGACAGTCATATGTTGGATTTTGGCTACTAACTGAGGATTTAACCAGGTATATATGTTAGGCCAATGTGTATCCTCCAGGAAAAGTACTCATAGAAATGATGAAATAATTTCAACTTTGAAACAGGGAAGATGCAAACAACCCACCCACATGTTTTTTCTGAAATGTTGTCCTGATTTTCAAACCCTTCCACCCCTTCTTTTTCGATTTTTGTTGCATCAGTATGTTGCGTTTTGAAACACAATTAACTCCTTTAAAGGAATAAGTTATTCCTTCAGGGGTTTTAAAGATATCCAATATGGATGACCAAAATTAGCATGAGTTTTCCCTATGGGAAAATAACATGGAAAATATTGATTTTTTTACTTTATCGAAGAGGAATTACTTATTCCTTTAAAGGGGTTAACTGTGTCTTAAAACACAACATATTGATGGAACAAAAATTGAAAAAGCAGGGGTGGAAGGGGTTGAAAATCAGGACAACATTTCAGAAAAAAACATGTGGGTTGTTTGTTTGCATCTCCCCTGTCTCAAAGTCGAAATTATCTTATAATCTGCTTTTCCTGGATATGATGCATTGGCCTAACATAAAATGCATCTGTTTAAATCCTCAGAAAATAGCCAAAATCCGACATATGATTGTCCAAAATCTGTTGCGATACTTTCCCTCCTCCTTTCATCGTTTCATGAATTGTTTTCCAATTATCAAAAAGCCAACCAGGAAAATATTATCACTTGTACAATAATTTGAAAATATTTCACAAGGTTCCTCCGATGTGCAATAATAATACATTTTGTGACAAAATGTAAATGTTCAAATTATTTGCTGAATTTTTGAAAATCTATTTTTTATATCTCACCTTAAATAACACAATAACCTGATAATATAATGGAGGGATTGGTACCCATTAAAATATATATTACCGTTATGAAGATTAATTCATATTTTTTAGGACGCCTCACTTGACTATATGTGCAATGAAATGATTCAAAATAGGATTTTTAAGATTTAAATAAAGGGTGTTTCAGCTAAACTGGAATATTAAGATATTGTAAAATGATGTTTTGGCCCGTGACAGTATTTTATATGGACATGTTAGCTAATGTCTTAGGTTTGATGGCAACAACTTTGTGCCATTTTAATTACAGGTCTATAGATAATAGATCTATTGGTTGTTAAATGTAATGATTGGCCTTAGCATGTTTCTGGGAAAAAAACTTGGGACTGTTTATGGTTTAAATGTAACTTATGCTTCCTAGAAAACCTTTGTCTACTGTAAGATGAAAATGACATAGTACAAATTCATAAGTTAGAATGTTCCAAAGTTGGAACCTGGGGTAGGGTATTTCATTTTCAGTGTAATGATTTGATTTAAAACAGATGTTCTTTCAAAATATTTTCATTATTACATGTATTACAGTAATTCTTTTTACTGAACTTTGATTTTATAGAATATTTGAGCTTTCTAAGTTCTAAAACATGTAAAAAGTGCATTATAATCATTTCTATCATGATATGAATTGTCTTTCAAATTGATGTATATATGGTTATTTTAGCAGTTCATCAGCATATAATGAACAGCATTGTGTACAAGAACTTGTAAGAAAATAAATAATTTAATTATTGTAAATATGTCAAATTTGTGTCATATTTGGAGTTTTAAAAAAGTGCTACTGAAATTGTCTTGTGTTGATGGGCATGCATATTTATGGTTGGGTGGGTGCTATATGAATCTTATCAAAATTCCAGGTTTTCTGTTGGCACTAGTGTTGAGTAAATCAAATGGTGACCATTTTGCTTTTTTTACATATGATCTTTATTACTGTTTGTTAATTTCCACTCCTGATTCTAAGAAATGTTTTATCCTGCAATCTACATATTTCAGAACAGGTCTTCTCAATTTTCATAATATTGTATATGATTGCTTGACATATGGAGGTCCCTATCACTTATTTTAAATCCCTATTTATACCTTTTATTTATACCCATTGAACTCAATTTCTCATGTCAGTCGAAATCATGGAAGAATCACAGATATTTCTACTACTACCCAAGCATCACTACTAGGGGTGCATCATTACATGAAGATGGGTTCATTTATAAATTCTGAGGCATTCTCTTAGTAAGAATGACTGACGGAATACACAATGATTCAAAAAATACTTTTGAAATGTTGAAAATAGACTCTGAGACAAAACAGATTAATTAAGTTACCACTGAGTTTAACTGGTTAATTCTGGTATAGACAATCATTACATTTTTAATTCCTGCAATGAGTCTTGTCTTGTTAAAGGCCATGTTTCAATGACAGTCTTCAATAAAAAAAAAATCGAGACATCAGCTGGGGGAAAAGGAGTGCTTGTAAACACAATTATAAAAGATATTTCATATTATTTATTTACTTTTATATAGAGAGTGGGGGGATTATTTCTATGTTCCATTGCCTGTGGTTTTTACTACTACCTCAGCATATATTTATTTATCCCATACTTGGACGTGTTACGGGTACATAAAGCCGGTTTGTAAAAACTTATATTTTCATCAGCGGGCAGATATAGCTTTACGTCCCGCTCCGAGCGGGCAGATATAGTATATCTGCCCGCTACGCAGGGGCGGATCTGGGAACCAACAAGGGGGGGGCCCAAACTTGTGGTCTGAGAAAAAAGTTTCCGCGCTTGCGGTGAAAAAAATTTTGGGCCCCTAAAACCCAAAAGTGGGCCCAAATTTTGAAATTTTGAGGCCCATTTTCTTCAAAATTTGGCCTAAAATTTAAAAATAAGGCCTTAGAAGGCCCATTTATGACCAAAAAGGCCTACTTTTTGGGGCCTTTAGGCCTTTTTTGGCTCAAAATTTTTTTTGGGCACAAATTTTTTTTTCTGGGCCCACCCAATGGGGGGGGCCCGGGCCCCTGGGCCCCCCCCCCCAGATCCGTCAGTGCTACGTCATAATCGCCGCTCGCATATTTGTTCATAATTTGTAACGTTTGCGTAATGACTGTAAACTACAATGGAGAAAACACAGACAATCGGGATCTGTTTGATGGTTTAAAAAAAGGAAAGAGCATCCACTTAATCAATCAAAAATTCGAGAAAATAAATGTGGGAATATTTGAGAGAACAGGAAAATCCGCCGACGGCCAAGAAAACAAAACTGGACATGAATATTCTAACATATTTCCACGATTGAACAATGTAAACCAGATGACCAAGATTGGTATGGAATAACATATTATCCTATAGTCGGTTCAGGATATTGGGATTATCCCTTGGCCAATATAATATATTTTCCCTCGGGACCTGCGGCCCTCGGGCAAATATATTATATTAGCCTCGGGATAATCCCAATATCCTGAACCTCGTATAGGATAATCTCTATATATAGGCCACCGTAGTCAGTAGCTTATAATGAACAAACAAAGATGTCAGGTCAATCGATTTACTTTTAAGACTCCATAGTATAAACTAAAATATTGTTTACATTAATGGGATGATTATTAAACGAATGCAAAGATAAGCTTTATTTATTTGTCATTGTTTGTATTAGAATTCACATTGTAATCAAACCGATGATCAAGAGTGTATTTTATTAGCACATCTATTAAAATCCATTTAGCTATTTATCGCTTTTATTCAAGAGGTCTTTCATTTGCATACTTGGAAAACTTGAAAGAAGCGTAATGTCGAGTACTCCGCATAGTAAGAAAAAGATTTGCTATTATTACGATGGTATGTATACTTTATTTAGTATTTATTCACTTCTATGTATTCCTTTGATATTGCAGTTGCATATGCACAGATTTCGTTGTGATTCAACACATATTTTTTCTGATTCGATACTCAAACTTCAGAAGAAGCGCGATTCATTCAACAAATTTCAAAACCGGTGCGATCATAATACCCACGCTTCCATAAATCACAATCAATTCGATTCAGTTTCAAGATGTGACGATACATAGGATTGCCTATTCTCAAATTAGTTTTATATCATTTGTCCTACCGATGATCTGCATAACTGTACATTTTTAAACCGACAAAACAAGCTGACAAAACAAGCACAATGAAGTACGGAAGCCCATAATTTCGTAGTTCAATATGGCCGATAATTTCAAGTATTGTTTCAAGTAAATAATTTGATATAATTTCCATTTAGACATAGAAGTTCTTGTATGAGTAGCTGTGTAAGATCGTCTATACTTGATGAGCTTTAATAATTCTTCTTTATCGAGTCAGAGATGAGATCATTATCAAAGCGAGTCAAGGATGGACGATATTGCACAGGTACGAGTACAAGAATGTTTTTCTCATATGACTCTAAATTATGCCATACTCTAACCAAACCCGTCTGGCCCAGTTATCTACTTCCGAAGATCTACGACGTCAGGAGTAGATAACTGGGCCAGACGGGTTTGGTTAGCCATACTCATACTGTCACCTTTCTTTTATGATAAAACCATCTTTCAATTGCAATGATGTTATAACATCGTTGTATCTGTTGTCATGTTGATAAACCAGTGATGTCACAAGTTAATCTCATCTTGCATGTGACTTTTTAGTATGAAAGATTGCAATATCTTGCATGGGGTAAAGATGGCTGTTTCTTTGTTAGTCATATAAAAAAAAATATCACGATTTCATTGAAAAAAATAACCACTATTATTTATTGTCTATCATAAAATGCTTTGCTTTCATAAAGTATAACATCTTTCTTTTTGAAACAGTCTCAAATGGATAATGTCAACTAGGACATTTCTCAAATCTCTAGCCTATAGTCTATATAGAAACTGAGACTAACATGAAATCATGTTAGTCTCAGGTTCTGTATTAGTGTACTCACTGTATGTTTTTCAGAATATTTGCCCTTTATTCAATAGAATTTGTAACAAAGGTCCCATCAAGCATAACTTTAACTTAATATATGGTTTCAGCTTTTAATGTACAATCATTATATGTTTCAGGAGACATTGGCAACTACTACTATGGCCAAGGTCATCCCATGAAGCCCCATCGTATACGCATGACACACAACCTGTTACTAAATTATGGCCTCTATAGAAAGATGGAGATATATGTGAGTACAATTTAATGCATTACTATACATCTAGTTTCATATATAATATATATAGGGCAGTTAATTCGTGTTTTTTATGAGGGGAAATAAGAGGAGGCTTACAGTAACAGGGCCTCTTTCATATATATTTGATTTGCATGAGGGTACTTCATATTGTGAACATGTAATTTGTTCTCGAGAATACATGTTACTTATTGTACATGTACATTGTTTCTTCGTTTTCCTATTTGTCCAGCGTCCTCATAAAGCCACACAGGAAGAGATGACAAAATTCCACAGTGATGATTACATTAAGTTTCTGCGTAGCATCAGGCCAGACAACATGTCAGAATACAACAAACAGATGCAAAGATGTAAGTCTAAGGAATTCTGACATAAAATTTCAAGTTCCAAGAAAAATATTATCAAAACTTCACTTTATAGAATTTAACAAAGTTCTTCTGAGCCAACATAAAACCATTTCTCATACATTGTGAAGTATTTACATCATATTATATGTCTGAGCTTTTCAATTACATTTTGTTAACACAAACTTACTTCTTACTGATTTTTTCAGTCAATGTAGGAGAAGATTGCCCAGTATTTGATGGAATGTATGAGTTCTGCCAACTCTCAACAGGGGGCTCTGTAGGTAAGTTGGAAATAATGAATAACCCACATGCGAGTAGAAATAATCTTGATTTACGTCATTAAAAATTCAAAATTCAGTCAAAGTAATATCATATTTGAAATCTACATGTAAAATTACATCTAGAAATGTGGTTTTAAAAAGTGTTTATCAACTTTGAAAAATTAATTTTCTTTGAAAATGTGACTTCTAGCTCGGGGAGATTCCCCATAGACCCCATGCTATAAAACCACAAAAAATGAAATATCTTTTCTTTGAGTGGACAGATAATATTTTGCTTTACTGGACATATTTTCATTAGTATAAGTATCAGACACATAAGGGTTATATGAAAATTGAGCCACTTAAATTAATAATATTGTAGTTTAAGGGAACTTTCTTATATACCTGCCATGTTAATTGACCCGAATCAGCCACCTGGTGGTGAAACTGGTAACTACCTACTCGCATTTGGGTAATTACATGTATTACATTTATTTTTATGACACAAGATGTTCAAACTATTTTAACTTGTGAAATATTCATAATTAGTATGGAGCTGAATTATTAATTGAACATAATATAGATAAAAAAATATAATTATTTCACAAGTAACTTTCTGAAGTAACTTGTTCTCTCGTTCTTTTAGCTGGAGCTGTTAAACTGAACAAGCAGGCTGCAGATATTGCCATAAACTGGGGTGGTGGACTTCATCACGCTAAGAAATCTGAGGCTTCTGGATTCTGTTATGTCAATGATATTGTGTTGGGAATATTAGAACTCCTCAAGTAAGACTTTACCAATGTTCAAATCTTTGTATGTCATTTATTGAATTCATATCTTTTCAGGTAGATTTGTTTCTCAATGACATGCACAAAAAAGTTTAAAAAGTTACAAAACACAAAGTAAATCTCAAATTTATATATAATTAATATACAACTTATTTTAATTCAATTTAATTTTTTAACCACAAGCTGTCAAGGAGACGCATAGTGAAGACCATAAAGTGATCATCGCTATTTCATATTTCTAAGTTATACTCAATTTTATTGCAGATACCACCAACGTGTGTTATACATAGATATTGACATCCATCACGGTGATGGAGTAGAGGAGGCATTCTATACCACAGATAGAGTGATGACTGTCTCCTTCCATAAATACGGGGAGTACTTCCCAGGCACTGGTGATCTCAGGGTGAGTACTGAATACATGCAGTTATTGTATCCTGTATATATCATAATGTACATGACATGTATGAAATTAATGTAAAATAATTTATCAGGAATCAAACTCGTATAATTATCGAATAGCTTGATGTTTCTTTGAAAATACCTGCATCAAATCGTAGTATTCAATATCGATAATATTATAAAAGTCATGTCTTCAAAGAATTAGGTTTGCATTTACACATTGATCAAATATTGTATTTCATGTTTCCCTTGAAATTGTAACTTTGTAGGACATAGGAGCAGGCAAGGGTAAATACTATGCAGTGAACTTCCCTCTTCGTGATGGCATCGATGATGACTCATTCCAGACAATATTTCAATCAGTAGGTTTCTTGTGAAGATATTGAAATGTGCCAGTGATGTGAAGATTCTATGTGCCATCTGACCTATAAACTACTGAAAATGGTATCAGCAATTAGCATAGACCCTTCACATTGCACATGGCAATCTTAATGAAGTGTAAGGTCTATAATCTCTGACACCAACATTTTCCTCTATTATAGGACATTGGTGCGGGAAAGGGTAAATATTACGCCGTTAACTTCCCTCTGAGAGATGGAATTAACGATGAGTCATATGAACAAATATTCCAGCCAGTAAGTGTTGGTCCCCATGCCCAGCTTATCCTACAGGCAGCTTGGAGTATGTCTCATATAACCCAATTATTATCATTCAAAATTGTCCATTTACATTCTACATAATCAAACTAATGGAATGTAAATTATGTTTCTATATTTTTTTCAATTAGCAAATTCTAAATTCAAAATCACTTAATTTATGAATGGACTTAACTGCATTTTGAGACCTCTCCTTGTACTGTCACTTTTGTAGGCTAGGTAAGGGCTGGTCCGAGCTTATGTGCAGTTCACCATATTTCATGTTCCATTGCCATGTTATCAACTTATCATAGATACATGTTGCTTTGGTAATAGTTGCTATGGTAACATAAGGGCTCATCTTGCTGGTAATACATTAGTCTTTCTATGAAAGTGTGATGCTGGAAATGTATAAGACAAATGCAAATTACTTCAAAATATCATATCCATTTAATAGTTTTAAAAGATTTGGGCCCCTTCAGACATCATAATATTGCTTATTGATTAGGCCCATTGGTGTAATATGGAAATAAGTGGGAATGTAGGTTTATGCATGCTGTGACTGGTTTCAAAACATTTATCTATGTAGTATACATATACAACCATACATTTAATATAAGATTCTTCTCAATGAATTGATAATCCAAGAGGGATTTTCATGTCGGTAAGAAATATGACTCAATAATAATTTAAATAAATAAAGGGCTCCAAATAATAGTCATTCACAGTTTTCTACAAATATCCATTCTATGAACCATATATAGAACATATAATTCATGGTTCATGAAGTGAATGGCTTTTTTTTTTTTATATATGAAGTGAATGGCTGACAAACTTTCAAAGGAGTATCTCTACTTTGATTTCTTGAATACCAATGCCATATCTCAATTTTATATAAGTGTATAATTGTAATTTTCACACCAAATACATAAACAGTTCCCATATATAACTTTATATATGACTGCTTGTGTAATAATTGTCTTGTCTCGCTCTAGCTTTGTTTTTACTGATTGCATGTTTAGACCATATCTACTGTCATTGTCCAGAAATTTAAGAATGTCTTTCATCACCATGCTTATCATCATATCAGGACAAAAAGCCTTGTATGTCTCTTTATGTTTGCTTATAATAGAGTACCTGGAATTCTCATTTTACATTTTTGCTGTTTGCACCCTCGTTTGTGAATTCCAGGTCCTGCACATTGATTTGAATAGTCTAAAAAATTAATTGAACCTTTAGAAAATTAGGGTAAGGATATGAGTACTACATGTAGTAATTGTGCCTATGAACTCCATTGTTTGCAATTTTAACTATGTAGCATTTGTGTATATATAGGTAATGTGTAAGGTAATGGAGATGTACCAACCCAGTGCAGTGGTGTTACAGTGTGGGGCAGATTCACTCTCTGGAGACAGGCTTGGCTGCTTCAACCTCACATTGAAAGGTATGGAATACTCAATACTGAACATACATATCAATCCCTAAGGGACTGATTTATTTCCAAAAATCAGCATAAAATACTCCAAAACACTTCTAAAAATGATAAACAAAGTTAAAATTTATTTTTATTTTTCTGAAGATTTTTACGACGCATGCGCAAACTACAATTAACGAAAAACAAATTTATATTACACTATAACTCTCCTTTTCATCTAAAATACAATGTTATTTAAGTTGACAAGAGAGATATTAAGAAAAGATCTGAACAGTGTTTTATTCATCAGCATTCCTACTTGAATTAATAATGATAATAAAGATACTTCTCCATTGTGATTCATCAGGATTGGTCATGCATTATATATGTACTATGTATTTCTAGGTCATGGCAAATGTGTTGACTTCATGAAGAAATACAATCTTCCTCTCCTACTACTTGGGGGTGGTGGTTACACCATACGTAATGTGGCAAGATGCTGGACATATGAAACCTCAATTGCCCTTGGGGTGGATGTGGCAAATGGTAAGAAGCTAACGACATTACACAATGAATTTTGAATGTTAAATTATTTCATGCAAAACATAGAATCACAAAAGGCAATATTTGAAAAAACTTGCCCCACATTTCTGTCATATTTATTTTGGCAATATGAAAAATGGGAATTGAAATCCTGTATATCAGCATGTATTTTCTGGTTGTTTGCTGATCTGAAAGGGTCATTGCTGCCAATATTCTATATGTTATCTTAAAGAGCGATATTATGTTAAATATGTTATACTATATGGTAGACGTTATCAATAAAACTTGTTATGGATAGAAAAATTTTGATGCATTTCAGAGCTACCATACAATGACTACTTTGAGTACTATGGACCAGACTTCAAGCTTCACATTAGCCCATCTAACATGGCAAATCAGAACACCACAGAATATATGGACAAAATAAAAACTCGGTTATTTGAAAATCTCAGAATGTTACCTCATGCCCCTGGTGTACAAATGCAAAGTACGTGAGATTGTTTTCTGTTTCATTTAGTTCATGTGTAACATTATATCCAAAAACTTATATGGTGGAAAACATTGAAAAACCTGTTTCAAATCATGAACTCAGTTCACAGAATTAGAACTGATGAACCTTTTTCAAAATAATCAAGTTTTACAAAAATCACAAAAATATGTTTAATTCCCAATGTTGGCAGATATCATCAATATAAAATAGATAGGATATAAATGATAAAGTATTTTATTTAAATCCAGATATCCCTGAAGATGCTATCAATGATGAAGAAAGTGAAGATGACAGAAAGCCAGATGAACGAGTCTCAAGTAAGTCCAATACTACTGTATGTCATTGAATTGTTTAGAAAACTGTAGCACGCAGGTCAGCACTTGTGAGTAAATTGAAAAGTTGAGAATTCAGGGGATATGTATGTGTTTTGAAGAGTAATTCTCTAATGATTTAGCTTAAAGTATCATGCGATAAAAAATGATCAAAATAGAATTTACTTTTAATAATGAGCGTTGATTGGATTGTAGTACGTGCCACTGACAAACGTATCACAGATGATGGTGTATACAGCGATAGTGAAGATGAGGGGGAGGATGGACGCCGGGACAGACAAAGCTTCCAGCGTAAGAAACTTAAGACCGATGATGATGATAACAAAGAAACCGCAGGTAAGATATAGCAAATAGCAGAACATATAGTTGAATCCTACAGAGGAAATAAGCTTATAAAGATGACGGGCAATAAGACCTTCAAAAAGCTGTTGCAGTCTCACAATAGACTAGATGCGAGTAGAAATAATCTTGATTTACGTCATTAAATATTCAAAATTCAGTCAAAGTGATGTCATATTTGAAATCTACATGTAAAAGTACATCGAGATATGTGGTTTCGAAAATTGTTCGATCAATTTAAAAAAATTTTTTTTTTTTGAAAATGTGACTTCTTGTTCAGGTTGATTCCCCATAGACCCCATGTTACAAAATCACAAAAAGTGAAATATCTTTTCCTGTATTGGACAGATAACATTTTCTTTTACTGGGCATATTTTAATTTGCATAACTATTAGATACATAAGGGTTCTATGAAAATTGAACCACGAAAACAGATGTAATTTAAGTTAAAGGGAACTTTCTACTATACCGGCCATGTTATCTGACCCGAATGAGCCACCTGGTGGTGAAACGGGTAACTACCTACTCGCATCTGCGTTATTAAAATGTCTTTTTTTGACATCTCAGCTCATTTATCTGTAACCAACCTCTCTCAGTGAAGCAATTAATTTATTTCCTGTTACTACTCGGGATAAAGAAAAATGAAAGAATTTTCCTTGTACACTTTTTATGTAATGTTCATGTCAAATCCCATGCTTCATCTCATGAATATGACCATCCCAATGTCATCATACTGTCTCAATGAAAGACATATTTGCTATAGAAGTGAGATATCACAACCGGGGAAAGAAAGAAATGGCCAATGAACATGTCTGTTGTGAATTGATGTTATACATAGTACATACACACATTATGTTCCAGATAAAGATGGTGCTGAAGGGGAGAAGGAACAGAAATCAGACGCAACAGAGTCCAAAGTTGAAAAATCTGAAGAAAACAAGGTGAAAAAGTGAGTAGAGCTTAGCTACTTCAAAGTCTATAACATGACAAAACATGTAGATCTCTTGTAACGATTCAAGTAATTGGGATGAGGATTGCTTGTTTAACTCTTTACACAAACTCTCTGTCAATGCATCAACAACATGGCTGGTGACAACTCTGTTTTTATCATTGAAATCAGTTGGCTCATACACACAGATTTTTATTGTCATTTCTTGAAAAGTTTATGAACGTATTATTTCTCTTCAATGTTAATTTTATGCTTTGATTAATTAATATTATCCCTTTGTATTTCAGTGGTGACTCTACAACAGAATCAACCACTAAGGGTGAAGGTGACTCAGCACCTCCAAAGGCAGATGCCCCAGCTCCAGAGAACAAGGACACTGTGCCCTCAGGAGAGGAGAAAATGGATACATGAAGTGGAACAATATGCATAATGTTTTTGCTGATACAAAAAGTAGTGCTAGGATGAAGTCAAAATGGATTAATATGCAATACTATCAAATCAAAATTTATTTTGTAAAGTGGCATATTTTCCAAGCGAGATATATTCAGAATAAGACTGTTCTGCACATACAGATATTTGTGTGTATGGCTGCATTGCACCAGCATACAAATCTGCAAATAATCATGACCAAATGAATGTCCACATACTAAATTATTTTTCTATATTTTTTTTCATGCTAGAAAAATACTTAACTGTCTTTGTCTTTTAGGGAGTTTCTGTCCACCTTACCAAAGGTGCAGTTTTACATCTTAAGAATGAAGTCTATCATGACATAAGGATAAATAAAGGATTGACAATTGCATTTGTTCATCAGAAGTAAGTATAGTAAGACCCCTCTGATCCGAAACCACTGGAAGAGTTTGCATTAGCAGGCATGCACATTTATGTCAGTCAAAGTGAAATATCAAAATTGGGACAGAAAAATGTTCACATCGAGAGGTGTTTGGATTAAAGAGATGTACAGGTTTTACTGTAGGTCTACTCTCAATTTTTATCAGATAACTAGCTGTGAATGTTTTTGTTTTTTAACGTTGCACTGTACTGAATGTCATATTGAAAACAAATAAATAGATATAAAAAATATACATTTGTGCCTTTGCCTATTTAAACCCCTCAAAACACTGAAATTTTTATTTTACAGCGTTCTAATCCTTTATTTTGCAAATAGAAAAACAAATGTTTTGACCTGCCACTAGCCTGTATTTTCTATAACTATTATTTTGAAATATCATTGAAACTAGAGTTCCCAAAGATAATATATACAAACAGAACATTTTTAATTATCTTCAATTTCGTGCAGTTGAATAGATTATTTGGAATTGTAACTTCATATTACATATAGGTCACCAAACCTGCTCTGGTTGACAAGAGAGTTGTTTAGCATTTAGTGAAGGGTGTCGAAGATCACATTGATAGCTCACTGGTCAAAGTCTCACAGTTCTCTGTAAATTAAGATTGAAGACCATTGTGTTCTAAAGATGTAAAGCTTCTTTATGAAAGGTCATGTCATCTTAAAATCCAAAGCTTTAAATGTAGAGGTCATTTATGTAGGTTACTGTTGATAGAAAGGTCAAGTCATGGGAAGAGAAACTGATATAGAAGTGAGTCAAGAGACCCTGTTTTCCAATTATTAACACTTTTTTCAAGAATTGTGCACACACTGGTCTTTATCAGGATGCATTAGGAAGCAAGGTGGAGAGGTCAAATAACACGTTTATTACAAATTCAATTACACGTTTTTTTTAAGAGAATCTGTGCGTGAGCGTGTAATATTTCGACCCCCGGGATTACTGTCTCGCTCTCAATTCACTTTCCCCTAATTACAACTCTTCGTCTACCTTTATACTCAATCGGCCAAGTAAACACTACAAATGGAAGAACTAATCCACAGAGGACCATAATTCTACACATTCACTCACAAGTTTTTAAAAAGTGTATCACTAAGCCTATACTACGTTTTATCGTTCTGAGGATAGGTCCGAAGCTTGATGAAGCAAGACTGAGGAAATATTTATAGGTCACTAAGAGAGGGGACACTTACCCAAATGGGTCATCCGTACACGCTCACTAACAAGTTCTCTTTTAACCTCGCCCTATTTAGAAGCAGCCCTATTGGCTGAGCAGGACAACATCATAGCCCCAAATGTTTTTGATCACTCGCAACGGTATCAAAAGACATAAACTACAAAATATTAAAGCGTATAAAATAAAGATAGCACCATGACAAGTTCCAACACTCGCCTTTTCCTATTTCAAATTAAATGGCAATAAATCCAGTCTGCATGAGTGAATTCTTTTGTCGGATGATTATTTGTTTTATATTTGATTCTACATCTATCACACTGAATCAGGATGATTATTTGTAATTATATGGCAACATTGCTTTTCTGTGCGAAACAATGTAAGCTTATTCGTTTTGGCGGGGATATTGGTATGTGAATGTACAGACTGCCAGTCAGATTGTTTGGTAGTAGGATCAATAAATATTCCTTGAGCCTATGAGCTCCTACTACAAAACGATCTGACTGGCATCTATCAGTTTAGTTTTTAGTTTTATGGTTTCTTTATTTTACTTTACAAAATTATCTACAAATGACAGGGTATCTATCAGTGGCGGATCCAAGGGAGGCCATGGGCCCTCCCCCTAAGTTGGGCCCAGGAAATAAAGAATTTTGGGCCAAAAAAGGCCCCAAAAAGTGGGCCTTTTTGTTCATTACTTCTAAGGCCCAAATTTCGAAATTTGAGGCCCATTTTCTTCAAAATTTGGCCTCAAAATTTTTCGGAAGTTTTTTTTCTCTGATCGAGAATTTGCCCCCCCCCCTTGTTGGTTCCTGGATCTGCCACTGTCTATGGGTTTCTCGGACTGAGATATCGACTGACGGATCCGGGGAGAAAAAAGGTCATATAAGTTTCGGGCCATTTGTTTCGAAGTTAGGCCCAGTAGTGGAAATGTGCAGTGTTGTTTGGTGTGACAATGTTCGATGTTTTTGAAAATGGCATCATTTTTCAAGAAACTCCGCTTGCTTTAAAGTGAAAGTGTTAAGTCATGTAGCAAAAGTCGCTATTCACTTGCTTGAAATGATCGCTCCCTGTATTTCATCGTTAACTTCCGTCTGCTATCGGTATTTTCCGGATTAAAGAAAATGGCGGCGTTAGAAAGTGTGCATGTTTCTACTATTTCTCATTGAAGCATATTTTATTTGCATTATCGAGGATAAAAAAATGTAAGCATGTATTCCTTATCAATACAGTGACATAATGTATTAGTTAGATTAGCGTTTGATCATGCAATTTGGTTTTTAGATTGTAAACAATGGGTAACCTTTTTCATTTTTTGAAAATAATTTTTTGTTTCCTATTTTTTTCCTATGCTCTTTAGTCAGTAGCATAACTTCTAGTAGTCTGTGATGTTCCAGAGTATCGAGCACAGAATATTCACCCTTTCATTAACAAAATGCAGAATTATTGTCATGGTTGTGTTCAGTTTTACTTTTACCTATAGAGTAGATCTCATGGCCTGACTTCGTCAGTAGAACTTGAAAAATAAGATTTATCTGAAGATTAGGCCTAGGAGTCTTACTTACCCTCTAGAGGCTAGAACACTCATTTTAATGAAACCATATCAGCTATGTTTTGTTCATGATGAAGCATAAGCACAGTACTTGATTGAAATTTGTGATAATGCTTTTTGGACTCTTCCATTTTCCTCGTGTTTACTTCCGGGATGGCTCTGACTCTATCACGAAATACTGTATTCATCATTCATCATTTGAATACACGATTGATCAATTTTACTGATCATTATATCGCGGGTTAGTACGAGAAAGTTAAAACATGAACATCAACACAAGTTCATGAGCTAAAAACAGTGTTAGGTAATAAAAAGCTAAAACAATAGGTTAAAAGACAGTATAAGATTAAGGCATGGGTGTAAGGTAGTGAGCCCTTAGACTAGTCTTGAACTGGTCTAAGCTCTCTGCCAATACAATGCTGTCGGGTAGTATATTCCACTCAGGTATGGTGCGTGGGAAAAAGGAATGGAGCATTGCATCCTTCCTGCAACTGTACCTCTGGAAGCTCTCACTATTTGAAGTCCTTGATCTGCGCTGGAGAGGCATGAGGTATGTGTCTGGTTGGATTGCAACAAGTTGTTGTTTGATCTTATACATCATCGTCAACCGTTGTTGCTGTCTCCTCGTTTCAAGTGGTGTCCATTGTAGTGTATTCAGCATTGTTGTCACTGAGCTGTAACGGCTGTAGTCATTCATCACATAGCGTGCAGCTCTTCGTTGGACCATTTCTAGTGCAGCTATGTGGGTTTGGGTGTGTGGATCCCATACAGCAGCAGCATACTCCAGTCTTGGTCTTACAAGAGTAAAGTAAGCCATCTGCTTTGTGTGGCGAGGGGCCTTCCACAGGTGTCTTCTCAGCATGCCAAGAAGTTGGTTGCTCTTGGATATAGACTTGTCTATGTGCTGGTTCCATTTGAGGTTGTCTTGTAAGGTAACACCAAGGTAGCTAGCAGATGGTATATGCTCCAAGGTGTGTCCACTCATTTCATACTTGTAGATTTTGGGATTTAACTTGGCAAACAATGCAGTACATTTGTCAGGATGAAACTTCATCAGCCAAGTTTTCTCCCATTCTACAGCTGCATTCAGATCTTCTTGCAGTAGAGTGGCATCTTGTGGTGTCTTTACTTCTCTGTAGATGATACTGTCATCAGCGAATAATCGGAGGGTTGTATGTTGTAGAGCATCTGGGAGGTCGTTAATATACAGCAGGAATAATATCGGTCCCAATACCGTTCCCTGTGGCACGCCAGATGTTACCTGTCCGATTTCAGATGAAGCACCATCCACACGGACTTTCTGGGTTCTATCAGACAGAAAGTCCGAGATCCAGGCATTGGTTTGTCCTCTGATGCCATAGTAGTCGAGCTTATAAGCAAGATGACGGTGAGAGACCTTATCAAAGGCTTTAGCAAAGTCCATTATGATAACGTCTATCTGCTTGTTGGCATCATTGGCTGAAACAATGATATTGACCTTGAACTTTAATTTTGTGACATATCATCCAACCATGTCTGATGTAAAAATAATTAAGTATTTGAAAATAATGTTTTGTGGTCTCTTCTGCAGACGAGTTTAGGACAGGGCAGTTTGAAAGCGCACCCTTTATTATTATATATCAGCACTGTAGGATATTCCATAGTGAACAGAAGCCCCAAGAGACATACTGTAGGCCTACTAATTTTTTTTTCATGGCCTGACTGCGTCGGAAGAACTAGAAATATAAGAGTTACATAAAGATTGCGAGTCTTACTTACCTTCTAGGGGTAAGAACAAACATTTCAATGAAACCCTTTCACCTTTGTTGCGTCAACCATAGAGCATTTAGCACAATATCCTAGAGGTATAATATGGACCGTGAAAATGAATGATTTCCTTGTAAGTTCCGGAAGTTTCAATACAAGAAATTACCAACATATGTGAAAATTGAATGTTTGTTCGTTGATTTCATGATTTACACATGTGTGTATTCTTCTATATTTTGGTCTAAAGCATCACGAACCAGTCCTACTGTGTTAATAGACTAATACAGCAGACGACCCATTCATACTTTCTGCGCAGCATTTCATTCAGACCAATAGTTACACTGTAGATCATGCAGTTTCTTCTATCTTAGAACAGGCCATCCTTCCATGCCCTGTCCAAAACTCGTCTGCAAAACATTCTTTTTAATTGTCTAATTCTTTTCACATCAGACATGGTTGGATAATATGTCATCAAATTAAAGTTCAAGGTCAATGCATTATTTCGTGATAGGGGCAACGCCTTCCCGGAAGTCAACACCAGGAAAAATGGAAGAGTCAAAAAGCATTTACACAAATTTCAATCAAGTACTGTGATTATGCTTCATCATGAACAAAACAAAGGTGTAATGGTTTCATTGAAATGTGTGTTCTAACCACTTGAAGGTAAGTAAGACTCCCAATCTCTAGGTAACTCTTATATTTCTAGTTCTACCGACGCAGTCAGGCCATGAAAAAAGTTGTAACTCATATGTCTCTGCCCCCTTGTTAGGCTAAGGTTATTCTTTCCAAGCTTCTTTCAAGACCAGTTTGCAGTATAATAACTGCTTTGTTACCCTTTCTGCCACTTCAAATCATGTTATTTATATTTTCAGTCCCACATCATGAGTGTTACAATAGATGTTACAAGGCCCCCGCCTCCTAATATGCCTGGGGCACCAGGAGCGGCTGGAGGAGGACGGTTCTTCCACATGCCCCGGTTCAGTAGTCCACCACAGTTCAACACCAGATATAGCAATCCATTTGGCACTCGGCAACGTTTTCAAGGTGGCTATAGACCATTTCACCAGCGAGATCAGCATCATCAGCATAACAAGGGAGAAAATGCAGACGACGATTTTGATGGAAAACGTATGAGGAAATCAGTCTATAGGAAGACAATTGATTATAACAGTTCAGCTATAAAGTATTTGCAGGTCAGTTATACTCTCTGCATACACAATGATTTATGTGAGTCTTGTAAAACATTTCTAGTTATTGTTTTATGGCGAATGACTTTCAAATTAAAAATTAAATAACGTATGCTCCTTTAGAAATTACATACACTCTATTCTTCTCTGAAAGAATCATGGGACAATTTAAAACCTGAATGATGAATATTCACAAATTGATATAAACTTTTGCTCTGTTTATTCCATTAAAGATAATTTTTTGATGATATTCTTCCAGGGAAGAGTCTGGCAAAGGGATATGAGAGATCTAAGATCTGTACAGCCTGACATCATGTCTACAACTAATGTAAGTACAAATGAATTTGCTACTTTTATTTGAAGTACCTCCCTGTATGGTCCAGGTAATCCATGGTACTACTACTACACGCATTCACTTCTAATTTACATGCTTCGCAATGTATGTATTGTAATTAAGTGATACACCTTCATGTTTTATTTTTTTAGTTGCAACCACCAGGCAGCATGCTACAGAACAACACTAATTGTGTAACCACCAAGTTTATACGACAATCCACCAATAAGTTCAAGTGCCCTATATTTGCAGTCTGTGTGAGTAAAAAAATAGGATAAAGTATATATGTAGTAAGGGTCTAACGGTGGACCGAAACCTCGGTCGGTACGTTCGGTTCGAAAACTCCGATGTTCGGTTTTTTAACGGTTCGTTAATTCAGAAAAAGGTGTCGTTCGCTAAAGTAGAGGAAGATGAATCTCGAAACGAAAAGGCATTCTAAACGCTCCAAAGTCGTACAAGGCCCACTGTTGGGGTTATTTTGGATTTCATACGAGAGATGTTGTTCCTCTCCCGGAAAGAACGATATGCCGGCTTTGCAAAATCGTTATGGTACATGAGGAATAGGTCAGAGTTATACATGCTCCTGGGCCGCTTATTTATAATGATGAAATCGCGCCATCTTTTTATCATCGCATAAATAAAATACAATACAAAGTTAATGATTAATTTGTAAATAAAACTTACTTAGATCAGAGGTATACATGCTCCCGGGCTGCTCATTTATTTAAATAATGAAATCGCGCCATCTTTTTAACCATTGCATGAATAAAATACATAAACAAAGTTCATAATTTTCATAATCATCTATCTTGCAGGGAATACATCTAACATGAATAATCACATCAAAAGGTTCCATGAAGCACAGGCTTCTCCAGCTGATCGGCCAGCTCTGAAAAAACATTGTCAACACCTTCAACTTTAATGTCGTCTTCCAGCTCTAGTTCATCTTCAACAGTAGGTTCTGGAACAATACCTTTAATGTTCCAAGCTAAGGCCATGTACCCCACTCATCATCCAAGAGCCAAAGCCATTTCGGAATCAATTGGCAGATTCATGGCCAAAGACATCCGTCCTACTCAGTTGTTCAAAATGAAGGATTTATTGATCTTGTGAATACTACAGATCCCAAGTATAAAATTCCATCTAGTAATAGCATGCAACGTATTAAGTTTGTAGACTGAAACACCTTTCCAAGTTTGATGTTTATAGTTGAATACATTAGTTAGATGAAGTGTCAATTTGAGTTATTTGATTTTTTACATTAAAGTGCGATAAGAACCGAAAACCGTACCGAAACCGAACCGAGGAGATAAAAACCGTGAACCGAACCGAACCGTGGAATTATGAAACCGTGAGAGCCCTAATATGTAGAGGATAATGTTAATCTTGATTCAGAGTCTCCAAAGAAAATTGAAATCTCATGATTTTGTAATAAAGTAAATGTAGAAGAAATATAAACTGTCTACTGATGATATGCAGAACTACATTCCATAAGTGAACTGTTTCACTATTGATCCCGCAATAATGAAGAAATGTACATGTATATGTACATTAGATTCATGATCTTTGGCTACTTCTAATGTATTCTTTATCAGTAGTCATGACTCCTGCATTGGTGGACAGGTTTCACAAATTATCCATAAAGAAATACAATGGATGTAATTGGTTAATGATGCTATCATTTTGCATAACTATTTGTATGTTATGTTCTAGTGGACCCCAGAAGGCAGGAGACTGATAACAGGAGCATCTAGTGGAGAGTTCACATTATGGAATGGACTAACATTCAACTTTGAAACTATATTACAGGTAATGTGAAGAAAACAAGTGGCATACCTGCAGACCACTTGGTTTCGATTATTACTTCTGTTGCTTGACTTGATGTGGTGAATGTGAATAACTCACCAACTTTTATAATCTTAAAATCAGTATCAATTTTCGAAAGTGTTATTGGTCTGTAAAATTTCAATTTTCTTAAATGGCAATAAATTACAGGTTGCATTACTTTCAAATTGATAAATTTATTGTCAATTTTATCAAAGGTGTCACAACTGAACTGGTTAACCAGTTTAGAATCTATCAAGTAAAGGTAGTCTATACAAGAAAAGATGCTTGTGTACTAGGAGGTCATTCTTTTAAAAATGTTCTAAATATAGTACAGCAAATCAGATTAATTGTCTATAATCAGAGGAATGCTATTTTTTGTGTTTGTATAACCTATATAATCTTTAAGTCTGGAAAAATTACTGGTCCTAATGAGAATTAAGAAAATTTAGCTCATCTAAGGTATACTTTTTATCACACCATCGGTGGGATATAGTCGTCATACTGGTCGTGGTCGTGGTCTTGATCGTGGTCGTGATCGTCCCGCTTTTTGTCATCGCCGTTTAAGGAAAACTGCTCATCAGATTTTCTCCAAATTCGCAGAGATGATAGAGCATATGAAGTACTAGAGCTGATTAACTTTTGGGTGGCCATCTTGTTTTCTGGTGGCCATTTTGAAGGTTTTTCGAAAAATCTTGTCATTGCCATTTCAGGAAAACCGTTCATTTGATTTCCTTCAAATTTGCACAAATGATAGAGGATATCAAGTACTAGAGCTGATTAACTTTTGGGCAGCCATTTTGTTTTCTGGTGGCCATTTTGAAGGTTTTTCGAAAAGTCTTGTCATCGCCATTTCAGAAAATCCGCTCATCGGATTTCCTTCAAATTTACACACATGATAGAGGATATCAAGAACTAGAGCTGATTAACTTTTGGGCGGCCATTTTGTTTTCTGGTGGCCATTTTGAAGGTTTTTCGAAAAGTCTTGTCATCGCCATTTCAGGAAAACCGCTCATCGGATTTCCTTCAAATTTGCACAAATGATAGAGGATATCAAGTACTAGAGCTGATTAACTTTTGGGCGGCCATCTTGTTTTCTGGTGGCCATTTTGAAGGTTTTTTGAAAAATCTTGTCATCGCCGTTTCAGGAAAACCGCTCATCGGATTTCCTTCAAATTTACACACATGATAGAGGATATCAAGTACTAGAGCTGGATAACTTTGTGGCAGCCATCTTGTTTTCTGGTGGCCATTTGAAGTTTTTTCGAAAAAATCTTGTCATCTTGTTAATTTGTAAACATAATAGGAAAACAGTTTTCCTGGTTCATAGTGTCTGCCTATTTGATGGTGTGATCTCGTTCATGTCCTGTGCCTTGTTAAATAATTTTTGAACTCTTACATGGATTTACACAATTTGTGTTCTCTTGTAATTTACTTGTACATATGTAGATATGAAAGCATGTTCTTTTTTTCCATATGTACACAAATGTGTGGTTTTACATATTTATGTTAAAATGATATTTTATGAGAAATTAAACGCAGTTTAAACTATATTTTATGAAAGTTAGCATTAAAAGCTCGCTTGAACATAAAACCTCTCAAACCATTATACATACAATTTTAGATCCCTTTAAACAAACCAACAAATTATATATACAAGAAGTACATGTATTATAAATACTCATTGTAATTAGAAGAAGTGAATTCTGGCACATGTTATACTAACTCTTTCAAATTTGTGTTTTGTTGTAGGCTCATGACACGTCATGTAGAAGTATGGTCTGGAGTCATAGCGACCAGTGGATGATTACAGCTGACCATGGTGGCTTTGTTAAATACTGGCAGTCTAATATGAACAATGTCAAGATGTACCAGGCCCATCAGGACCCAGTGCGAGGATTAAGGTGGGCATGGAGGTCATATTTAGGCCAATTCACCATGAAACTTTTCTATGATTCTCATTCCTTCATAACAGTGCAGTATCACAGGATTAAATTAAAACTAAATTATGGCACATTTAATCACGCTTATTTATAGAATCATGGATTTCTTTTGAAATTCCTCAGATTATTTTTAGATACATATACCATAACTATTTATTTATTATTTCAAACATATGTTATATTTATTTACATGTTACGTTCCTAAAATATTTTATAGGCCTATTATTGCCTTGTTTTTTATTGTTATACTGCACTGTTTAGTTACGCTATGGATGAAGTACATACATATTATATTAGGAGGACCAAAATTATTATCTTCTATTGGCTGTCCCAAAATAATGAAATGAATAAATATATTTTTAAACGGGGGGCCCCTTCAATCTTAAAATGATACGCCAGAATTTTCTGAACCAGTAAGTTGTTGAATGTTAAATGTCAATGAAACATTTTAATTAAAATAAAAAATCATCAAACTAAAACAAAACATGTCTGTTGTTTGATCTGAAAAGCATCAGAATTATGAAAATTCTGTAAAGAAAAGGTGTTGTCTGGTTGTTAAATATTGAAAGTGCTATGTGAAAACACTGTCCATAAAGGACTTGACACACAGATAGAAAAATAAATTCTTAACCCATAAAGGGTGACTCTCATTCAAGAAATAAATGAAACAAATTGAAAAATCTCAATCAATGTGAATCCCTGACCTCTAGAATTTGCTATGTTGTTTTATCTAAATCCATCTGCATGTTCCAATAAAAGATACAATTTTAAGTCTATTCAAATCCCTAACACAAACCCTAAGCTCACTACCAGATCTTATTAGAGTACTGTGATTCCATAAAGGAAAGCAGTCACAATTTAATAAAAAAAAATATATTCATCCCTGTTAGTAAAATAGTTTTTTTAATGGCAGAAATAAACTTAAATGGGAAAATACAATGAAATCTGTCTTGTTCTTTGTTTGATTGCTATGTCAAAGAGAAAAATATTTGAAATACATGATGTTAAATCTTTTTTCATTTAGGTTCTTGATTAAATGTATCACAGTGTTATATTGGTTGATTCCATAAAGGAACTAAATTTCAACCAATGTTTTTTTTAATTCATTTCTTGTGAAGATATAATCATAATGACAGCATCCATAAAGGATAGCAGTCCATCAATGCCATAGTGCACTTCATAATTAATGGTTTAAAGTTGGGTTATTCTTAGTCAACAAATATCCCAGTTGTGATATTCCCATGTTCAGGCCCATAATGGGACTTGTTCTTAGTCTTATTGTAATAGAATCCCATGCTTAGGGCCCATAAAGGGACCTGATCATAGCATTCCTCTCATAAATTTTTCCAGGCTCAGTACCCATAAAGGGACTTGCCTTGTTGCATTGTACATTTCCTCTTATCCATAGTGTACTTGTATGTCAACTTTGTAATTTAGTTCATTTGTTTAATAACAACTATCAGCTAGGACCAGCTGCTGTGAGGAACATGCTACTAGGCATCGGAGAAGATGGGACTGATGACGCAACATCAAGAAATATCTTCTCTCTATCCAAATCAAAATATGGGCAGGGCTCATTATTAGGCTTATATATTAAGAGGGGTTGTACGCAAGGGTCATAATTACATCCAAGTGGTTTTATAATTATTGATATTTGTATAGGGAGGAACTATTTCAACATAACAAAAGTTGATTTTATCTAAATGCAATTTGTAATGCTATTGCACACAACATGAAATATGTATAGATATAAATATGGCCATAGTATCTCACATTGCATTTGGGTTAAATTAATTCAACATTGTTTATTAGTTAATAATGTCAATTGTATTATAAAAAATAAAACTGAAATATATTCACAATGTACAGTTCTTTATATATATATATAATATATATTATATAATGCATGCTCGAGAAACAAAATAAAATAGCTGAATGAATAAACACCAATTCTGATATTATATAGTACTTAAATAAAGCATTTTTTATTTACTTCTACTATTCTGTATGAATTGCCACAATGTCTTTATCTCTCTATAATAGTTTTTGTCCGACTGACCAAAAATTTGTGACTTGTTCCGATGATGGGACGGTGAGAGTTTGGGATTTCCTGAGGTGCCATGAAGAAAGAGTATTGAGAGGTAAGACGTTTTCATTATTAACCTTAATACTCTGGGGATCATTTGGAAGCAGAAGAACTTTGTTCTGGTATCAGCATGGCCATGATACGAAAGATGGAATTGTGGTACATTTTGTTTTATCAATTTGCAAAATATTTTGATAAAATCGAGAAAACAAAATATTAGCAAATCCTGTCTTCAGAAGTGTTATGCTGATGCAAGGACCATGTGCTCTAATTTTTAGTTGATCCTCCGTGTTAAAGCTACTTAGATAATATTAAATCAGTGGTCACTGACTCATTGGTGATACGTGTCCACATTCTTAAATTAAAGGGTTATGAATCGTCAAGCTGTCCCTGTTGCTTAGATTGAGATCTGTATTGAGTTTGGTATTGTAGTGGCGTGATGTTATTTGACTGATCTTGGCAGTACTTCGCTCGAGACCATCTTCCATTCTTTTGCCAGTCAACTTTAGGATAGTGATCAATCACCATGGAACTGCAATGACAAACTTGTAGTGTTGTGTAGTACAGTTTTTTTTATGGAGGATTGTTTGTGTTTGGCAGCCAGCATCTGTAACAAATGGCAGGTGGTGACATTATGCATGTTAATGCATTGTTATGTAAAGGGTGCTAACAAATTGGTCATTTTACTATGGTCATTTTATGTTACCTTATTTTGATCGTGTTATATAAGGTTTTTACTGAAAGAAATCAATTTTTGGTTGCAATCAAAATTTAACTTTTTTCTTGCATCACAAGGTCACAAAATTATTTTCATGCCATATTATTTCACAATCAAATTACCATTAGAGTTCATGGAAACCACATTAGAAATTGTTAAGACATCAACATCTTATGCTGTTTTAGGACATGGAGCTGATGTCAGATGTGTAGATTGGCACCCTCACAAAGGTTTGGTAGCCTCTGGAAGCAGGGACACGCAACAGCCTGTGAAACTTTGGGACCCCAAGTCTGGCACCAGTCTAACTACTTTGTAAGTGGAATCTTAATTGCAAAGGACCATGAGGTATGGTTAGTGATTTTGGATGGTTATATCTTTTTTTTATGAACCATCAGATACTGGATTGGCCTTACATTGAAATAAATGTTTGAGAACTGACCACCAAATTCATATTTGAGTCACTTATTAAGGGCTTTAGGTCTCAAAATTAAAATTCAGTTGCTCATTTGCAATAATATTTTGTCATTCATCATCTATTCAAATGTGCAGCTAATTTAGCCTCTACCTCTACACATGCTTGAGGTTGACATTATTTTGAAAATGCTCTCTTTTTAATTGGACTTTTCTCAAATATGCTTTTCCAAAATTTGAATACATATGATGTATATTGATCAGTTTGATTTGTTTTTCAGGCACTCCCATAAAGGAACAGTGATGGCACTCAAATGGAACAGGAATGGCAACTGGCTTCTCACAGCATCTAGAGACCATCTTGTTAAACTGTATGATGTTCGCAACCTTAAGGAGGACCTACAAACCTTTAAAGGACATAATAAGGAGGCAACAGGTAGGTAGAGTACTGGTAGAGGCTTCATTGTTCTTGGGTGGGGGGAAAAGAGCATTGGATATTGGGATAGAAAAGGCATTCGGCATGGGGTTATCCTCCATGCGGGGTTAAGATATCTGTATACATGATATGATCTAATACAGTGAAGATAAAGCTAAAAAGTGGCAGAAAAGAACTCTTAAATATACACATCATGGATATGGGGAAACTCAGCACAATTGGAAAGCTGGCAATGTGACTTTTGCATCCGCCTGTTATTAATTTCAAATGTGGGGCCATTGTAACTGTTTACTGTTTCCAATTGTGTAGTAATTAGTACTAAATAAAAGTTGACTGGGAACCCAGAAACCGAGAAAGGATTCTGTAAAACAGATTCTGCAATATATACATGTTTTTACAACAGAATAATTGTAATGAACAGAAATAGTGCTGATGGAAATCTGTTTTTCAATTTCACACCTATATAATATATAAGTTTGTAGTGTTGTTTTTTTAATTAGACTGGCCAACCAACCATTTTTTTATGGAAAATAACAGTAATTTTGCAGTAAAAATTACAAACTACTAAAAAATCTATTTTTTACTGAAATTTAGCATAGCATTTATTAATGAAATTATATCTTGCAGCTGTAGCATGGCATCCTGTGCATGAATCCCTGTTTGCTAGTGGTGGAAGTGATGGCTCTATCATGTTTTGGAATGTAGGGTGAGTCACACATGCAACTAAAGCTAACTAGAACACAGTAGATGCAGATGTTCAAGATAAACCCTATTAATGATTTCATTCATGCCATATTAAGCAGTTTAAATAAATATTTTTCATAGTAATAGAGCCAAAGAAGACCGTATATAAAAAAATTAAGTATTGGACCTGTCTGGCTATAGAAATTGCTCAGAACTTATTGAGCATTAGACATTTTAATCTTTCAGTTTCTACCTAACTTCTTAATTGCCAGTAAAGTATTAGTATTTGGAAATATCTTCAGAAGGAATACACCACCGAGGGGTAATATATAAGGGATTATCCTGTTTGAGATTCGGGATACTAGTATTCAAAGTTATAATTTCCCTATAAGCTGAAATGTGAACATATAGGGTTATGAACTTGGAGAAACTGGATACAGGGTTTATCAAATGGAAATTTGTGTAACTCCCAAGGGACTGGTTTTGATATGAACTTTAAACATGTAGTAATGGGATAAATTGATTTGCTCATTGCCTGTGCAATGGTATCAAGCTGATATGTATATTACCCTTGTTGTGTCTTGCAGAACTGACAAGGAGCTGGGTGCTATGACTGAGGCACATGAGGCTATTGTGTGGTGTATGTCCTGGCACCCACTGGGACATATCCTGGTGTCTGGCTCCAATGATCATAATACGTAAGTACAATACAAATGCAACAAAAATTAGAAAAATATCCGATATAATCTTGAAGAACAATTCAGACCTAAACCTGACCATCAGAAAGGTTTATTATAAAATGGGTATGTTATACATTGTATTTGCTTTCTTGTTAATAGAGGGAAAACAATCTAAACTCAATGAACTACACCTTATGTCACAACCAGAAGTTGTGACAAATTGTTAATAGTTTTTGTGACGGTTGGTGTTCAGCTTCTGTAACAAATGGTGGGTAGTGACATTTTGCATGTTAATGCCTTGTACTGTTTTAATGCTGAAAATTTCTGTGTGAAAAGATTGAGCTACAAGTAAAACATTTGAACTCATGAGCTGGTCAAATTACTAAAGGGTAGATTTTAAATGATAAATGCATAGTTGGTCTGAATTTCAGAGTAGTTTCAATCCTCTTAAATACATTTGTAATTGCTTCAGGAAATTCTGGTCCAGAAATCCACCTGGTGACAAAATGTTGGACAAATATAACCTGAATAAACTCCCACCAGGTGTCTCCGAGGACATGATGGATCTAGGTAAGGTGTTTGTAATCATCATTGCATTTCAAACCTATCACTTCAAATTGAACTATGGACTGTATGGATTTCAAACCTATCACTTCAAATTGAACTATGGACCATAAGGATTTCAAACCTATCACTTCAAATTGAACTATGGACGTTAAGTATTTCAAACCTATCACTTCAAATTGAAATATGAATGTTAAGGATTTCAAACCTATCGCTTCAAATTGAACTATGGACCATAAGGATTTCAAACCTATCACTTCAAATTGAACTATGGACCATAAGGATTTCAAACCTATCACTTCAAATTGAACTATGGACCATAAGGATTTCAAACCTATCACTTCAAATTGAACTATGGACCATAAGGATTTCAAACCTATCACTTCAAGTTGAACTAACTGAACTATGGAGCAGTTGTCATGTTTTTCTTAATCATGCTGAGAAATTCAGCTGGGTCGGAGACCATTTCCTCTGATCCGGGGCTAACATTTGAGTTTATGATTCATAACTGTATATTACTTTCAGATGGAAGAACCTCAACAACTGGGGCAAGTGATCTACCAGGAATGGGATTGGAATTTGGTGTACCTGATCACCTAAAGAAAGATGGTAAGCATGATTGGTGTTGATAAGTATTGAAATAATTTTGGTGTGCAGAGAGTCAATGCTGGGTTAATTTGCAAACTAGCTTCCTAGGTATCAGTTTGTATTTTATAAAGAGAATTTTTGTCTTATACAGAGATTATACTTCGTAGAGTCCTTTGTCATTTTTATGTTTAACTTGTAAATTTTATAAACGTTATGTCATTGATTATATTTTTTAGAACCTGAAGAAAATGGGCCCGGCATACCAGGATTAGGCGGCACTAATGTACATGAGTATGATTCATCTCAAAGGAGAAATCCAAGTGTTAGGCCTTACTATCAAAATATGCGTAAAGTGCCATATGCCAAACCTGTCCCAAAAAGTTTTGAACAGGCTTGGGAAAAAGGATTTGATAAAGCTGGTGACGGCTTGCCTGGAGATCAGGATCCTGGTGTTTCTCAGCAAGGATCACCCCAAAAGCAAATGGGGGATCAACATGGAGGCCAAGGAGGTCCTCATGGTCCCCCTCATAGTAACCAAGGTCCAACACATGGCAACCAGGGGCCCCCTCATAGCAACCAAGGCCCCCCTCATGGCAACCAAGGGGCTCCCCATAGCAACCAAGGTCCACCTCATGGCAACCAAGGTCCTCCCCATGGCAACCAGGAGCCACCTCATGCCAACCAGGGGCCACCCCATGATCATCATGGATCTCAGTTTGGTAATCAAGGTATACATATGCACTATGGTAACCAAGAGGGTCCTCCTCAAGGGATGGGTATGCGACCAGATGGACCAAGGCCTAGTGGCCCACCCTCCCTCTTAAATATGGACTTAAATGGACCAAGAGGTCCAAGAATGGGAGGTCCAAGGCACAGGATGGATGGCCCCAGGGGGCCAAGAGGCCCTAGAATGGATGGGCCAAGGGGTCACATGGGTCCGCGAGGTCCAAGGATGGATGGGAAAAGATTCAATGGTCCACGGCATGGCTTTGATGGACCTCGTGGTCAGATGATGAATAGAGGCCCCAGGCCTCATATGCAACAGAATGCGCCCCCATCTTTATTAGACCTACCTGACCAGCAAGGAAGGCCCAGGGATTTCCAAATGGATCCATCCCACAGATCAAGCTTTTCAGGTATGTAAATAATATACATGTGAATCGGTCATATTTCAAAATATAGGTAGTTCATCTTTGAAATATACATATTAGCCTGTTAGGGGTGGACTATTAAGTCTTTACCCTTTCACCAAAATATTTTCTCATGGAAACAGAGAGACAGGGATCTAACCGAAACAAAAAAATTTCAAGATGGCTGCTAAACCAAATGACCATCTTTTTTCAGATGGAATATTATTTTTTAACTCAAACACTGCTTATCTTATTTGGTCTCAACACAGGCTGATGCCTTATGTGCAAAAGTTTTCTACTCGAGACGGGAGAAGGAAATATTTGTGTAGAGATTTTGACAGTCAACGGCTTAATGAAGAATAATTTGATGAAATATCTTTTGATCGGTGGAATCAGCTGGATTTACTACTCTGGGGTCTGTTTTTGGAACAGTCGTAACTTATGGTTTTCTAAGAATCATAAGTTATGACCGTACCAAATTTGGACCCTTTGGGAGATGTTGATTTTCCAATATCTTGAATCTACTGAATACAGTTCCAGTCTCTTGATTTTGTTGAAAAGTACACACATGATTTCTGTAATTTTTTAGAAAATTGACAAATTCTTCATTCTTTTAGAGGTTTTAATAGTAAAAAATGTATTATTACATATTGTTTATTTAATATTCCCAGAGAAATTGTCATTTTTATTAGTCATTGCTATCAAAGAGTGGGGAATATGTCGGAGATATAAAAAATGGTATAAGCCTGGCCACTGAAAATAAATAAATGAATTTATGTTGCATTTATATAATGTTGGAAATGTTCCAGGTGATGGTCCTCCCAACAATACTCACATGAGCCAAGGTCGACCAGGGGGTCCCCAAGGTAATATGCCACCCCCAGACAACATGGAAAACAGTATGAACAGTGACATTTACCACACAGACTATTCCAGTTTACATGCATATGGTCTAGGTGGAGGAAAAGATGACAATGAAACTATAGAAAACCAAAATATTTCAAATAATCCCAGAAATGGACCCCAAGGACCCTTATTACAAAAGCCAGATGAAATGGCCAGGGGATCATATAATAATGAATCACAACATAGAAATCAATACGATGGAAGGAGGTAGTATTATGCACTTAAATGATGATGATACACGCTCATCTGCTCAGTTTATATTAATACGACTACATATAGCGAGACTGCAATAATAGACAAGAATGGAACAATATACACACTGTATTGCAGATATTGTACATTTTGTTTAAATAGTGTCTCACTGCATTTTATGCATCATCGAGCTGCTATTGAAATCAAAGTAATTGATTAAAACGCATTTCAAGTGATACTATAAATATTGAGAGTCATTGCAGGGTTTTATCTCATACAGTGTGCAATGAGCACAAACCAAATGGCCAGTTAGGTTAAACGTGTGTGGTCAATATTTACTAATGCCATTTATTATAAAGGTATGATGTATAGACAGATCATTTTGTTTATTCTTAATCTTTTTCTGTTCTCATTTGATTTCCTAGGGTTTTAGTAAACTCAGTTTTCATTCATGGAAATTGATGCTTTATTTTATTGCCAATGTGGTATACGTTTTCCCAAATTACTATGCCATTTACAATACAGCTAAATCTGGCCTATTTTTGATGATGACTACCTATACAGGGGCGTAGAAAGGTGTAAATTCAACCCTACACAAATAAGTATAAGGAAATGTGTTAAATTTTCTTTATTATAATTTGCATATCTGCGTACATTATTCCTTCGCCCCTGCCTATAAGGAGTCAACGAAATATCCAAAAATAAGATTGAAAGTCTGCTACATTTGAGATGTTCAATTTAGAAATATATTTACATACACCTGTTTTACTGTATATTATATGTATGTTCAGATCTCAGTTTTGCCCAATATTCTGCATTTGATTCTTTACACATTCATTTATTTAACATTGTCAATAATGTGAAAAATACTATAGTCAATTTTATGCTTAAAGTGAACCTATAATGCTATCCTTCCATAGCGATTGGTCACTTATATCAGAAACTATTTGTACTTGTATATAATGAAATAAAACAGATTATAAAAAAAAATTTATGCTTCAAAATATGTTGTGATTTCTTGTTGGCCCTTTAAATGGCATACTGGAAATTATAAACTGTCACATACATTGAAGTTTCTTGCATGGTAAAAACCCCACATCAATTGAATAGGAAGGCATAGCCTATGAATATCATAAACAAATACAGTGAAACCAGTGAAGTAGCACACCTCCAGTGGAATACCTCTGTGAGAGGAACATTTTTCAGAGTCCCAAAACCAACTGTCTTATTGTTTAATGACATTTGACATCCTTATAACTCACGGTTAAAATTGATTTCTTTATTTGTCATATCAACCAACATGTGTTCTTTATAGCAAGGAAATTCCAAGATAACTATTGAAAATGTATGGACCATGACCATGTTGACAAATTTAAATACAGTAAAACCTGTGAATACTGAACATCTATGGGGCCACAAAAAATGTTCTCTGTAGGTATGTGTTTATTACAGAGAGGGTAATTTATGCAGAAGTCAGTAGACTTTGTGCAGAGCAAGGGTGTCCACTAGTGATAAGTGCTCACTAGAGAGAGGTGTTCAATACATTAGGTGTGACTGTAATATGTTTGTTTGGCTATATTGGCAAGTATACTTTCAATATACCACTGCCAGTTATGGAATTAACATTATTTTAATTCAAAATTCAGTTTGTTATGTCACCACCAAAAAGTGGTGACATATTGTTATGGTCTCCAGTTGGAGGTTGGCGGTTGGTGGTTGGTGATCGGCATCTGTAACAAATTCTTACAACTTCCAATAACTTAACAAATACTGTTTAGACTGACTTCAATTTTTTTTAAATCATGTACATGTTTTCAGAAGTTCAAATCTGACTTTATATTTAAGATTTGACCTTCAATGACCTTTTCAAGGTCAAAAAGGGCTAAAAAGGTATTTTTTCAACTTGCTTCAAATTGGCCAATTTTTTTTCAAAATCATCTACAAGTTATCAGAAGTTCAAATCTGACTTGAGATTTGACCTTTTCAAGGTCAAAAAAGGTCAAAATGTCAAATTGAAACAAATTGACTAATTTTGTTTTTTCAAAACCATCTACAAGTTCTCAACAGTTCAAATCTGACTATAGATTTGACCTTTGATGACATTCTCAGGGTCAAAAAAGATTTGACCTTCAATGATCTTCGCAAGGTCAAACATTTTTTCAACTTGCTTCAAATTGACCAATTAATTTTTCAAAATCATCTACAAGTTCTCAGAAATTCAAATCTGACTTAACATAATATTGTGGGCAACTAGGTGGTGACATTTTGTCATGGTAAATGCCTTGTTTAACATTAGCATGTTTAAAAGATTCAAACTACTGCATTTGGGCTTTTTAAATAAGTAATTGTAACATTGTCTCTTGATCCTTGCTATTGTTACAAATACACCATACACAGTTACACCCTCAAGTACATTGGCGAAATATATGTGAATGATACCAAAATATTGATTCCAAGGTGGGGAAATTTCAAATTATTTTATTTACAGCTAGTTGTATAGACTAGGCCTAGTATATAATTTTATATGAATTAACAAATTGGAGATTTTTGAATGCCCTGTGAAATAATATCCAATAAAATAATGAAAATGAAAAAAAAATTGATGTTTTGTTTGTTCATTGTATTGAATGAAGGTTGATTCAAGTTTGGGTTTAGGCTACCCAGGTGCGAAGATCAAGGTAGGCAGAGTAGAATGAATTGTGTGGTTGATTGAATTGAACCAGATGCCCAACATGCCTACCTTAAGACTTTAATTAACAAACATACTGATCCCAGCTTTGACTATATCCAACTTTCAGAAGATAACCAAGCTTCAAACATGACAGTAATTTCAGAATGACCTTCAGTGACCTAACATTAAGAATTTTACATACTACATGATTGTAGTATTCTTTTTTCTTAACAAAAACATATTCACTCATTAATGGTATTGCAATTGCAGTCAAATGATTCTTTTTTAATGACCACTTTACCATCAACAGAGTAATTTTTTGTCTTATGAGGTTTTTACCCCGGTTTTAACATTCAAGCGATATCATTGTTTCATTTTCAATAGTTTGTTCATTGTTGGATATCACCATGGACTTCAAATGACTACCAACCTGATAGAGCCCATGGATATCATAAAGAGTTTTTATACAATGCATCAAATGTTTGCACATGGTTTATTTTAGAAAATTAAAAATTTTATTTGAAAACATCTAGACTCTACTATTTTATTGAAAAACAGTCAATAATGCTCTCAACAATGACAGGTCCCTAAATTCCAATGTGGATCCAAGGCAGCTGATATTGTGACTCAAAGGGGATCTACAAGGTTCACTTCCCAAAAATATTTTGATGAAATTATTTTAAATGAACCCTTAATAGTTTGTTAGAACGGTTCACCGTGGTTTATCTTGTTATGTCTGTTAGCCATTTGTTTGGTGGAATATGAACTTTGACTAAGATGTATGTATGATTCGGAACTGGTTTCATGTAATTTTATTTGACCTCACACGTCACGAAAAATGGAGACTGCAAATCGACAACAAATTTTATCATTTTCATAAATTTTCTTCAATTATGATGTCTATTAAGAATAAATACTAAAATGTTGGGTAAAAAAAGAAAGCGGATAGTTGGAAGTATATCTTGGGGTAAACGTAGGGGTCCGAAAGATGCAGAAGATGTGAGTAGAAGGATAATTTGTGAACAATATTTCATAATTTTCTCAGGTTCAGATCAGTTCAAAAAATATCTCGCTAAAATGAGAACAGGCTGATGTCATTCAATGGATGATTTGATTATATTGTATATCAAATAGTTACTATGTACTTGAGCGTATCATGGCATATAGGCTTTGGAACCAGGACACAAAGTCCATAGACAGTCAATTTAGAGGATAGGGAGGCAATGACGGACAAATGACTGCAATGACGAATGAGTTTCCGAAAATTACCTACATGGACGCCGGGCATGGACGACATTGCCTCCCTGTACTCTAGTGTTGAAATTAGGGATGTTGGTTACAAACAATCTTGGACGGAATAAAGGAGTGGTCGATTTTCTATCACCATTTCCAAACCATGATGGTTTGATAGCCCATAGCTTCCAATATTGTTTAGGTACTATCCCCTAAAATTTGTATATTTCACATTTTGTAAAATCACTGGTCAGTATTCAGTGAAGGTAACGGCTGTAACCTTCGCATCTAAGATGGAGGACAGATGTTGTGGAATTCGATATTTTTACCTTTCATCGAATTAAACCACTTTATAGTTGATGTTACCAAATCAGGTTTATGTTTGTTCATATATCTTGTCTGGGCATCACAGTTCAACAATATTTTCCACCGCTAAGGAAAGGTAATTGGGAAATGTATGATACTGTAAGTCATGTTAGTTTTCAATACACATGTACAGTAACTGGTCATCTTTGCTCTCAATTATAAACTCTCATAACGTTACCCCATCACCACATATCGGTTATCTCACCCCACTAAAATCCCATCATTGAATTGTTGTGCTTTCGCATGGTATATGAACAAATGATCATACTCCAGAGTTTCCATGTCATATATGCCTGATATAGTCCAAATATCAAAGCATTTAACATATACTCCTCAAAAAAGGTTAAGGACCAGTCTTTTTATTCATAGGTTTGCATTTTAAACCCTATATGTTTGAACTCTATTTTCTAAGCCCGAACTAAACAGATAATGCAAATGGATATGTACCTTGACTCTATTCTCTATAATTTCAGGAAATTTCCAATTTAATCTCTCTATTACAAAAGGTCAAAAATTGATGTCAAAGTTGAGTAATTTTAAGAAAGTGGTAGAACCCATGTTAACCAATGGGAAAAGGTGGATTTGAGGCAAATCAGATTTTTGGATATCTATTCAGTAAAACATATATCAAAAATAATTTCTGAATAGACAATTGAATTGTTTTACTTTCTGCATGCTTAGTGTAATGCTTTCGTGAGAATTAACGATACAGAGCATCAAAGTATTTTTGACAACTTATTTTTGACCCCCTGTGTTATTTTAATGAGAGGTTTATTGAGAAATAATTTTGACTTTGAAACTCATAACTCTGTTAAACCCTGAGAAACAAATCAATTTTTTGTTGTAGACAAAGTTACCAAATTCAGTTGTCTATTTAAATTCCATTTTTGAGAGCAATTGGATGGATGAATGTTTTCTCATATGACATTTGGCAACCCAACCATTTCCCATTGGTTTACATGGGTTCTACTATTTTTTTAAATTCATCAAATTTGACATCAATTTTTGATTTATTGTAATGTTATAGAGAGATTAAACTGAAAATGTTCTGAAATACAGAGAATGGAGTCAAGGTATAACATGTAAACCTATTAGGAAAAAGACTGGTCCTTCACGTCCGTTACCTCTCTTGATACTGAACAGTGAAACTGTCATCCACTTTTGTATAGCCTCTTGAAAATTCTCTTATTTTTAACATGGGAAATCCTCACTTCAGCTAATCGACTCATTAATTTATGGTCCAAACTGCAATAGTTGACAGTCGACATGATTGAAGTTAGGGATATAAAAGTAGACAGTTGTGGAAGAACATAGTAATTTAGTAGTGGTGGTACAATGAATTGGCAACTTGAGTAATCATTCGTTTGGATTAAAAAGTTTGAAAAGCGATTTTTGTTTTCAACTCTGATTCTGACTTGAGCCTAATGACTTCAGCTCAGTTCAGTCACAATTCTCGAAATCGTTGTTCTCTCTTCAAAAGAGAAGACGCGAAAATCTTTCCTTATAACACGCCTAACCATCGACAAGGTACAGTCACGTGACAGGTGACAAAATATGCCGTAGTACACTTTTGATGTACTATGTCACTATTAACTGATTTTGAGCGAAGACCATGATGTAGGTTCGATGCAGGTTTTCAAAAATAAATTTTAGGAGAACACAAAGGATTTTATGTTTGATTTTGCGTGCATTCGATTTCAAAGACATTTATTTTTCTAATAACGTTAAAAGATCTTCGAGCAGTGCTCGATTTTTTTCGTTGTTAGTCTACCCATTCGATTCTTCGGTTGGAAAAATGTTGTTTTTTACACATTTCCTTTGATAATTTTCTCCCCTGACGTCTCAGAGTGTCGAATATTTTTATGAGAATGTGTTTCTCTAAACTACACAGTTTAGGACAGGTGAACATTTAATAAACATTCATGCATTTGATATAATTTAAAAAATCAGAAATGTACGTTGTCAACTCACAGTGTATGTTGTCCCTGTAATTGAAATACATGAGTTATAATATTAAACATTGCAATGATTTAATTTCAAAATGCATTAAGCAGGGTTCGTACACACCTGGAAATGTCAGGGAAGTTGATTTATTTTTCCAGGTGCTGGAAATGTCAGGGAATTTCAAAATTGGGTCAAAAAGGGCCAAAAATGTCAGGGAATTTTGAAACAATAGATGTGTCAGGGAAATGTCAGGGAATTTTGTATCATTGTTCAAAAAATAATGTTCCAGCAAAATACATTTAAGGCTATGATAGGATATCAATGAAATCCAAAATCGAACATTTAGTTGTTTCCACAAATTGCAAATCTTTTCATTAGGGTTGATTGAATGACATCAAATCTGGTTTAGAACAGTGTGAACATTATACTGAAACTGAACAATAAAGAATATGTATAGATGGTTCAATACAATGCTTTTCCATGTACTGTAGTAAGTTAGTCTAAGGCCATTCAAAGTTAATTACTGGTATATGTTTCATGGTTTGTTGAGGGGTTAATCTGAGGGGGGTGGGAGGTGAAAAACTCTTTTCAGTTTAAAATTGTATTCATATTAAGGAGCTGTCTGTTCGACAGTCCATTAGTATTCAGTCTATTTATCTATCTCAAATATCAGTTGACAGATTTGGTTAAAATTTTATATCCCAATGCTTTTGTTGCTGCCTCTGCTCAAGAAGACACTTGCCATTTTTCATATCATGTTCACAATGATAGTATTCGATAAATATGTTTCATTAGGTAGGAGTTGCTATTTTTCTTTAGATCAACATTTTTAAGTTTCAGTTTTTATTTGGATTCATTACAAAACATCAACAAATTATAGTTTGAAATGCTTAGGATGCACCATATACAATTGTCAATTTTGAAAAATTTCTGGGGGTGAACCCCCGTACCCCCCTTTTGTTTGTCCTTCACTTGCAGTGATGCAAACCCCCAAAAATGAACCCCCTTGACACTTGCTGACTTTGTCCCTGTATATGTATGTTAAACTTCGTAAATATGTAAAATTAAGAATATAATGTATCAGGAATAAATTGGTGAATAACGGCCTGTAGAAGTAAAGTTGAGTCATGAGAAATGGTACTAAAGGATAAACCCAAAATGTTTCACAATGTTTTTAGTCTGGTCTTTTAAATAATACAGTTGTAAGAGACTTTTTAGAGGCCGTGCAAGGATAACTAGATCTGGAAATTTTATTTATTTTATGGAAATGTCAGGGAAATTCATTTTGAAAAATGTGTACGAACCCTGTTAAGGGTTTTATGCGTTACAAGTGATGTTCAACGAACATGCTCCTGTATCCCTAGTACAGATAAACAGGTAAAAGTGATTTTTTCGTTGAATGCTATTTTATTTTATGAAAGTATTAATATGGTGATTAATATGTGACCACGGCGTGTTTTCTTCCGACCTCTTTAACCACTCGACGTCGGTACGTTACGTTATGTTTAGTTGCACTTTTATGAATTTTAATAATCTTAAGGAGTTCATGGAGAGATCTTTACTAGCTAATCCAAGATGACTTTATGCTACAGGGTGTCCCGAAATTATGGGCCCCCATAGGCAGACATATACCAATGTCTCCATGTATGTGTCGTATATCATTTTAAAGCTCATCCAAAGTTACATTAATTTGCCGAGTATCATGGTTCAACTCACAAATGGAAAAAGTTACAGAAATTTCAAAAGTTAGTGTTTGGACAAAATTAAAGTCAGTTTTACACCAAAACAATAGTCGGTATGTCTCCTTAGCCGCCATGTTAACAGCAGCAATACTTTCCATATATGATCTTAAACTGGCTTCAAATAGGGATATGGCGTTTTGTAATCTTCATAAAACCTTTTTAAGGCATAAGAAGAGTTTCCTTGGAGTATCTACCCTAAACGTCATCTTTTTAGAACTCGATATCCATATATTATCTTCGAGAATAGCATCCATATTTTCTGTCAAATTCAGGTCAGGGCTGTTTCCAGGATACTGAAATGAACTTTTTGGCAAAACGCTAATTTTTGAAATGCCTGTTACTTTTTACCATTTGAACCATCATATTTGGCAAATCAATGTAACTTTGGATAAGCTTAAATATGATATATGACACATACTATGGAGAAATTGGTATATGTCTGCCTAGGGGGGAAAGTGCAGAAGTTCAAAAGCCAGGGTTATGGAATACTAAAAAAATATTAGTAACATTGAAATTTAATCATATCAATGACAATTTTATTGATTAACGGACAAAATATTAGAGTAAATTTTTCGATATGCCAGCCCTATTATTATAAATTATTACTTTATTATCAAATATGTTCCTTCTATTACACGTACATTATAGCATTTCATTCATGTAAAATTAACTGTGAATTGAGATCTGTAAGGCCAATGTGACAACATACATTCGAGTTGACAACATACATTATCTGTTTTTCGTAGTAGCATCCAAAGTAAAAAGCGGTTTTGCATTAACTCTGGATGTATATTTGTATACTTATCTTAAGTTGTGTTAGTCGTAGTTTGGCTGTTATTTGCATAGCAAAACAAAAATTAGAGAGAATTTTGCGAAATTCAGTCAAGATTTAGAGATCCCTGACGTACTGGGTAGATCTATAACAAGATATTGAAGTTGCTGAGGATCATTTGAAGTAGATATGCATATTTGCAATTTAATTACAAATCGAATGCAACAACTGCCTGATGATGAACTGACACAATATTGATCAAATCAATGCTAGTTCTTACCTCGCTTCCTCATTCTAGAAAATGGCGATATAAAATGGCGGAAATGACATTGTACATCAAAAGTGTACTACGGCATATTTTGTCACTGTCACGTGACTGTACCTTGTCGATGGTTAGGCGTGTATAAGGGCAAAATATTTCCCATGATGCAGTTCGCGAAGGAACAAATTTATACTTCCTTATTTTCCCTCATAGGTTTAACATGGGGATTTTCACACCTATTTTTCAAACGATATATTCGTTCATATTCCTGTATGAGAGTACAGAAAAAATTATTAGAAACGATTGATCTCTCATTAATATTAATATAACAGCTATTTTTTTCATTGTATTAATTCATAGCGTGGTGAAAACGATAATTGAAAAGTGAGAAAATATTCAGGAAGAGAAGGTCACGTGATCAGTAGACTAGTCGCCATATTGGAAAAAACAATTCCATTCGACTTTCAAAACTTTCATGCCAATCTTACCGCACTACAAACTGCGACATCGATGCAACAACTGAATAAAAGTATTCATCTTCAAATTACATTATAGAGTTACGTTGAAAACCCACAAACAACTCAGCAGTAGACCAAAGAAGACGCGTCGCTATTATCTAGGTCAATCTGTTCAGTGGTCCAAAAGCAAATCTATAGTACTCGTTTCCGAATTTTGTTGTTCATTGTACAATCTTTTATTGATTAAACTCGGTATACTGACTATTAAAGCAATGACAAAGAAGAATACTTACGATGGTGTCATTGTTTTATTTAGCGTGCGGGTGTAAAAACAAAATTGAGTAACTAGTTTGATTTAGAACTTTTGTGTCACACAAATAGCTACGCGAAATGCATAGTGGGAAAATATTGACCAATCAAATTTTGTCCTTTTTCAGTGCTTTTTCAGTGCATATTTGCGAACATTCTGATTCAAAGAGCGAACCGCGAAAAGGAGAATTAATCGAGTCAAATGCAACAGGGGCATAGCCAGCATTTGTCAGGGAGATGGGGGGGTGGTGGTGCACTCTAAGCATTTCAAACTATAAATTGTAAATGTTTTTCAACAAATTTACAATTTTTTTTCTTTTTTTTTGGGGTGGAGGGACCGATTGCTGGCTATGCCCATGTGCACTATATACATACATATTACTGTATGACTCGATAATTGCTCGGTAATTGTCGGCTGGTGTAAAAGTTAGATTCAGGGAATTTTAATATGGCAGCCCCCAAGTAGCAAGTAAGACATTGAAAATCCAAGCATTATTTGGAAAAGTGAAAGTAGAATGGCTACTGTGCATAGGTCAAGGAACAGGTATGATAATGAGTTCTAAGAAGAGGAGATTTTTCTCTCCAGGGGGATTCACATGCGATTATTTTTATATATGTTACCGGACCTCTGCTACTGTGTCTTCTATTTGTGATAAAAGTGTAATCTATTGAACAGCAAATCAATTACCATCTTCCAAGACCATCTCTGTGCAAGCTATGAAGTCGCCAATGTATTCATTAGTTCTTATTTGTACTTTTCCTCGGTTGCTTTTTATGAAAACAATTATATTAAGCATACCCTCATCCCTCGTGCATATCTGTCTAGAATTCTGTCTTTAGCAATATGTTATTTAGTGGTGCAGTTAATAGATATACAGTCACATTATTGACTCATGGAGGGTCTCCAATAATCGTGTTGACTACATCGTCAATAGTCGCAACTTGCGAGTTTGTTTTAAGTCATTATAGTGGATATGATTACAGTTAAATGTTAGAGTTCACAGAGGATAATACAAAATTTTGAAAATTAAAGAGAAATGGACCTGTTTATTTATTTAAAGTATAAAGCAACAAAATGATGAAATCTAGATCTTTGTGTTCATCAAAGCATCGATAAACTGTTTTGGAAGTGAATTCATACAATTTTGATTGAAATATTTGAATAAAGAATGCCATATACAAGAATGTATATTTCAGTGGCTAGTGTTCCTATATATGTGCTCTGTCATGTGTTCTGATACATTGACTTACATTTATTCTAGAAATTATGTTTTGTAACACATGGGTCCTCATAATGGTCTCACATGGTTTTCTTACATGCATATAGTCAGGGATTTCATTATCTACTGACAACAGGTGATTTTCTCGTGGACATTATTTGGCAGTTGGTGTTTAGTGGTCAGCTTTCGGCATCTGTAACAAATTACATTTTGCATGTTAATAATGCCTTGTCCCAAAATTTGTTTTGAGGAGGTTAACTGTTTCCACACTAAAATTATTATTTTCAACATTTTTTTCTTGTTTTGTCTGTTGTCAGACTACTGAAGAAAACCCCTGATAGTCTACTAAGTTGAATTTTCTTTTATATATTTATTTTTATGTTTCAGACTTCAACATTCTCACAGCCAAGTGTGTACCATGCCTTAGTTGTAATATTCCTAGAATTCTTCTCATGGGGCTTACTCACTGCCCCAATGATTAATGTAAGTATAATATGTATTTCAATTGTCTTCTTTTACTATAAGTATCATAATTTTTTATATATACATGTACCATTGTAGAATACATATGTTTTAATGTGTGCCTTAGAAAAATATCTTAAAAGAAGGTTTCCAATTCAGTCAGTTTCAGCATAAGCACTGACCCAATCAATTTGTTTTTTTGGTGAAAATATGACAACTACTTCATAATCCGGTAATTCAACTAGTGAATCATCCAAGAGTCATCCAGGAGCATCTTTGATGTGACTCCAGTGTTAATAAACTAATTTGATGTTTCTAGTTGAAAATTAAAAATTGCCTGTATATGGTACTGGTAATGATTAAGATTCTTTGATCCTTGCCTTTTGACATACCCCCCAGACCATATCAGTAATATGAACGTGTGAATGTTTAGATGATTAGATGGTCTTTCAGAACAATTTAATACATACTATTTGAAATAATGACAGTACATTTTGTCTTTTCAGGTATTAAACGACACATTTGAAAATCACACATTTCTGATGAATGGTTTAGTCCAGGGTGTTAAAGTAAGTACCTGTACACATTATCATTTATCAACATACACATGTACTAAATTTATAGCCTTATCTTAGTTTCACTATTGGTCTAATTCAAACTTTCTTGAGAATTATGATCTTAGTATAAAAGAGCTTAAAAGTGACTCTTGAACTCTCCTCATTAGTGGCAACAATAGCTCTTGACTACTCATGTGGTGTGAGTATTAAACCTTGACAGTTAAAACATATGCTTCTTATGTTGAAGGCCATCATTTGAGTAGTACACTTAAATATGAATAATGTAATGAAATTGGCAATCTGTCAACCTTTCTTGATCTCCAAATTGATGATTTATTTTTAATTAATTTTCATTCTTTAATTTGATATTAAACAGACAGTATGATTGATATAAGGGTACAGTATAGTGTGTAGTACATGGGGAGTACATTGGCACTAATAACAGCACTGTAGATACAAACACTTGTGTCTGTGAACCTATCTTTAAAAAAAAGTGAACCCTTCAAAATATGAACTTTTTCCAATTTTCTTTTTTTTAGAGATATACCCCTTGTGACTTCAGTGTTAAGGTCAAATGTGTTCAAAAATGTCAAGAAACTTTTGGATGGAATTCATAAGGGAAGTTTGTTCAGCTGATATGAGTTAATGATTTCATTGCAAAATTAATTAATTGAATCAATTCAATATGCCCATTGACTGTTTATGTAATGGGTCTAACTCCTATTTTCCTCTATTTTATAATCAGTCTCATGTATAGATGGTTATGTTGGTTAAAATTGGAGGAAATTACATCTAGCTATATAGAGTAGCTTTATGGATGCTGGTAATACATACAATGAAGGAAAATATGAAAAAACTAAAGTCTCTGTGACCTTACTTTGCCATCATAATTCAGTTAGTTATTAAAAAACAAAATATGCATTTAGTACATTCACCCTTATCCAATTAATATACTTGTACCTGCATAGTGCATAGGCATACACCTGTCATTTTGCACTATTGATTTTTATATGCAAATAAAGTCACAATAAGGTGAAGGTTTTTCTTCAAGGCATTATGACTCCCAACATACCTCAACTTTACAAGTAGATGGGGACTGTGGCCAGAGATTTAAGCGAATGAATATGGTATTATATACCACTAACAACTAGAAATCCCCCAAAAATATTGTGACCATTTTGAAATTAAAACAGTAGTTTGTGAAACAGCTTATACTCAAAGAAGTTCTATACCTATTAAAAATTCCCGTTTATTTTGAGACTTTTTCAAATGTATGCAAAGGGTACCTATAATATAGTATAATATGAAGCAAATACATGTATGTCTGACTAACTGACAGACTCGATAACAGAGATTGTTGAATAGATGGCTTCACCAAATCCCGTCCAAATGTTTAAATGCACATGTAAAGTACATTTTTCTGTATTTTCAGGGAATCTTATCATTTCTGAGTGCCCCTTTAATAGGAGCATTATCAGATGTATGGGGCCGCAAGCCATTTCTCCTGCTTACTGTCACATTCACTTGTGCCCCTATACCACTCATGAAGTTTAGCCCATGGTAAGTAAACATGCCTTTCACTACTTTCCTCTAAGGAGCTGTAGAATAATCATGTTTCATTTAATATGAGTCAGGTTTATTCAAAAATGTTTAATAAATATGATCCTTTTCCAAGCTAAGAGCATATGAATATTTTAAATACCTTTTATTGGTGTCTTCCCATTTCGCCCCTTCCCACTTTGCCCCTTCCCATTTCGCCCCTCATTTATTCCCATTTGGCCCCTTCCCATTTGGCCCCTACCCATTTCGCCCCTTCCCATTTTGCCCCTTTCCCAAATTGCCCCTTTCCCATTTCGCCCCTCTTCCATTTCGGCCCCGTCCCATTATGCCCCCTTCCCATTTCGCCCCTCATTCCCCCTTCGCCCCTTCCCATTTCGCCCCTTCCCAATTGGCCCCTTCCCATTTCGCCCCTCATTTATTCCCATTTCGCCCCTTCCCAATTGGCCCCTTTCCCATTTCGCCCCTCGTTCATTTCCATTTCGCCCCTTCCCATTTCGCCCCTCATTTATTAAAAAGTAAAATACCTAGATACTGACCTTTGACCTTGGAATGACCTTGACCTTAGTTCATGTGAGGCGAAATGGGAAGGGGCGAGATGGGAAGGGGCGAAATGGGAAGGGGTGAAATGGAGAAGGGGCGACATGGGAAGGGGCGATAAGGGAAAGCTAAAGGGACGATATGGGAAGGGGGCAACACGGGAAAGGGGTGAAACGGCAAAGGGGCAAAATGGGAAAGGGGCGAAATGGGAAAGGAGCCAATTGGGAAGGAGCGAAATGGGAATAAATGAGGGGCGAAATGGGAAGGGGCAAAATGGGAAGTGGCGAAATGGGAATAAACCCTTTTATTACATCAACATAAAAACATGAAAATTATTTGCAGCTCAAATGTATATTATGACTTGTAACATGTATCTTATAACCTGATATCGAATTCAAAGTAATTGCCAACTCCATATTGACCTTTATCTTTACATTCTTGTTTTATTTTATTAATACTTAGAGACCTTCTTGTAACATATGCCTAGTCTGGCACAATTGGATGATATTGTCCTTCTACTCTGTATTTCCTGCATATTTACCTTAGCTCAGAAGTAACCCGTTTGGTTATGAACACTTAAAGATCCCCCTATGATAAATATTGTATTATGTATTATGCAAATTAAAATATGGCTTGTTCTAAAATACTGCAAATGTATGACATTATAGTAATATTTTCTAACTTTGTTTTTTAGGTGGTACTTTGCTATGATCTCAATATCTGGAATCTTCGCAGTAACATTCAGTGTTGTGTTTGCATATGTAGCTGACATCACAACTGAAGAAGAGCGCAGCTCAGCATATGGACTGGTCAGTTAGAAATTTGAAAGCATGAAAGATAATTGTCTAATCTATAGATTTTTTAACACATGTCTATAGGGAACTAAGCCTTAAAACTGGTTAACTTTTGGTTGGCTATCATTTTATTTTGACATTAGATCTTTTTGATAAAGTTTGTAAATGGGATCACATGAAAACCACTTCTTATTGGATTCTCCTTTGTACATTTGCTAGAGGGGGCCACGGTAGCCAAATTCTACAATTCAATAAACTTTGGGTGACTACACATATTTCTTGTTATATTATACATTTTAGAAATCTTCTTAAAATAAAGTTACCAAATCATTGTTGCAAGCTCTCTTGATAATTTACATGTGTTTTTATGTTTTTGCAGGTGTCTGCTACTTTTGCAGCAAGCTTAGTGACAAGTCCTGCAATTGGTGCTTATTTAGGCAAAGTTTATAGCGATAACCTTGTTGTAGCCCTAGCTGCAGCTATAGCAATGTTTGACATATTATTTATAATGGTTGCGGTGCCTGAATCATTACCAGAGAAAATGAGACCTGCATCATGGGGATCTCAGATATCCTGGGAAAAAGCAGACCCATTCGGGGTAAGTTACATCTAGGTTATATTCTTTAGATTGGTCATTCACATTCTGACTTTAACCTTTAATGAAACAATAAATTATTGAAAAACTTAGATGAGCAAGAACAGGGTGTCACAAAAATACCTTTCACCCATTTCCCAAACATAATACTTTCGTGGACATCAATGTTTTGAATCGATACAGTAGTTGATCAATTTTGAAGATAGATGTTGAATTTTAGAAAAAGATGACAGAGCTATTTGTTAATTGTTATTGTAAAATATGACAAAAATAGATGGCATGTAGGTTTCATTTATTTAGATATGATTATGAATTCATTAAAATAGATGGCAGCCCTATCTGGCAATTTAAAGTGGTTCAGTAAAATTACTTTGTCAAACATGAAAAACAGATCAATGAGATATTAAACTGACTGACTGCAGAGATATTATTATCACATCGAACGAAGTTTGGATATAGGGAAAACGCCTCCATCTGTCTGTCCGTCCGTCCGGACAATAACTCAAATACTGTTGGTCCGATTTTGTTCATATTTTGTACACACATACCCTATGGGGGTAGAAGTCCTGCTCGAAAGCCAATTTTCAAAATGGCCACTCATTTAAAAATGGCGGCCATTTTAGTGCCGATTTTACAGTAGTTTAGGTGCAATATGTGAAACTGTAAAAGCAATATGTTTTTAATGTAAAACAATTATAGGACATTAATAAAGCTAGAAATGTAGATAATAAAGAAGCTCATGGCAGTCATCTTGAAAAATGGCGGCATTTACTCGTTATTTTACAATTTTTGCTGTAACTTTAAAAGTAGTGGAGCGATTTTGTTCATATTTGGTATGTGAATGCTATAAGCATGGCACACCGTCAAATGACACTTTTTGTAGAAGGTGGCCATTTCGAAAAATGGCTGCCATTTTTTGCTATATACTTTGTAAAAATGCCAGCCATGGCTGTTCGATGGGATTTGCTACGCTTTGGCGTTGCTGTTATCTAGTATTATATTACTTATGTCATCAATAGCTATGTTTACTTTATTAGTTGTTTTACCTCATCTTATTAATGTGATAGCTGAATGTTATTTTCATGTACTGTGTTGTAGGCATTACGAAAGATTTTTCAAAATGGCCGCCATTTTAACGTATTTTACTATAACTCGAAAAGTAGTGGAGTGATTTTGTTCATATTTGGTATGTGAATACTATAAGCATGTCACACTGTCTTATGACACTTTTGATAGAAGGTGGCCATTTCGAAAAATGGCTGCCATTTTTTGCTATATACTTTGTAAAAATGCCAGCCATGGCTGTTCGATGGGATTTGCTACGCTTTGGCGTTGCTGTTATCTAGTATTATATTACTTATGTCATAAATAGCTATGTTTACTTTATTAGTTGTTTTACCTCATCTTATTAATGTGATAGCTGAATGTTATTTTCATGTACTGTGTTGTAGGCATTACGAAAGATTGGTCAGGACCATCTGATCCTGATGCTCTGTGTAACAGTGTTTCTATCCTACCTACCTGAGGCAGGCGAATACTCATGTTTCTTCGTCTACCTAAGACTCGTAAGTTTTGTTCCATGGTTACTTGATGTCTTTGATTTTATTTAATTTGCTGATAAACTTCATGGATTGTAGTTATTTGAAGAAAGTTTAACAATATCTTACTTAGTTTTCTTAAGATTTGACTAACCTTCAAATGAAATAAATGTCATAGAGATTCCCCAACCATGTTCAAAATGTAAAGAAGTCTATTAAAGAAGATTCTAAACCCAGATACAGTATGTATGACAGGATTATTATTTGAATTATTTATTTTAGGTCATGGGTTTCTCTGAGGAGTCTGTCGCATCATTTATTGCAGTTATAGGTGTCTTATCAGTTTTAGCTCAGGTAAATTGGCAGTATATTATCGCTGCTTTATATAATTTCTTTACAATTTGTTATGAAAATGATTCACTGTGTCAGATATTATAGCCTTTCTCTGTATTCTCTATAACAAAGATAAAAGTAGCATTAGTGTTTGTTTGCGTTCGGGTTTGTTTGTGAGAAAGTGAGAAAGGGCCTGATGCAAGACTTCTCTTAATGTGGAATACAATGGAGTTGCATCATGGTTGTTTGAGGTTAAAAGATGATGTGTTTTGTAATGTAGATGCTGTCCACAAGTTCTCATATCTCACCAAACAGACAAGTGGATTAGACAATTCCTCTTTTCATTCTTGTATATATATTTTATATATTTCCAGACTGCCATTCTTACATTACTAATGAAGTATTTAGGTCCAAAGCACTCAATCATGGTTGGTCTCAGTTTTGAGATGGTTCAGCTTGCCTGCTATGGTTTTGGATCAAAAACATGGTAACGCATTACTTTTTAGAATAACATTATTCGTTTTTCAAAGAAATCTATTATGATTCAATAGTTGAAGAGACAGTCAGGTAGAAAATTTCTGTTCAATTTTTTAAGAATTTTTGTTTCTGCTTTAGGATGATGTGGACAGCAGGCTGTCTGGCATCCATGGGAAGTATCACCTACCCCGCCATCAGTGCATTTGTCTCTGCTCATGCACCCCCTGACCAGCAAGGTATGTGTTTAAAGACCTTTGTTGTTGAGCACATTTCATCAAGAATTCAAATCCTCTCTGGTATTGATTGCTGTATCTGACTATTGTTGTTCTTCACCATTGAGATTGTAAACAAATTTTACAAAAATGATTCTAATTTTGAAAGAAATTTATAGTATAATATTAGTGGAAAGCTTATTAAATGATCAAAGATATAAAATATATTGTTCTATATATTGTTCATGTTGTTGTGTTTTAGGTGTGGCACAAGGAGTCATTACGGGCATTAGAGGCTTGTGCAATGGCCTTGGACCAGCTCTCTATGGATTCATATTCTTCCTATTCCACGTTGACCTTAATGAAAACAATACACCACTTGAAGGGTCAAAAAAGAATGATGTTATTATTGTAAATGCTGTAAATACTTCGAATCCTGAGACATCTGGACTTTGGGAACGGTACCAGGTAGACAAGTTAAACGTATGTAGATGTCCCTCCTAACTTTCTCTTTCTGCTAACACTCACCATACAAAAACAACTGTGCAGGTCTTGTTCTTTTTTGCAACTGGGTGATTGCAACAGTGGGACATGAATGTGATCACTTTTTTTGGCATGAAAGCAGTTTACAAACTAGCTTTTTAAATGTCTAAGTTGGCCAACGCCTCATCTAGCTAGCTAAGTTTGCAATCATCATACTAAGAGAAATCATGACCCTGAATAGTAGTTTTTGTAAGGTCCATTTCACTTGCATAAAAGCTAACATTAACTATGTGTATACATAGTGGTTTGTACGATGTGGCTGTGGGAATGGTGTCCTATCTTGCACCCTAGTAGTTGAAGCAGCAAATCTTTACTAACAGAATGCTCAATGCTTTAATATGAAAACTAATATTTTGCTCATCTTACATTAAAGGGTAGTTCTACTTGCACATGTTTTACTTGCATATTGAGTACTGTACTCCGGGTATGGTTCGCGTGCGATTTAATTCCGCTTTGTTCGCGAATGTAGTAAAATCGCGAACATTAATCGTCACGAAATTTGTCTTTTAAATCCCCGGGGATTTGACCCGGGACTTTTGATATGTTTCGTTCGGTGTAAAACGTTTCATCCAGTGTTTTTGGGTGATAATTAACATGGGGTATTGTTCAATTTTATATCAACATTTGAATGATGTACTTGCTAAGCTCATGCATATGTAAAAGGCATGTAAGAATATTAATATTATCAATATGGAGTTTACAGAGCTGGAGGAAAAAATTCAACTTGTGCAATCCGCGAAATGTCATCAACTCAAATCCGCGAAATTAAATAGCCGCGAAATTGCAATTTTAAAAAATCGCGAAATTTTATAGCGTCAAAATTTACCAGGAGTACAGTATGTTTTTGATATTAAATTGGATTATTTGGTGCAATGGGAGAATTTGCTTACATCAAAAGAAATTTCAGATCTTATAGTGTCAGATAATTATGCATACAAAACTTTTATAATTGATGTTATTGTTTGACATGTTTAATTTTCAGAATATAATCCCAGGCCCACCATTTGCTTTTGGAGCTGTTCTAGTCATGCTAGCTTTGCTAGTGGCGATATTCATCCCTGAAAATCCCCACGTTAACTATACCCATGTGCCACAGAAATCACCAACTAAACGTAGCCAAACAATAGACATTTTCCAGAGAGATAAAGGTAAGTGAAAATTCAAGGATTGGGGATGGGGGAATGGGATTGAAGTGAAAAAGAGGGATGGTTTTTTGTGTTATTTTTTCGAAAACACAGGTCTGCTTAAAATTTTATCTAATTTAGCGAAGTTATACATATTTGGAAGGAAAACTTTTATTTATGAATTGCAAATTTCTAAAGTGAAATATCCTTTAAGGTGCACATATACCAATCAAAGGTCTGGTCAAGAAAGTGTTAAAAAAGCAGAGCTTCACACATAATTTCTCTGTAAGATTGGTGTTCATTCTTGAGTCATTGCTGTTCTTGAGACATCTTGGATTTAAAGTATTGTATGATATGACGCAGAAATGCCCGTGTGCCAAAACAATACATCTCTGATTTTCAATGACTGTGGTGTATTGACTTAATAAGATACATGTATGGTGAGAATTGAATTAATTTATGATTATGGGAATGTTCTGTAAACCATACATGGTATTTATTTACAATTCATTCATAGCAGATCTTCACATATAAAGTTGTTTTGACAGGGGAGAATAAGATGGGACTGTAAAAAGTTTATATTTAGAGGTGTTCAAATTCACAGGTTTTACATATGTATAGCATTTACATTGGCCTTTAAGTGGGTTGCATGTGTATAATTTGTTCAAATAATTCTAAGCCTAACAAATAGATAATCATATTATGAAAGCTAAACAAATATTGCAAGGATTTGTCAATACAGTACTTTACTCTAGATCATGACACACCCAACTAAGTGTCTTAGTCTTCTATGTATTCTGTGTAGCATCTCCATTATGGAGACAAACTGTCTAATAAAAGCAGTTTTTGAAACAGACATGTTGCAGAGACTAGGCGAAGACTAGATCACTTCAACAGTCAAATATTATATTTTTCTTTGAATATGCAGTTCCATAATCCATATCACTACAATATGAATGTCTAGATTGAAAAATATCTTATTTCTATTTTTTGAAATAGCCTTTTCAATTTAATATTATTTTGCATCTAGTTCACTAAGCTTTTCACAAGGGGATTAGAGTCTAGATGCATTACAAGTCTCTCAACATTCTGTTGTATTCATGTGAATAGAATTGACAACTTTTCGCCTTCTCTTGCAGGTCATAGGAACCCAGCAGAAGAATCACTATTAGCTGAGGAGACTGCATAGCAATTACTGAACACTGGAAAACTAGGGTTTTAACATGGTTAATGAGAATAATGTGAAGAGATTATCTAAGTTGACAATCATGATGGATTGCTACTAGGAAATCTTAAGGTACATTTTAAACCTCACTGGTTTATCTAAAAGACCTCAAGGTACATTTGAAACACCAGAAAATCACATATAAACTGCATATTGGATATGTGCATTTTTAAAATCTGGTGGTTTATTGGACCAAAATGATAGAAATAAGGTGCTGACTTCCTGCAAACCCATTGCATTTCTTAGGACATTTCTCAAGGATATGAGATTAGATGAGATATTGTGTGGTTCCCATAATGGGCCAATATGGTAAATGCTAGTATGGCATGTATGATAGCAACCCATAGACTCTGATAGTGAATGTTATAGGTTGATTGTATTGACAAGTAAACGGTGGTTCATTGGAAAATCTGACAGAACTGAGATTCAATCATGGGCAAATAGAAATCTCATACATGTATTGTTCAATGAAAAAACTGTCAGTTTAGTTGACAACTAAAAGTGAAGTGAAGTAAACCTGTTGATGGGCCAGATTTTCTCTTTGAATCCGTTCTAAAGCCCATAAACCTATAATACGGGAATCTTGCATCATTAATGGCCAGTTTGTTACTTTGCATTTATATCTGAATGTGTCATAGCATTTTTGGTTTGAAATAACAACATCCCACAACTTTTTTTACCCCATCACTAGTTCTTGTGCTCTCAGAATATGTTACATTAGTTATGGTTTCACTAAACAAGTTTATGTCTAATGCTATTGTTCATATAGTATTGCCTCAAATTCATGTGTTGCCCTTCCCTTTGATTTCTGCTCAAAATTGATTAAAAAGATTATAAGGAAGTTAAAATACCAAGTTTTAACAGAATTTGTATGTGTGTAGAATTATGGTATTGCACAGTTCTAAGGATAAGTTTTCCCCAGTTCTTCGTATTTACTCACCTAATAACAATATAAGGAAAATAGTTGTTAATTTGTCCCAGGACGTACCAATTGAGAGGGGAACAGTAATAGAAGTTCTCTTGAAAACTTGTAGATTAACAAAGTTCCAGCAAATATGAGGTGTGATTGGACAATGCACCCAACGCAGTTTACACATTCTCCAATAGATTATGGCCTATTTTTATTATCCTTAAAATGAAAGTACCCAAGCTTGCTTTAAGGGTATGGAATAAGAAATACCCTTGGAATAAGAAATACCCTTGGACATGTTGGAATAAGAAATACCCTTGGGCCAAGGATGGGAACTAGTAGAGACCTGATGCAATGTCATGTGATATCTATATATCTGTTATCAATGTATCATGCTTGCATTTGTGTTCAGTTGAGGGTTCATAAACCTCATATTTGTCTATGCATCAAATATCTCTTTGCACCTTTGTCCATATATTTTGTAAAAGCGCATTACTGTATAGGCATTAGGCATATATTTGACATCTAACCTAAATAGCTAGTCTTGCAAAAATGGACCAGTTTTATTTTTAGGTTTTGGTTTTAATTGTTTTAACTTTTTTTATGTGCATAAACATTTTTAAAGTTCAGATAATTGAAGGAAGTGCTGCATTGATTACAGGTTATATATATTGTACATGTACAACCAAACTCACTGATAAAAAATGGTGAGACATTTCTATTGCTTTAATGTTGGGATGTGGGAATGCTATATAATGTATTGTTTGCTCATGATGTCCTTGCCAAAAGTTTATATGTAACTTTAAACGTCATATTTTCTCTGAGAAATGTTGTAGTACTTTATAGTTTACATTGAAATGATGTGTTAACTGCAGACATCATAGATTTACATTATCATTTGTCACCATTAATCTGTGTGTTACACAAGTTGGAAATTGTTCCTAATATTTGTCCACTTGAACATGTTGAAATTGTCTCAAAATTATTTGCTAGGCAAATGACTCTATTGATAAGGAGGATGTGTGTATTACAAACGGGATTAGAACATTTTCAAATAATGTTAACATAAATTATGAGCATTTAGATAACTTGATATTTAACATATAAACAAGGAGAACATATTTGTACCTCCCACTCATACAAACTATGTGGGGATTGTTAGCTTTTTAGAACATGACAATAAAGTATTTTCTTTTAATGACTTTTATGTGGAATGCCACATGATATTGATGATAAAATGTAAAACAATATTTATTTATCATTGGAGTGTGCACCTTCAAAAGAACATATTAGTTTTGTGTAGCCATACAACTTGTCAAGTGTACATTCATCAAAATGAGTCATTTGTTTTATTAATCATCATCAACATTTTTTCTTTGTCAGATTTTTGATTTTTATATACTAATAGGCCTAGTTGAAACATTAAAAGTGAAAGATCTGAAATAGGAAAAATTCTTATCTCCAGGGCGTTCAATAAGTATTGCTAATTTTGCTATAACTTTTGTTCTGTTTGCTTTCCCTTCACAACATCGGCTACATATATTTGACTTTATTCTCTGAAAATCTCAAGACACCATAGTAACCATAACTTTGTCAATACTAGGTCAGTTGTCCAGAAATTTGGATAGAATAAGGTCAGATATGTGTTTCTCATGTTTTGAAAGTTTCATGAAGAAAAAAGCAAGATAACAAGAGTTAATAAAAATTAGCAATACTTATTGAATGCCCTGTAAATGCATATTTCCAGTATGTGCTTAGTGAAATATGATATTTTCTTCCATTGGTAACTGCTGTCATAAAGGGACCATATCAAGATGCCTAAATAGTAAATTCTCTTCATTGTCACAACATAACACCCTTTGCTAATTGATAGCTCCACCAGTCCAAAATTTATATCGTACATCAAGATATCAAGGTTATCCACATCTTTATAGAATCAATATATTGACCACTAGTTTGTGGTGCATGGTGTGACTCATTTTGGTATGGCCCCTTCTAGTATTCAATTATATTTTATTTTCGTATATATGTAAAATCTGAGTGAGGAATAGGAAGCGATTTCAAAATAATTTCATCAATAAAAAGATTTTTAAAAATACAAAATAGAATGCAATATGTGATGTGAAAAACTATTGAGTATTTTGTGGCATTGAGTAAACTTTTCAATGTAAATTGGGATCAATGCTGTGCCATAGCTAAGTACATTGATATGGCAATGCAATTATTTAAGGTTGTGTTAATTTTTTATTTACATGTTTGTTAAGTCATGCACATCACACATATTATTTTAAGACAATGTTACTGCACACTTTTGAATATTATTTTTGGGCAGTTGGTTATGCAATGCCGTTACCCTGACCAACTCCCAGAGACCCATCAAATTTCAAATGTTCTTCAAGGGGACGAGTGAATTTTCATGAAATTATTTAAGAGTGATTACAAAAACAAGAAATATATACTATTTGTTATACAAAGGTTCGGTTTAGGTGCCAAATAATATGGAATTGTGAAAATAGACAGTAGTTTCACATTTGCCAATCTTAACAGTGCCTATTAGTTTTTTCGAATTCTTAGATAATAGGTTTTATGAATATCAATTATAAATGATGAAATTGTACCCTGTTCATGTTTACTCTATTCCTAGGTGGGGCTCCCAATGGTAAGTGGTATATCTTTCATTTTATTGATGATTTTCTGTAGAATTTTTGTGTTTCTTCATTGTTAATCGCTCATTTCTGTCATTGAAAACTAACACTTCTTGAAGTAATTTTCCCCATTGGGATGCCCCTTGTTATGTTATGGTAACTTTGCAGTGTTTCTTTGTGTGAAGTTAACATATGTAAAGTATATGATAAACTGTATAAAGTTGCCTTGATGTCAAAGTTGCAGTAACCGTTAAGACAGCATATTTCAGCATTTTAAAACAAGGATGTAACATACTCATGTTGGTGTTGTAAAATAATCAGGTTTTTTAAGACATCCTCCTGTGCTCAGAGCATCAAAAGGTTTACTATAGCAAATCATAAACAAGTAAACGAAATTTTCTGATTCTAGGTAGCCCATAGAATAAATAATGTAAGAATGTTTTATATGCTGAAAATCTGTTAGTTTATGTCCTCTGAATATATATATGTAGGTGTGTTTCAGAGAATGGAGCACTGAGTACAGGAAGATGTCTCAAGCAGCCAATATACAGTTATAGTGATAAGTTTGAGATGTATATGTTTGTGAATTTCTAGGGAACAATAAAATCAACATACCACCAATTTAAATAAACTAAAATAGCTTTTGTTGCATGTAAGTGATAAATGTAAAAAGGTCCAACAATTCATTTGACTTTAAACATGTTAAAATGAACAGTTTAGTTTAAGCTATGCATTTTTTGAAAATTGGAATATGCCCCTTTATAAGAATCATTTTCACATTGTCACAATGTACATAATGTTAAAAAATTCAATTTTCAAGTTTCATAAATTAATTTTGAGAGCATATGAAATTGATCATATGATAGTTTTCCTGTCATGTATCAAAGCTGGGAAGTTGATGTCATTTAACAGATATTCGAATGGTCCAGTTGAATAGTACCTTTCCAGTACCATTGATGAATATTTCTTCTTTAGTTGTGTTACTGTAGTACCGCACGTCTCAAGTTGAATAGTGCCTTGCACCTCGTGAATAGCAGCATAATATTTGATTGAAACACAATATAATGCCACTATTCCCGAAAATAATTGCACTTGGATCATGTTGATGAAGATTTTGCTGATGTAGAATTCCAATATGTTATACCTGAGAAATCAATAGTTATTTGACATGATGTATGATTATTCTGCTCTACTGGTTCATCTTGATCCTTCAAAGTATCACATATGACTGAAGGATTACATTGGTTTAACAATATGATACTGGTCTGTTCAACTGAAGGTATGACTTGTAAACTAATTTATTCACAATGTGTGTGTTCCAATGTTAGGATGTCATTTCCTAAGTGAACTGAACCCCACTGATGCCCATTCTACATCTGATAAAATCTGATATTTTAATCCCATTCATAAATGTGACTACAGTCTAGAGTAAATCTATATTTGATTACCTGGAGTCTGAAGCCCTATATTTATGTCCCCTCCCCACATATTTGTTGAGCTGTTGACCATTCAGCTTTACACATGTAATGGTGTATGGTAATCATATTTATCAACCTCATTAAGGCAATTATTGATGACCTCTCATCTAGGATATACTAGAGGATTATATTTCCCATAATGCAACAGGATGTTTGACCATTTTGACATTTCCTAAAAATATTATAGTGAGAGGGGAATAACCTAAAATTCAAAGATGAAAAGATGAATGGATTGAGTACATTTTCTTGTTGCTAAGTTGATCTTACGTTTGTGAGATTTGAATGAAATTAAGGCCCAGTACATTAGACAATTGGTCATCTTTGTATGTTTGGGAATTCACAATTTTAGATCGCATGAGATGAAATGGATGAATCTTTTTATTTCTGATTCTTACATTGATTTGATACCTCAAAAGTCAATATCTGATTTGAAAAACATTGACTGATCAATGGAGTCTGCTCTGAACAAATGATTAAATTCTAGAATATTGAAGAGGCCAATAAATTCAGAATGCATGGCCTCTTGAGCTTCTAATCTACAGGTGTGGCTTTTGGTGAGACCAATTAACACAGGTGACATATTGCTCATTGTCTATGGCCTCATTTCATTAGCATTTTATAGGTACTTGAATTTTATCACAATCTAACACTAAAATTTCAGATAGTTGCCAAGTGATTACAGTTGGTAGATATAGGGAAATACATAAGAGGATGTTATCAGTCATGTCAGTCAATTATTAACTTTTGGTTTATTTGTTCCTTGGATGCATCAACTTTACATCAATCCCAAATAATTTACCAGACTCTGTTACTAAGTATGGAAAGATAATGGGAGATATTGCCACACCAACTTGTAAAATTAATGACCAATGAAATAAATAAATATTCCAACAAACCAGATCAGAGTATTTGGTTTCATTATTAGTTGAATAATGTACTCTGAATAAACCTAGGAATATATTGTAATATGGGATTGTTCAGACAGTTAAATCATTTAAAGGTCCATCAACAAATACACCTATGTTTGCTTGATAATGTGGGGTGTAAGTCACCCCTCCCTTTATGTTCTCTATATTGATACAGACTAGAGAATATTAAGGGGGGGGGGGGGGTTGACTTTCTCCCCATGCTTGATAACAACAAATA